TCTTACCTCTGCCACATCTATTATCTCCATGTTGGAACCAGCCTTTTCTTGAGTCAATATATTTGTTACTGTAGCGAATTTGAAAGGCAGCTTTTCTGCAGTACGACCGTGTGATGAGGTGAAGCATATAAAAATCTGAAGGGACCACTGTCAATTTAATATTAACTGCAAGTCTTTGGTAACTTGGACTATAGCAGAGCCTGAAAGCCACAATACTAAAATGTGATGAAGTGAAGCATACTTGGAAAATCTGAAGGCGCCAATTTCAATCGGATGTTGATTGTATTTATCTTTGGCAAGTTTGAATAGTAAAATTCCAGTGATAATCCAATTGAATAGCTAACACTATGAAATAAATATTCGAAATTTCGAATATTTATACACCCATAATATCTGCATATGCATATGTGTGTGTTCAACAAACATACGGGTGACGACTTTCCCTTTTGTGGACGTACTTTGAGCACTTAGTCTGATCTAATGCAACTGAAACTGGCACCATGCTGTCACAATTCGCAAGTAACCCTTGGAATGTGCCTTCTTTCTCAAACACCTGATCGAGGCATCAGCATGTGATAAAATAGTAAGACGTATACTAGTCATAGTGCCACAGCAGTGCAACTTTGGCTCTTTAGATAAGTCCAAGTGGAACATGAGAAAGCACAGAATTCTCTGCACTCCTTCATGCACTTCTGAGCAGTTTTTTGTGGGCCTGTAGCTACAATCCTATTTATGGGCAAATGGGTATTCTCGCAAATCCTTCACTGAATGCAACACTCCTTCTTGGATGATTTTATTAAGTGTTCAACTGAATGCTAACACACAAGAGTCTATCAATAGTAATAGATTAACATCTTCATTCTGTTGTCTAGTTGTACAACTCGGCTTCTAGGCATGCTAGAGTCTTAAAATGCATGAGTAGGGAACATGTGATTTTATTTCAAATAAAGTGACTTTGGATTAATAAGGAGTTGTATTTTTGCTTATACACAAAATTATGAACTGTGGCTTTGGGGTGTTGACAAGTGATATAACCATTATGAAATATGGTTATTTAAGTTACGCCTCACATTCGTGTGATTTTAGCTAGGCTGCACCGATGTGCAGAAAATGTAAAACCATTCCTTATATTTTACTGGAAACAAAGGGATTTTAGTTTTTAAATATTGCATATTGAAAACAATTTCAACACTGTTGTACGTGCACTTTGCAATGGCCACCATAATGCGAGACTTCCAGTATGTCTCTTACTAAAGGTATACGATGATTGGTAGCAGCCAGTGGCATCGTTGGCAGAGTGATGTATGGAAAGGAACACTTCGGAACCACACACAGCAATTGTGATTGCTTTTGGTTGCAGATGCTATAAACTGAAATCAGATGCATAGCATCTTAAAATACCAGCTGTCAGAAGGAAATAATTTAAGACTGCTCTGCTACCATTGCCACTGCACAATTTCTTTGTGCTGGGGCAGAATGTGCTATTTTTATGATTGTCCCATGAAAAACAGCAAGGAAATCGCAAGAAAATGTGTTCATTTGGGGGAGTGGGGGCTTGCCGGTATTGTACTTCTTTGAAAGACAGACATGAACACAACAGTGCCCTCCTGCATTCTTGAAGAGCGCTTGTATTCATCTTTGCTTCTAGACATCTTGACATTGGCTATTGTTTGTACAGTACAACACAACAGAAAACAAATATGCTACCTATCCAAAGAAAGGATGGCAAGCCATAGCCAGAATTGTCGCATATACCGGTGCTAAATACAAAAGCTTAAAAAAGGCGCCAGGCCTGCACGGAACGCGCAGCACAGTCACAGCGCAAGCTTGAAGAGCGGCCTTTCAGAGCCTTTTTTTAGCACTCTTTGGGTAACTGTTTGAGCACACTTGCAGGGTACCCACTACACTATGAATCATAATTTTTGTGTAGTGGGGAGGCATTCGCTATGCTATCCTTCATAATTCTTCAAAGAAGCATGGTACCCACTACACACTTGCAAGGAATTCTGTGCAATTTTTTTTAAGCTGTGGCTGATGATCATGAAGAATTATGCCTGAAGCTTCTGTAATGGTTAACCCAATCGATTCGCATAGTCCGGTGCCTGGATGTTCATTTGCTGTTATAAAATGCTTTATTACTCATATTAACATGACTCCTGTCCAAAAATTAAGCATTTGTAATGCCAGTTTGCAACGGCGGTGCTTGAAATGCACCGGCATTGCTCTACGGTAGAATACTGGGCTGGCACACAGGGAACCCGGATTTGAATCACATAGTGCTCTTGGTGTATTTCTTTACTTCTTTCTTTCTCACGCATAGCGGTTACGGACACAGGCGGCGGTCAATAACTGCGGCGCACACGACCCTTGTTGTGATCTTGTAACAGCTTTCACTGTAAAATGACAGAGTTGGATGCACACTTTTCAATGATGCCAGGAAGAAAACGACAGTTTCTGCCTGGCAGTTAAAACAATTTGAAAGAAAGAACCCAGAAGCGGAAAAAAAACACAAGATAATTCCTCTAAAGCTTTGCTCATAGAATGGGTCAGATAGCGATATGTGCTCACGAATTGCAGACTTTAATCGCCACTACCAATGGTCCTCCTTCAGTGCGCGCATGTCCATTAGCAATACAACGGAGGCTCAAGTCATAGCTGAAATCCTCGGGGAGAAATGCCAGAATTCTCCTTCGTAACGATCACTCTAGAGTGAATGCTGGCTGTGGGGAAATTTGAATCGCATCACACGTCAGGTGACTGATTCGTCTGTGATCATATAGATTGCGTGAATACAGCTTTAACTGCTTTTTGCACTAACCAAGTACTATTTCAGTATTCAACACGGTGAGCGATTCTGTGATCAGTATGCCTAAAGAGTGACATACTAATGCCATTTTGTGATGTTTAAATACAGTACTTTGTTTGTGTTTCCAGTTGATATAACATAAATATGAGAAAATCTTTTTCATTGCATCGTTAATTGTGGTGCAGGCAGAATATGCATACTGCCAATCTTGAATGCCAGTAGAAAATCATTCACTTGATTTATAATAAATGATTCCTCACTATGAAAAGGACTATGTTAGGAGGCATCTAGAAACGAAAGATACTATGGCACTTCTTTTTCGATTGTCACAGCATGAAAGAGAGAGAATTGATTAACAGAACGACACAGGGGTTGGCCTGAGCTACATTTTGCTCTGACCTACATCTCTACACTGGGGCAGGGTGGCAGGTGAGAAAAGGAGTGATGAATGACAATAGTAAGGTAAAGAGAAGAGAATATAGTTCTGCCACACTGGGGCAGATCGAAAGGCTGCCACAGAATGCTCACTCACAAATTAAAATCGCTAGTTGCATTCTCTCAAGTCTTTCTGATGCATGGACACTCAGAATAGATAGATGCCTTCAGCAGGCTTGTGATGGCCGGTACGTGCAATGCTCACGGAATGAAATGCAACAATTTAGGACTAAGTAATGCATGTCTTTTATTTCCGCAGTCTTCAATTTGTGTCTCATCATTTTAATGTTGCCTCGAACACTGATACCAGAGCCACCATCATCAGTAGTGGTGGTCATATTCACAGCAATATGTTGCAAATCACCACTTATGAGCCACAAATTTACTGTTTAAGATTTAAAAACTTTAAGAATGTTTAGCACTAACAACAATTCAGACAAAGTTTGGTATGCGTTGTGGGAATTGAGGCTAGCCCCCTGCCTTTGCGCGGGCTTTGCCGCTTTTTCTGCCGTTCTCATGTCCCGACATGTCTGCCCTTCTTTGCTGTCTGCCGCGCTGGGAGAGCGGAGTGACGTTTAACTCCCTCACCCGGAAGCGGATGTTGACTGTGGCGGCGTGCGCGGGGACTCCCGAGAGGTTTTCGCGCGCTGCGTCGGGAGCGGTCAGATACTCTCCGGGACAGCAAACAGCGAGCCACGCAATCTTTTCCGTCCGTCGACTCCCGTCGCTCGGGGGCTCGTCGGACTTCGCCGACGGCGCCTCGCGCCTGAGGCGAACGCTCACCTTTTGTTGCCCCGCTGCGTACTCACGGTTGAAGGGCAGTACGGTGTCCTAGTGCGTGGCCTAGCTACGCCGACCCGTCTCCCTCCGAAGCCAACGCGAGCGCCTTTGCCCTCGCTCGAGCAACCGGGCCTTTGTGCCGGTGTCTCCGTGGATCATCTTTACCGCGGAGACGTGCTCGTGGCACCCTGTGTAGTACTTTGTGCCCGTGGCGTGGATAAGCCTATTTGCTTTCCCGCCTCGCCTTTTTGCAACGGGCTGTACTGCGTTTGGTGTTGCCACAATAAAGTGTTGCGACTTTGAGCAGTATCGTGTTCTCGCCACGGCGACGGTTAATGCGTGCCCAGCGGCTCGCTAAGACCGGACCCACGCTGGTGGCCGTACTCCTTCGGGACACGTGTACACCACAGCGTATATTTGTGACATACGCAGCAACAACAGTGCCAACAAAAGTGATTCAATCCCCCCCCTCTTTTTTTCTAAACAAAATCGTCATGTTTTAGAAAAGCTTGAAGTGGGTTCGGCTAATATGTCACCAAAGAAATGTCATACCTCCGTCGTGTGCTTTCACTTGGGCGACGGCAAGCAACTGTCGAGTGTAGTGTGGCATACAAAATCCAACTTTGTTGCGCTCCTCACTACATCATGTACCCCTTAACATCCAAGTTCGGATGTGTGAATGTTGTTACAGAAATCACATTGCCTGTCGCATGGCAGCATGACACACCATTTGTCCAGTGGGAATATTAATCACAAAGGTTGCATGTATGGCTTAGTAAAGTGCGAACTGCCACCTATCAATGTGTATCAAGACTGCTTATAAGAATGTGTCTTGTGTGCCTAGAAGGTTCAAAATGGCCTGAAATGTCTGAGGATCTGCTACGGTTATTGCTTATTCCTCAATGCATAACGTAGTTTTTTTTTTTAAATCACCTTATTCTGTGAAGTTTATGACTACTCAAAGTAATGCAAGATCAAAAGATGATATTAAAAAAATCTATATTTCTTGGTACTGTAAGACATATATATACAACACACACTGTTTACATACATTATTTACACTGGTCACTTTCTTTTACGCATACATATGTACATTTCAGCTGCTGGCTATTATTGGAAGACAGTTAAATCAAGCACGTTCTCTCGACGCAAGTCACGCAGACTCCAGAAAAGCAGCTCTTCACCAGGCAGTGCATCCCACGCAAACCAGTGCCACCCTGCACAGTTTTTAAAGTACCATTATAATTCTCAAGCAAAATATTTTGCCAACTCACACACTTCTCTACAAGGTTACACTGAAATCCACTTTGGGCCCACCATTAACGAGCGCGGGGTTCCCCATCATGGGAGCCGAAGTTGCAGCGCCCCGCCTCCCTATTACGTCAATGTATGGGGGCTGGCTTTGTGCCCCCTTTCACCGCCTCCCCCCAACCCGTCGTGTGCACGCCTATGGGGCGATGCTGTTATAAATAAGTGATGATTGAGGCAATGTTGGCAAAGCTGCTGCGGTGGTAGTTGTCTAATTTCACCTCAAATACTACCTAAGCATGCAATATATGCACATAATGTTTTATTCAAGCCTAGCACAAATATTCTGCCACGGCTACGGAAACCTTTGGTGTAGCATGGGTGCTGGTTGACATCAGTCTCAGAATCGGCATATCAAAAACTGCACTGGTTCTCACTGCTTCAGATTCTGCATTATTTGTGGTAACGGCAGTGCTTCTTTCAATTTTGATATCAGAAACGTATATTCTAAAATAAATCCATGTGCCATGTGTTTTTTAATTGTGAAACTTTCTAAGGAGGCTGCTCTTGTTTTACACACTTTGCAATTACTAAATTTTTTTTTTTAAGGAGTACTGACACAAGTTTCAAATATTTTTGCATTGTTCCTGTAAATAAGAGCACTGGTGCCAAGAACTGTAAAAAGAGTACTATTGTGGTGCCTAGGAATTCATTATATATATTTTTAATAAAACCTTTAAACCCCATTACCCCTAGACACCTTCGATTTTGATATCGAGGGGGCAGACTTTCAGTGACGTGCCATGACAGCGTGACGTCACAGCAAGGCAGCAATTCGTGATTTTGTGCAAGTGCTGCATCAGCTGTCTGCTCGTGGTGCATGTAAACAATGATACGTGAATTGCCTCCAGTGACCCCAACAATTAAGTCGATTAAGTCTGCGATTAAGTCTGCATGCTGAACACAGAAAAAATGTAGAGGAACTGTGTTGGCTTCTCAGGATTAGGTCCATTGTGGTGTGGCTGGCTTTCAAATGCTCAGCAAAGAGAACTTTAAAACCAAAGTAGAATATTTTATACGTGTTGCTTGACTTTGGTGTGTGGAGAGCGTTAACACTGCATGCCAAAGAAATTAAAAATGTCCCTTTTGCGTTGTCTCAAAATCGCATCAATGGTCTAATATCACGCCGCAGTTGGCCATTGTAAAACGCACAGTAGCTACAGATCGGAACCTGAAGGCAGCATTGCCACCTGTGTTTTCTTCATGGGCACCCAATGCATTCTCGCAGTGAGAGTGGTGGTTTTGGTGTTGTGAAATGCATAGGCGTGAGCACGAGGGGGGCTTGGGGGACAGCTGCTCACCTTAGTCACCTAAGAAGGTGGCCGCAAAATATTCCCCGCACACTGACCTAATAGGGACAAGGGGGCCAAAGTCTGTCCCATAAGTTGCGTATTAGGGAGGGGATGAAGGCACTGCAATGAACATCCGCCGCCCTCTGAAACCAAACCCTGGGCACATTTATGGTGAAATCGTAATATACTAGTTTATCAATATGAGATAAATTTCTTTTTTTTCCTTTTAACATCTTTTTAACGTTGCGCATCAGGACTTTGTTGACAGGATCCTGTGGCACACAGTTGCTCGTTTCCCCCATTTCCAACGAACTGTAACAGTAATAAATGCAGAAGTCACCTGTGCACACAGCTTCATCGGATGCTGCTGGCTCTGCTTCTGGATCGGCCAGCTTGCCCACCATGAATATATTGATCCAATGATATCCCTCAGATGCTCGCACCATCTCCACCACTGAGCAGACACGTGGCTCGATGAGAATAAGGCCAGTCTCCTCCTTAGCAACACGTACGGCGGCTGCCTCCCAAGATTCTCTGGAATGTTAAAAAATGTACAATGTAACAAATCTACTTAAAGTATGTGCTGTTGTTTGGGAAAAACTGCATGATTGGACACTAAAGAGTGTGTGTGTGCACAGAATATGGCCACGTGAGTGTTTTTCTCCCAACTGAGGTCTTATTGTGTTGTTTTATTGAGCTTTTTTTTTTGCATAGCAAAACTATTGTAACCTCAATAATTCCAATTCCCTAGATACTAGGAATCTGTTGTAATACAATGTAATTTGAACTAAAGAGAGTCACATTGAATCTGTGAAGCAGCTCATGCTACAATAAGATGGTATTCTTAAGCATGAGAAGTGCTTACACTGTGTTCATACACATCTGATGGCGAGGTGGGGACAATATTTGAAGCAAGTGTGCCATAGCATAGGGGAGAGTAGAAAAGCTGCTTTTGAAAGAGGCAGAGGGTGAGGTGAAAAAAGTGTTGTAAAGAACAGTGAGTTCGCCCATACATCTATGCTCATGGTGACTGAGCCCACGTCAGCAGCCATCACTCCCTGTTTTGCAGTTTATCTGTATAGGGTGCATGTATTGCCAAGCTGAAATTAATGGTCATTTCTTGAGGGCTGTCTTCAGGGAGCACTGCAGTCACAGTGCACAAGCGGGCATGCCGCACGGTATGTTTTTGTATTTTGTGGGCATCTTCAGTAACACTGATACTTACTAGACAGAAAGTTAAAACTGTTTAATCAGACATTTTGTAAAGCAATCTACAACTTTGTTCTTAATTTCTTTTGTACAGCTTCATTATACTAGAAAGTAATTATTATTGTTTAATTAAGCACAACAAAAAAGTGTGAGTCACTTCATGCAATAGCCAACAACATGCATTTGGTTTTGTCGTCACAAATGTTGACACATTTTTAAACTCTGGCTAGAGTTAGCTTGGGCATCCTGAATACACTACATATAGATGTTTATAGGTTACATATGAACACTGCTCTCTACGAACACATTTGCAGTCTACAATAAAATTCCAACACACTGACGCGCTCTCCTACACTGTAGCTTTGCATACATATGCAGAGGCCGCCTTGAAGAAAAGCAGTTCCACATTATGATATGAAACAGATGGGCTCAGAGTACAAGCAGGTATGTCAGCTGGCCAACGAATAAAGACATACCCAAAGTGTAAGAAGTCCCCAGGAACCATGTAGAGACCCCTCGCCCATGTGCATCTGGTACGCAAGCCAAGCAGGGTGTGGCCTGGATGTTTTCTGCTTATCAAAAGGACTTCCACACGAACCTTGGGTTCTTTAGATGTGCCTGTTACAATGCAAGAAAAAGCCTGGTTACAGTACATTCCTGTTTGCAAACTGAAAAACTAGCTATTCTGATCAAATTCTTTACTCAGGCATGTGCAAATAGTAAAATTTCATCTCAAAGCTAATTGGAATCGAACAGCATCCGTAAATATCAAATACTGAATTGCATATTGAATACAAGAGATTTTATTAAAAATTGAAAGAAGGAGCAAAAAAAATGACATCTGCTCATGTCCTTGAGCACATGATGCGATGAGTGTATGCTACTAAGAGACTACAGATCGTCACGTAGAAACACAGGCAATTCCACATGACCTAGCTTCAGGCTCTATCGCTGTGACCTTACAAGGTTTATGGCAGTTGAAAACCTGCACTCACTGGACACCTCCGTAGCATGGAAGGGACGCTGCCACAAAGTAACTTCATCGATATCTGGATAGAGTGCAGCTTTATGCTCTTTGCAGCATTTGAAAGGATCATCCTTTTTTGGGATCAGGGGCTCATTAAAGTACTTCTGAAGTGTGAACGAATTTCCATACGTGAAGCCAATCACAGAGGGTTTCATGGGTCCAAGTTGGAACATTTTACAGTGCTTGCAGAACACACAACTGCATTACATAAGAAGTCTATGTCTTCATTTCAGGAGCGAAGTGGACAAAGGCTTAACAGTTTTGTCATGCATTTTTCATTTAAATGCGGAAATGACAATCTTATTTAAGAGAAACATGGGCCCGCTTGAGTGGGCAATTTAAAGAAAGGTTTACTCTCACAATGTTAGCGTTCATTCTAGCCATCCGAATATGACCAAGTTGCATCATTGGCCTTTGTCAGGTCTTAGATATTCGTCCTGCCAAATTAGTCGAAACTTCAAATACTAGCTATTTGAAAGTTGAATTGAATTATTCGATAACATATTATTCACTTTGTATTTGCAAGTTGAATATTCACACCCCTAATTTAAATACCAAGCAACTAGGACAGAAACTTTGTTCTGAAGCCACATTGATTTTTATCATTGACATATTTCCAAATAATTTAATTATCAGCTTTCATGTGATAAAACCAAATTTTATAAAACACACTATAGGGATCAAAGGATTCCAAGTCAAATTCGTTTATCCAAGATTTCATTAATGTGCACAGATATGTAAGCACATGAATCAAAATTTTGCATAGAATAATTTTGCTTTAAAAGTTTATTCCACTGAACTAACTGGTTGTTGAAATGAAGTGTGTGTATGTGACACTTGAGATACTGCCCAGGACCTTTCTATTCATTACATGCTCAATTTAAGTAATATCCCACAGCACTAAATCACATAATTATCCAACATTACACACAAGGACAAAAAGTCTCTTCAGTTTACAAATTATGTAACTCAAGCACAAGAATGTTTGTATGATTGATTGTACAAATGGGAATTTACCTGTATGATACACAAGTTAGTAAAACTTTCTAATGTATAAAATAAACTTCCTTGACTTTAACAATTGGAGTAAAGTTAAGGTCACAGTGCAACATGTCAGCTATGACAGATGGTACAGTGCGAGGCACCAGATCAACTTAAAATTTCGGTTTCACCTACATATACTGAAACAGAATTAGTGCCTTAGCACACCCAAACAGTAAACAACTTGGCACTAGCCAGGGTATGATACCAGAAGCTTATTCAGGAACAGAACAAGATATTCATGTGTTGTTCTCTCGTTTTTTAGAGCTGAGAGAATAGCAAAATTTTGGGTGCAATGTGAATTAGAATATTGAAGTGTGAGTGCAAGTCTAATCAAATATTTTTCATACATTTCTAGAATATTTTTGGTATACTTCAAAGCGAAATTCCGGAAAAATGTTTGGAGAGGATTCCTAAGCATATTCTTATAAGACAGCGTTTCTGTTGGCTAGGTTGACGAAGCACTGGTTGGGTGGTGTTTCGTCGTTGCCTTATCAAGAATGACGCAATGCAGAGGCCATATTGTATTTATGTACATGATTTTGTGCAAACAAAGTGTTGCCAACACATTACAAGAGAAAGGCCATGATGCTATTTCCTCGGCCTTTCTTCCTCTTTCAACTTCTGTGGAAGCCCAACTGATGTGGTGGATGTGCTCCCTTCAAGTTCAAAGTTCCGAATTTGCCTCATAAATGTCAATAAACCCTAGCTAATTTGAAGTCACTGGAATTGTGAGAAATCTTTGAATTAAGCGGTTGTCGAATTGACAGAACACCGAAAATTGAGATGCAAGAAACTTGAAATAAGTATAATCAGGGCTGGTCATTTGCTGTGCTGGCTAAATTACAGCTCCAAGGGTTATGTTTTCCAGCAATGCAAGGATGTAGTTTTGCGGCAAACAAGGGGGAACGCCGAGCCTCGCTGCTGCAACCGCAAAAAAATTTATAATAATAACATTTGTCGTGATTAACTTAAATGTGCACCTGCGAAAATTAAGACATCTTCATTGCAACACAGTAGTGACACGGGGGCAGCGTGTCACCTGCTCCTCGCTGTGTCAGCACATCATGATGTGACATTTCGCCCAATATTTCTAGCAAAACAAAAAATGTAATAATAAACGGTGTGACGAAATTTGCAATGTTTTGACTGGAAAACATGCTCATTGAAGCTTTCAAACCAATTTTCTGAAGTAGGCATTGCATCAGTCAGTAGTGCAAGTGCACTGCTGACAGTCGCACTTCTAAGTGCGGATATCGCTGGAGGAAGGACGTTACAAGCACCGAAAAGAGCGGACGCATTTCACGTCGGCTCCATTTTTCGTAAACAATTTTGCAGCGTTTTTGCACAATATCAGTGTCGTTTTTGCTTCATCATCTCCTGCAAGTTACCCAGACTCGACCGGTATTTTTTATCAAGGTGGAAACTGCCTTTCTCATCATTTTATTGAATATTTTTCTTCGAAGCAGCTGCAACGCTGAGCTAAGGTGTGTTCCGGACGCCTAGCTGGCCGCAGTCACAGCTGTGCGACGACTTTCCTCAAGCCATTATGGAAGTGCAAGAAGGAACTGACATCTCGCCTACCGAGATCTCCGAAGAGGAAGGATGGTGCACCATATTTTGAGAGAACGACATTCTTCTCAGGGAAAGCACACCAACCCTAAACCTGCAGCAGCCTCTCAAGTTGACATTGGAGGCATGAACAAGGCGCAGCAAGGCTTCCGTGCACACAAGCAGCAAGTATTGATGGCAGGCAAAATGCCCGCCTTTTTCCGTGATCACCAAAATGTTGTTATCAGGCCACGGGGTGGCTTGAACGTTGCAACCGTCGGAGTCGTCCGCCTCGCCTCTGCCCTATACAAGGCAGCACGTGTATTTCCCCAAGACGCCAAGGAAGATATCATATGTCCAAATGTACAGCAGAACATCATCGTTGTGAGTACAACTCACTCTTCTAACGCTGAACGCTATCGCCAACTCACCAGTTTTAAGCTCGCCGAACACCAGTTTGAGGTACAAGCTTACGAGACTGCGGCCGACTATACAGTCAAGGGAGTCGTACGAGGTATACCCCTCGATGAAGATGCCGATGCGATTGACATCAATATTGTCAAGAAGGAAGACCCGACCGCCTTGGCGGCCAAAAGACTCAGCAATACCACGTCGGTAATCATCGCCATCGACGGTGGCCAGGTCCCAACGTGGGTGTACTACGGGGGTGCCATGCTGAGGTGCACCATGTACAGAAAGCAGATCAGAATGTGTGCCACCAGTACGGGCGTGTCGGTCATCGCATGGACGTCTGCCCAAACCTCAAAGACCATGTCTGTAGAGGCTGCGGAGCTTCGAATCCAGACCCCAATCATAAATGCAAGCCGACGTGTCGCCTCTGCGGGGGAACACAGCCCACTGTGGACAAGACCTGCAAGGCTCGATTCAAGACCCTTTATCTTGTCAAGAAACGACGCGGTGATCGACGAATAGCCACAGTGGAGGTCGCTCTCGAGCTGCAGCAGCAGAACTACTATGAACAGTCTGCACCGCCTTCCAGTTCCCGCTCTCGAAGCTAGGGGCGGTCAACGGGCCCTCGATCTCACCAGCAGAGCCAGTCTTGGAGCTGGTCCCAGAGCAGACCTCCCGGACCGAGCCGTGGCCATTCCAAGTCGTGGCGTCCGAAGCAAGCCGGTCATCAGAACCAGGATCTACCTGACAAGGTGAGCTTCGCAGATGCGGTTAAGGGCTAGCGGAGATGTGGGGCTCAAGGAGCTACTGGCTCAGAACCCAATAAAAGGAGGGACCCTAAAGACGCGGCATTAGAAGCAGTACAGCGCAAAAACGTGCACTTACGCACGGTAGTGCAGCAGTTAACACAATAAATCCGCAAGATTAAGCAGTCGATGACGCAGTCATCTATACCTAATCCTATTTCAGTTGAAACTCCTGTCACGAACGTTAACGATGGTGAAGCGCCCTGCGCTCCTTCGGTGGGGAGAGAACTGCCTGCTTCGTGGACGCGGCAGAATACACACACAAACACTGGTTCACGGCGGTTGTCATAGATGTTAACTCCTGGCTTACCCAAGGGTGTAGTGTCAATACAACGTATCCAGGCACCGCGAAAGAGATTTTGATTGCGCTTGTGCTTACCAACCCCATCTGCGAGGCAGTTCTTAACGACTCACAATCTGCAGTTCATAACTACACGCGTGGACGCGTTTCTCCCGCAGCTCTACAGATTCTGAGGAAGGCTGGTCAACAGCAATTCAACAGCACCGCGTTTTTGTGGTTCCCAGCATATGTCCCCACCCCCACCGACAAAGGCCCCTCTAATTTGAACAAGGTGGTACATTGCAGTGCGCGAGAAATGACCCGCCGCGCAGAGTCTGAGACCACCTCGTCAAGTTCAGACCTCCTGGTTCAGAATGTTGGAGAACGCTTAGTGAGGTATAACATTACCAAGCACTACCAGTTAGGCAGGCGGATATGGCCTCCACCTTACGCTAAGCTGAATTGATGCCAGGCAGTCGTCTGGTGACAGCTGCAGACATACACCTTCCTCAGTCTGGTGCAACTGCGGCACATTTTCCCCGCGCAATACCCTAGTGCTACTTGCAAATTATGTCAGACAACTCGAGCGCCACTCTCGCAAATGTTGTGGGAGTTCTCTGTTATAGCAGCTGAAATAGCAGTAGCTCCGGAGGCTCTTGCGTAGAAGTGGGCAGACGCTTTGTGGAGCTCCAACTTCAGGACACAAGAGTGGGCAGTCCAGCGAGCCCTAGAGACGGCGACGAGGCAAGGCCTTGAAGTCAATTTTGGCTGAACAGCGCACACGGGACGAAGACGGAGGAAAAGAACAGCCCGGGTTGTAAGCGTCACCAAACTTTCAATAAAGTTGTTTCCATTCATCCACTGCCGGAGCAACCAGCCCTCAGAGGTCCGCATACCTCGCGAATTTCGCCAGACTGTCCCTAATTAATTTATTTATATTTTCAGAAAGAATGAATAAATCATGATGCGATGACGTTGCGAGAAGTATGCAACATGCTGCCCGCACGACATTATTCTGTTGCAGTGAAGCATGTCTTGTTTTCCGCAGGCACTCACTTCAGCTGATCACGAGACCGTTTTTTTTTTTACAATTTTATTTTTCATGCTGGCAATTGACTGGGGTACTTCAGGTTTCACTCAGAAGTATTGCTACAGTACAGTACAGAGATACGGGTCGGCGTAGCTTGGCCACGCATTAGGACATCGTACCGCTTTTCGGCCTAGCGTACGCAACGGGGCAACAAAAAGTGAGCGTTCCATTTGGGCGCGAGGCGCCGTCAGCGAAGTCCGATGAGCCCCAAAGAATGGGAGTTGACGGACGGAAAAGGGTATGCGTGCTCACCCTCAGCTGTCCCGGAAAAATCTGACTCACTCCCGACGCGCGCGCGCAAAGCGTCTTCAGAGGCCTCGTGCGCGGCGCCACAGTCGACATTCGCTACCGGGTGAGAGGGTTTAAGTGCCATTCCTCGCTCTCCCAGTGCGGCAGACAGCAGAGGAGGGGAGTCATGTGGGGACATGAGAACGGCAAAAGGTGGCAAAGTCCGCGCAAAGGCGGCGGCTTGCCTCAATTCCCACACTCTCTTTCTTGTTAGCGACGTCCTCCGATTCAGCAAGGGGCAGTGTGAGCCTTGTCACAATCCCAATTACAAAAATATTATGCACATGTCCCCAATCACCCAATCTCTTCTATAGGAAGGCATGCGTCAGGCAGACACAGCGATGGTCAAAGCGAAATGGATTATTTTTAACATGTTGTTTGTAGAGATACATAAAAAAGGACATGCGGAAGGTCCTGCTACACGCACCCCTACTACAGTGACTTTATGTACTATTCAAGCTCATGCATCCCTTCCTCGTTTTACTGTACGGCTACCATATTGTTTGCTACCTAGTCAGTTACGCCATCTACGGGTGTATCTGGGAGCTGGAGTGTGACATGCAACACAGATGCTGATCTGTCCTCTGGCCCATGCCAAGAACAGTTTCTCCGTTTAAAGAAGGTTTTATCTCCCATTGCATTGATGATAATTCCTGGGGTTTCAGTTGCCAGAACCATGATATGATTATAAGGAATTGCGTAGTAGGTGACTACAAATCAACTTAAGCTACCTCAATAATAGCGAAAGTTGGGCTAGTTGGTGGTTCATACTTGGGAAGTAAAAACAGCGCAAAAATATAGACAAGGACAGAGGAAGTGCGGTGTCGTCTCTTCCTCTGTCCTTGTCTATATTTTGCGCTGCTTTTACTTCCCAAGTAAGCTACCTCGTCTTCTTCAATGCGTACTTATCTGAGCACATAGGCATTCTTTGCATTTTGCCCCCGTTGAAAAGCGTGCGCAGTGGCCAGCAATCAAATCCATGCCCTCGAGCTCAGCAGCATGGCTCCATTTCTTTAGCTGCCAGCACCTTGCGGGAAATCTGAATTCAATGAGAGCCGGGCGCAAGAGACTTGAGCACTTTCATCTTTCCACCAGTGACCTACTTTTGCCACGTGGCTCAATATTTTGAAATTTATTGGTTGTTAAAACAACAGCACTTAAAAGCGTTTTGTGCAAGAACTTGCATAGTACACCATAGGTGCTGCTAGCTGTGGTTCGATGAGCGTAAGCCATTACTACTTTGCCTGACCAATCAGACCTCGGGAGTGTTGTTCCTTAAAGACACAATGATGGCAACAGAGGAATCGAAGTTGACTATTGTGCAGTCCAGCACCAACCATGTTACCTCTATCACGAGCCAGTAAAACTGTCCTTTGTGATACTCTGTAGACTCATTAGCTACTGCCTATCACTGGCCAAAAAAAAAGTGACACAGATAAGAAATAGTACACGTACCTTCATCCTTGTTCAGCTTCCCAAAAGGACTAAGAGCATTGACTAATTGCTGCTGCTTCTCAGATGGCAAAATTTTGACTTGGTTGACCACACTGTCTACAATGCCATCACTGAATTTGTCCAGGGCCTTCAGTCGCCTGTCCTTCTCAGCCAGCTGGCTCTTAAGCTCAGTGCAGAGGGCTACATAGTGACGCAGGGAGTCAGCTAATGGGGGTGCTGGTGCCAGTGGTGCTGGTGGTAATGCTGCTGATGATGGTGGCAATTCAGGCGATGGCACAGTATATGGGTGGTCCGGTTTCACTGTACGGAATGTCGACAAATGTATGACACCTTAGTACATACATATGCACATGAGTAAATGCAAGAGAATAATGATGTTAGCAGCAAGTTACAGATGAAACTCAAGTGTCTTAGTTTACAGCGTAATGTTCAGATTGTGAGGGATAATTGCCGAAGTGAAAGTTGATGCTTAATCCATTCACTGGGTCAACTTGAGCTAGCATTAAAGAAAATTTAAGGACACTGAAACTTTGCCTTTAAGAGTTGAATGTGATAGTAATATCTTGAAGAAACTTCCTTAGTCTTCTATCCAGCCAGACGAACTTCTGCCAAAATGTTTACATTTAAGATAGTAATATCTGCACGTGCATGCACACATGCGCACACACATGTGCACATTATTGCCTTCTCAATTCATAGCCTGCTTTCACCTCTCAGTGGAGACCTAAACTGTGCCAAAAGGAAAGTCAAAGTGCAAATGCCCTCCAGCTCGTATTTTTGTTGGCATTTACCTTAAATTTGCACTCAATGCCAACGCTACTTATTCCCTCATTGCCAACGCTACTTATTCGCTCACAACCAAAGATGCCAACGACGTTAGCAACAACAATAGTTCTGCGAAATTAGCTCTTTAATGTCATTATGCTGGAACAATGCAGCAAGCAAATAAAGAGTATATATGTCGGAGCTAACATGGGAAAGATCCAGCCCTGACAGCGTTCAGTTTTCGAACTGATTTTTTTTTTATTATTATCGCGCTGCACCCGCCGCGCGGCCCAAATGCCAACTTCTTCTTCCTTGACGAGCGGCGCATTGAGGCGCTACAGGGCTCCCCCCCGTAGAGCGAGAGCCGTAGAAATCACCAGAGGAGTCGCCCAGTGGACATGCTTGGATGTTGGCATCCAGACTTTAGATTGAAACCCAGCGGCCGCGAGAGCGACGATATACGCAGGTTTCAGTCGATCAGCAGCCACGACGTCTTCACGGCCATTGATGTCCAGCAAAAAAAGTCTTAGGTGTACAATGGAGTACGCAGAATGGGCCATCATAGGCTGGTGTTAGTGGTGGCCGTATTTGGTCACACCGAACGAAGATTGACTACAGTCATGCAGATCCTGACTGACGAAGACAGACTGTGGGTGTCGGTCGGCAGGCATCACAGGAGCAAGGTCCCGAAACGTGGTGCGCAGCTCTCGTATGTACGTGGAGGCATCGTGAGTGGAAGGTGGCGATGATGGCTCGAGAATTCTCCTGGAAGACGCAGGGAAACGCCATAGACTAGTTCGGCTGATGAGCAGCCGAGATCCACTTTCAATGCTGATCGGATGCCCAGAAGTACGAAGGGGATGTGGTCGAGCCAACATTCCCTTGGCTGGTGAGCAGTGAGGGCTGCTTTTAGTTGTCGATGAAGCCGTTCGACCATGCCATTGGCGGGAGGATGGTAGGCAGTTGTGTGGATGTGTCAAATGCCCAGGATATTGGCAAGTGCGGTGAAAAGGGCCGATTGAAACTGACGACCGCGATCAGTGGTGACGACAGAAGGGCATCCAAAGCGCGACACCCAGCCGTTTGTGAAAGCCTTGGCAACTGTTGGTGCTGTAATGTCGGAAATTGGAAACGCTTCCGGCCATCTGGTGAAGCGATCCACACATGTCAGCAGGTAACAGGCTCCTTGCGATTACGGAAGAGGACCGACGATGTCGAGATGGACGTGAGAAAACCTTGCGTCTGGAAGCCGAACCGGGGATGTTGCCGTGACAGTGTACCGGTGAACTTTAACGCGCTGGCACTCAAGGCAGGTTCACGCCCAGCGTCGGACATCAGCATTGATGCTTGGCCAAAGGAAACGAGATGTGACTAGCTTCTGGGTCGCACGAATACCAGGATGGCTCATGCTGTGCAATTGATCAAAAATTGCAGGACGAAAAGCTGAAGGCACGAAGGGCCGAGGGACACCAGTAGACGTTTCGCACGTTATTAATGAGGTAGAAAATGGAAGCGGGCACTCCGTGAACGATAGAGACGTGGATGAAGAGCGAAGACGATGCAGCTCAGGATCGTTGCTTTGGGCAGCTGCTAGCTCTTCCATGTCTAGTGGTGGCTGGGTCGACAAGGCATCGATGCGGGATAGTGCATCAGCAGCAGCATTTTCCGGCCCATGTACGTGTCTCAGATCCACAGTGAACTCGGAAATAAAGCATAGTTGACGGATCTCCCGTGCAGTATAATTGCTGTGATTGCGATGGAAGGCAAACGTCAGGGGCTTGTGGTCTGTAACGACGTAAAAGTCCCGGCCCTCCAATAAATGACGAAAATGTTTGATGGCGAGGTATACCGCGAGGAGTTCTCGGGCAAATGTACTGTATTTTGTCTCTGGTGGCTTCAGTTTTTGCGAGAAAAACCCAAGGGGCTGCCAACCGGATACGTGCTGCTCGAGAACGGCGCCAACTGCCACGCTTGATGCATCGGTGATGAGACGAATTGGGGCATCAGGGATGGGATGTATGAGCATGGTAGCGTCTGCCAGAGCCTTCTTGGCAGTGCCGAAGGCAGATGCAGCGTCCTTGGGCCACTCCAGTGGAGCAGCTGGGTCTTTCTTTTTAGCCAATAGGTCGGTCAAGGGCTTTAGGAATGTGGCGCACTTTGGAAGACAGCTGCGATGGAAGTTTAGTAGGCCCAGAAACTCTCGGAGTCTCTTCAGTGAAGTCGGGGGTGGAAAGTCTTGAATAGCCTCCACTTTGCTGGCGAGTGGTTGGATACCCTTTGGAGTGACAAGGTGGCCTAGGAACTCTGTTGTAGCGACGCCGAAGAGGCACTTATTGGGATTAATTACGAGGCCGTAATCATCCAGGCGGTGGAACAGGGTGCGCAGGTGGGCTTCATACTCAGGGCCGGATGAGCTTGCTACAAGGAGGTCATCAAGGTAGGCAAATACGAAATCGAGACCTCGCGTGACCTCGCTGATAGTGCGCTGAAAGGTCTGTGCAGAGTTGCGCAATCCAAAAGGCATCCTCACATATTCAAACAGACCGAATGGGGTGGTGATGGCCGTCTTCGGAATGTCGGCGGGTTCTACAGGAATCTGATGGTAAGCCTTCACTAAGTCAATCTTAGAGAAGATTGTACACCCAGCCAAATTTGATGTGAAATCCTGTATGTGAGGAAGTGGATAGCGGTCTGGTAAGGTGTGGGCATTGAGAGCGCGGTAATCCCCACATGGTCTCCAGTCGCCAGGAACTTTCTTCGGCACCATGTGGAGTGGCGACGCCCAGTTGCTAGAGGAAGGCCGCACAATGCCGAGTTCAAGCATGTGCTCAAACTCACGGCGGGTGATGGCGAGGCGTTCTCCAGATAGTCGACGGGGTCGTGTAAAAACGGGAGGTCCAGTGGTCACAATGTGGTGAGTGATGGATTGCTTCACCGGTGACTCTCTGGTGTGCGGCTTCGTGATGCTGGGAAAGTCGTCGAGTATTTTTGCATACGGCGAAGCAGGTGTGAGAGCTCGCAGTCCCGTTGGCGAGGAAGTACAGAGTACACCGTTGATGGAGAGGCGGGTGTTGAGATCAATGAGGCGATGAGCATACATGTCCACAGCAAGGTTGAAAAAAACTAAGGAAGTCAGCTCCAAGAACAGCTTGCGAGACGTCAGCGAGGATGAAAATCCAGCGGAACGTACGGCGTAGTCCAAGGTCAAGTGTACGAGAGCGTTGGCCGTATGTGCGAATTGGTGGAATTGTTGATCGCTTGGAGTGGGCAGGTCTGTTCGTTGTGACGGCGATCTGCACACGAGGCCGGGATGATGCTAACCTGGGCTCCTGTGTCGACTAGGAAGCAAGCGCCAGTGATCTTATCAGAAACATAGAAAAGGCGGCATGACTTTCGACCAGTACCACTTGCCGCCGTCAGTGGCCGGTCGTCGCATTTCCCGACCAGGAGCATGGGCGAGTGCCCTTGCGAGCAGAGGCACCGAATCGGCGGTGGTACCAGCACACGGTTGAGGATGAAACGTCCCGCGGCGCGTTGGGTGGCCGAAGTTCCGGAGAACGAAGGGCGTCGAGGAGCGACTGTGTATCTGGAACCTGGATGACGGTCGACAATGCGCAGGTACAAAGTCATCGAGGCGCCTGACAAGGGCGTCCAAATGGTTCTCGATGCTCGCGAGCGCCGGGTCTGCAGCGGTGGCCGGTGGCGGTGTGGTAACGGCGTTGAGGCTATGTGTCTGCGAGTAGTCCGCCACTCGGTCAGCCATTTCAGCGAGTGTGTCTACTGGGACATCTCCTGCAGCTACGAGGACCGGGACCATGCTCTGCGGTAAGCGCTGGAGGAACAACTCACGTAACAGCTTCTCCTCTTGAGGGGCGGAGGGGCCGCCAAGGAGCTGGCGCATGCGTCGCAGGAGCTGTGATGGGCGACGGTCACCGAGCTCTGTAGCCGTGATGAGCTGTTGGAGTCTGCTGTGTTCGGACTCAGACTTGCGGGAAATGATAGCTGCCTTCAACGTGTCGTAGGGATGGCTCATGTGCGGCGACGCTAAAATATCAGCTAAGTCGTCGGCTACGTCCGGAGGTAAGAAGGATACCAGATGCCAGTGTCTGGTCTGTTGGCTGGTGATTTGCCCTAGACGGAAGTGCGCCTCGACCTGCAGAAACCATGTGCTGGGGCTGTTGGGCCAAAATGGTGGCAGGTTGACATGTTGAATCGCAGCGACTGCAGCACTGCTAGGTCTGGCGTCTTCTTGGGCGTCAGGACCGGTAGGATTGGTGGCAGAGCCGGCGGGATCCATGCGGAATGATCGGGGCTGTGTGTTCTTTATCGGGTCACCATTAACTGTCGGAGCTAACACGGGAAAGATCCAGCCCTGACAGCATTTAGTTTTCGAACTGATTTTTTTTTTTATTATCTTGCTGCACCCGCAGCGCGGCCCAAATGCCAACTTCTTCTTCCTTGACGAGCGGCGCATTGAGGCGCTACATATATGTTCTGCTGCAGTTTATACGTTCAGTTGTCGCAGTGCAGCTCAAGTTACAACATTATGCAGAACTTATCGTATTGTTATTTGGAAGTGACAGTGAAAAGGCACAACCTCTCTGAATAAAGAAATCTACTTATTTGGATTTTATATAAAATAAGACATATTTCACTAAGTACATAGTGCAATATTGTATGCCATACGTATATACATACATGCTGATCCTTACCTGCTGCCTCTTTAGGCTCAAAGTCTTCTAGCCTGCGCACATCTTTGCCAAATAGTGTGGGAACGGCATTCCAGATGAGGCGCTGATATGTTTGTGGATTCATGAACTGCGAGTCGTGAAAATGAAGCTGGCACATCACTCTGGTGTAGAGGCTCTTTTCAGACTGGCTCTTGAGGTCCTGACGATCAGAGTTGGCCAGCCACTGGTTGCGTCTACATGCAACAGGAAAGGTGTGAAACACGTGCTCTATTATCAGAGACCGATGTGAAACTCATTCCACTAGCTGCTGTGTGGACTCCTGGTATATATTTCAATAATGTAGGCATGTGCTCTATGTAGACAACAATAATGAGAGAGGCTCGGATGGAGCCCTTCTAATTGGACAGTTCAAATTCAAGAACGAAGGCAACACATTTTGGTTTTCATGGCTTGAACAAATTGTTTTGCTGTTTTGTATTACGTGTTGTTCTCTCCTGTTAGCGTCGTACGGTGACAGCGATGGATGTGTGGGGTACCATGCGAACAGTGACATGAACACCATGTTAAAGGCACTGAAGGTAGGCAATAAACATCACAAATGGGTAGGACTACATATACTAACTTGCAATATGAGGAAGAAGCACGAGTGGTCATATAGATTATGTTATGCAAATAAAAAACAAAATTAAAAATGAAATTGTCTTAATCAAGTCATTGTACAACAAAGGCTTGACATGGGAAAACACTATCATAGCCAGCTTTGGTATAAATCAGTCATTTGTTTCAAATTAATGTGAATTTATAATGTCATTTCTGTAGAAACAGTACATGAGACATGTAGATGTCGTCTGCATAAACATGCAGTCTTATATATAAGTTTAAAAATGAATATAAACGGAACAAGGCGACTAAGTAGAGTGAACTCGCCTTTGCTGATCTGAAGGCAGGCGAAAATAGCGCACACGTCTGCGCTCTCCGATGCTGGGACAACCTGGCGCTATGCATTTGTGGTTATTTAGAGGCTTGCCAATCGGTTCAGTCAGTAATGCCTTATGCTTCAAGATGCTGGTCATCACTGTGAAGGGTACGGCGAATACAAAATAGGTCAATGAAGGGCGGCCATACAGAATCTATTGTAAAATCGTCACGTCTATACATTTACGAAAATTAAACACTTTTAATATAAGCCTGCGAACGAAGCAAAAGTCGCATAATTATTCGTGAAGACAATAAGCACAGACATTTGGGAAATTTTGTAGGCGAAATGAACGAAAAGACAGCAGGCGCGAAATGATTGATGACCCGAAGACGAAAAGGAACGCTTAATGTCCCGTGCATCTATCTGTATGCGGTCACGAATTCGGAGGTGATGCAACAAGTTGCTAGCTGAAGTGCCGGCGTCTCGTTGGTACGATAAAACAAACGCAGAAGACGGGCAGCCGCAAAGAAGTTCTAACAGCGGACGACCGGACGAGCTGATGCTAAGAGAACGAGCTGCCAGCTTCAATGGCCAATGCAAATACGTGATGATGCTACTGTTATGGTCGCAGTACCCAAGTCGTTTATCGCGCTCTGTCGGTGTGCAGAGAGAACAGTCCGCACAGGTAATCAATAATCTGTTGGCCGACTGGAAAATGTACATGTATATACATGATAAAACAAGCATAGGATGAAGCAAAAGTTGTTGTAGCCTCAGTACCTGTACTATCCTGGAACGCTGTACTATTCTTTGGTGCCGTTGTCAGAAAGCTGTACTACTCTTTGGAACGGTGGCTGAAGACATACGGATGTCTGACGCTTCTTACTTGTCTTGGATCTAAATGTACTTTTGTACTCGGCATCAGGATCGCAACAGCGGCTTTGCATGGCTTGTTTTTAGACTTCGAGATAGAAGCATTGTTATTTTATTTCCCGATGGGTTCTGGCGGAGCAGACGAAGGAGGCTCAAAGGAGAACCAAAAAAGTAAGTGAATGTTTTCATCAGTGAGACAGACGCTAATGCCACATTGCTACACGTCCAAGTATGAATGTACTACGCTATTTAAACACAACCCCCCCCCCCCTTATGTTCTCATTCTTTTATAGTTCCCAAGCTGTGGCTCAGAATTTTTATCGAAGGAAATGTCGCAAAGCGAGTACTAAACCTTAATGTTCTCAGAATGAATGTTTCGCACTTCTCAGGGCAAGGTTCCTTTTGGCGTTGCATAAATCAGTTGCCAAACTGCCCTTCTCAGAGTACCACTCTCTACATGTTGCCTGTTGAACGCGGCCTGAATCAGAGATGCAAGTTACGCATGATCACGGCCGCTGAAAAAAAAAAAAAAATCCAGCGGCCGTGGCACAACACGCGACGGGTGCACATTCTCAGCAGCGTAACTTGCCTCGGTCCTATTTCGTTGGCGTTAAAGTTCCAGGGCAGCGTGTTACGTTTTACGACTTCACATCGCTCAAACATTTACTTTTGCACTAATCTTGCAATCCCCCGCCTCGGTGGTCAAGTGGCAAAGATACTCGGCTGCTGACCCGCAGGTCGCGGGCTCGAATCCAGGCTGCGGCGGTTGCATTTTCGATGGAGGCGGTAGGCCCGTGTGCTCAGATTTGGGTGCATTAAACAACTCCTGGTGGTCGAAATTTCCGGAGCCCTCTACTACGGCGTTCTCTATTCATATGGTGGTTTTGGGACGTTAAACCCCACATATAAATTTTGTGATCGGGCAACCGGCATGTTTGCGCAAATATTACGCATACAGACAATGGTGTGCTAATGTCGTATTGCAGTTTTCACGGGCTTCGCGAGCGCATGTATTTGATTTTTTATTTGTGTGTTGAAAAACATTGGGCAGTAAGCTATGTTAAAGCCGGCTATCATATAAGGGTATTAGCAATGCAGAACACACAATAAAAACGATCGAATAAGAGAAAAATAATCACAAGCATTATGTATATGCAAGATTTCTGGTGTATAAAAATGGGCTGAGTCCAATACATATTTTGACCACCAAAACATTGGGAATTTGTAGCAATGCCCTTTCCCACTTATTGCCCAAGTTATGCATTTCTCTTTTCATTTAGCTAAAATTTATGAACCTTAGAAGAATCATTGTTGTGCAGCTAACATGTCTGGCTCTTGCTAACCTATATTTTCTGAAATGTTCAACATTACTATGTTGTATGTACTACATTTGAGAACATTTACAAGCGAAAAGCTAGATATTCTTAACGGCGAAGCAGCAAGAGCATTGACATGCGAAAAACTGAAAGCTCGAATGTTTTGGTAACACTTGTAGCTACTTATAAACAACAGGCTTGCTGTAATGTGCAGATTTAGCTTGACCTGCATGTAGACCTACACAGTCATGGGGCATCTTTCCAGCTTGCAGCTCAATGGAGTACGTCATGCACAACAAGGAAGGAAAAAGAGCGGCGTCCATCCTGCTGTTTAGCGACGTGACAAATTGTAGCGAACTCCGACAGCTTGTGTTGAGCGGCTGCCTGCAAGTGTGTCTCATCAGGGCATCCCTTGTGGCTGACATTTTCCAGGTGCAGTGCGCGGTTGCAAAGGCACTGGCAAATCACTCCAGTGGGCACATGAAAACAAGAAGCTTGCTCTCCGAGATTCTCTATGTTCTGGGACCCTCTGGCAGCATTGGTGACTCACTACGCCAGATGGGTGCTCAGGATGCCGACACCACAATTGTGGTGGTTCGCCTGGATGACCCAGGAGACTGCTTCCTCAAAACACTCACGGAACGCATTAAGGGCCGTCAGCTGCCCTTGGATAGCATTCCACAGTTTACCGACACTGGGGCACTCACAAAAATGTTCAAAGTGACAGAGAAGGAACTCACTGTGGGCACTTTACTGGATGCAGTAGTGACTCGAATTGCTCTAAAGAACACAGTGTAGATGTTGGGTTTAATAAAGTATGGGTATACATTTCAGGAAACAAGCATAGTTGACCTTTTTTTTTTTTTTTTTGAAATCAAGAAAGGAAATCCACGAGTGTTGAAGATTGGGCGAGTTGGTTCGTCGTACTTGAACTGGTATAGCGCATTACGGGGGAAGAAGAAACGGCCGAGCAGACCGACACAAGAGGACAGAGCGCTCTGTCCTCTTGTGTCGGTCTGCTCGGCCGTTTCTTCTTCCCCCGTAATGCGCTATACCAGTTCAAGTACAAGAAAGGAAAGCTTTGTAATATGTACAGGAGACTAGATGAACAGTGTACAAGCAAACAATCTGCACATAGATGTGTATGGTAATGAGATTCCATTGTTGGGCATGTGCTAGAGTGCTTATGATGCAGAATTCCCACAAAACTCTACATGTTCCCCACATATTTGTTGAGCACAGCCATCAAAGTGTGTGAAATTTTGTTGCCCAGCTCAAAACACCGTGGCAAAGTTTGCAAGGACAATATTTAGAGATTCACCCATTGCGCGTAGCAGTGAAATCATCAGTCGAGTTAAACTGACTGGTAGTATTTTCCAAGCACTTCAATAAACAACTTCAAAAACATTAATGCAGTTACAACTGCATACATGGACTGGCAACATATGATTCCCCCAGGTCTGCTATGTCCAAAGGTAGGAGTGCATAAATATTCAAATTATTGCGAACCATCTAACAAGCATTAACTTCATTTGCTTGTCAAAAGGAAGTTTTATCACGAACATTCAATGTTAAAACAATAAGGAGCAAGTGTATTTTGTGGTAAACCACCATAAATTCACAATTAATCAACATTCTAAATTACATAATGCTGCTGCTTGACTCTATAATGCACTAATTATGTACTCCTGTCACATGAACACATCAAAAGTCTTTAAGGTAAGTGGTCTTTTAGAAAGTTGAAAGACTTTTCCATGAAGAGGCATTGCCTCACAAACACAAGTGCTGACAATCTCTCCTAGTATTTTTTTTTTTTTTGAACGTGCTAACAAAATTGTGCCGCTAGCTTTCAAAACAGAATCAGTCCAAATAAAATTATGTATATCAATATGTAAGGTAAGGTGTAGTTGGCACAGCCTTCTTCGTTGTTCTTCTGAATGCGAAGGGCATCCAGGTTGTCTTTCCACAGAAGTCCATGTGTCCCTCTCCGCCCATTGTAGGCATTCCCTTTTTTTTTTTTTTTTTTTTCACTTATCCAGAGCTGTTTTATCAATGGCGCTAGCGTGCTTTGTCCCCTGTGATTACAATGCGCTAAGCACCCGCACTTGAAGCCCCTAACTGTTCTTGCTTAAAAGAGTACACAAAGAAATAAGCTTTGAAGGGTGTATTATGTATTTTACGATATATAAAATTTGTTTTTGTGATAAGCCCATGTGAAAGAAAAATAAACATTTTCTAATCATCTGATTCAATTCACAATTACTGGCACCCACTGGTTTCAAGGCTACTCTTTCATAGCTGTGAAAGAGATAAATTTCTTTTCCAAAAAAAACACTGCTTCTGATGAGGAGATCACTCTCTGCCATGGGTCTGTGGGCAAACGTCTTTTTGAGAAGAAGGCTTCTTGTGCGGAAGACCTTCAAGTGCTCATGCGACAGGGGCATCACAGTAAAAAACTGAAACGCTGCTGGAAACTTTATCATTCGCTTAGATATTCCCACAGCTTTACTAGTGCTGCGACATCTTTTAAAGTTAGCTTGTCCTTAGCAAACAAAGAGCATAGCATGTTGATTTATATGCAAGCTTCAAGGCTAGCAAGGTGCACCTCGAAGGTCCCCTCACCATGTTTGGAATTGCAAACAAGCACAAACAATGTGCACATCACTTGCTGGTGATAATGTCTGGGTTTCTGCTGAAATCAATATTAGTGTTACCAATTGTAGCACCATCATCATGGTGCTATTTGGCATTATAAATACTGTGTAAACAAAATAAATAAAATATGAAACATTTGTGCATTACAAAAATGGTCGAAATGTCAAATGAAAGGCCACATCCCCTTCATTTTTGAGAAGCTTATCGTCGAATAAAAAGTACCGCACGCAACAGGTACTGCTTGGAACGTCTCTAACAAAAGTACAATTACACTCAACTATATCAAACTCTGGGCTTCATCGAGTTATCCTCAATCAAACTATTTCCAAACACAACTAGTTAATGTGAACGCAGAGGGAAATTTACAGCCACATCAAACAAAAATAGCCGGGACACTTCAAAAACCAGAAAGTACGAAATGCCTCAAAGTGGCTTACCCTCATAAAAGGTTGGCTTTTTCCGCAAGAATGAGGGCTTTCTCGAATGCACTACTACCGCTATCCATTGCATGCTTTCTCCCATGATTCCTCGTTGTAGTGACTTTTCGCTCCCTTAGTGCGGTGATTACCGTGAAACAAAAACCTTTTCTCCTCAAAGCTGGCGATAATCAACAAAGTAAAACACTGAGATATTAAATCTAGATCGCCGCTGCATACAACATCAGCTTGTTCTTAAGTCCTACTGCATATGCTCTGTATTACTGAAGAACAAGGCCAACATTAAAGCCAAGACGGACAAGTCTTCCAGACTTGACGAATATGCACAGCTATGTATAACACGAAGCTCTGTATAACAATGTTGATGCACTGTTTACACTGATACCATATATTGTCACGCATTACTCGCCCCTGCACAAAGACCTCAACCCCTACTACAAACCGTAGAAAAATAAGAAATTATAAAGATCCCCATGTATTACTGTAAAGTTGTCTTCCGTGCAATATCATGAAGCAGCAATCTTGTACAGAAAAACTATGGTAAATTAACAAGTTTTCTATCAAAATATAAAGTGTATCGAACTATTTCTCACACGAGTTTTATATATGCTGGTCTGTTTATACATGACTTTCCTTCATGATCCAGAGCAGAGTGCGCTATGTTGCCACCGAAAGCAAAATAGTGGCTCTGCATTCAGTGGCTTGCTAGAAAGACAATACATTTTTTTTTTTTAACTCCTCAGTCCTCATATAATAATAAACTAGAATTATTCTGGTTTAATGCCCCTTAGACGATTTAAAGTGTGTCAACAAAACTTGGAATAAGTGCTCGCAATTAAGATAAATGACAAGGAAGTGTTTAAAATGAAAGTAAGAGGGCTTTGAGACCGTCTAGTTAAGGAATGAGCACAAATATTTCCTATTTGAAAAACATTTAAAGCAATGAAAAGCATTCAAAAGTATCATTATATTGCCACGTGTATAGCTGCGTCTAGCTGTGAGATAGCGATGACAACACAGATCGCAGATTTGCTCGAGAGGCGCAGCACAAGCGAGTGAAGAAGACGACAATCTTAGCGGCCTTCTTTTGAGAGCGTCTCTACGAGTTCCACTGTCCCTGTTTTTGTTTTTTTTAATAAATAAACCCTCTGTGTTTTATTACTCGTGACAATATCCAACTTAATACCACAACTCGCATTTCTTCCCGTTCTTGAAGGCCATGGTTCACAAATTCCAGCCCACAGGCTTTCTGTAATACAATACATGACAACACCATGCACTCGCCACTTATATACAACTTTTCAGAGATGGAACAGCATTGCATTGTAAGGGCACTAATAACCGCTAACAGCTACTGCAGGAAAACTCAACATTTAAGCACACCCATGTAAGGTAACAAGGGTAATCAGTTCCATTTCAATATGCAGATCATTCCAACCATAACCGAGGTACATGCACATTTAACTTGGGTATCAGAGAGGCTTTCATGGAGTTTCCCATTTACAGTCCTCAGAAACAAGTTACACTACAGCACTGCTTTTCAGTCTGTCTTAAATGCACCAGCACAGTAGTGCCATTCCGGTTAGACGCACTATGTGAAGAAGATGATCTCTGGAATCTGGCCGTCTTCAACAGACGTGCCATTATTGTTTCCGGCGGCATAGGTGAACTGGAACGTAACCTTGCTCCCACGCGGGCAGTCGAGCGTTACCTTGCGTAAACCCTTTGTTCCATAGTGAGAGTCTGGTCCCTGTGGGGAGACAAAAGCTGTGCTGTAATTACCATAATTACCTTACATACAATGAAAACATAATGCTGTTCTTCATACACAGCAGGGCTCCTTTAATGAACAGCTGTTGAGTATATCAATCCTTTAACCTAAAGTTTTGATGTCTCATTTCATCCCAGGAGCACTGTGCGTTACAATGAGTGTTCCAGAAGTTTGTTTGACATCTTCAGCCATTTGATAGTATGCTAAAGCTACATATCTACCTTCCCACTCCAAAGAAGCTGTCTTCTGAAGGGGGACATGAACTATGAACAACTCGCAAGATTTTGCAACACCTTCTCATTTTTTACCGCTATAGTTAATGCGAGTCCTCTGGAGTCGCATTCTTGCAAATAAATCTTTGCTCCCACCATGCTCAATCATATGTGCCATTCTCTGAGCAAGAAATTTTCTTTCTTTCAGGAGGAGCTAGCACTTAGTTAGGGTTTCAAGGATAGAGCGATGGGCAACATTTGCACCACCACCATGCAAAACAAGCCCTCCAGAGCATGTAGGTGATTCAATTGAACCACTGCTAATGGAGACACAAATAATGAGAATTGACGGGCAATGATTCTGAGGAAAGTATAGGAGATGTTATTTGCAGTAAATATAAAATAAATGTGAAGAAAGCAAAGCGATCTATACTTGGTTATCAGTCAGGAGCAGTGCAGCTTTTCACCGTCAAAGTACCATTTTTTTAGCCAGTGGTGTCACAATGTAAACGTAACGCCGCAGCTGGCTACTTTGCGCCTTAGGCAGCGCTTGGACCTAAACTTCTATGAGTGCATCTGCACCATGAAGTAATTCCTCTGAAAGCCCTCATTTTGAGCAAAGAGAAAATTTTAGTTATAGTAACACAAAAGCGTTTTATGCCAGGGTTCATCAAGACTTCAGTGACATACTTCCGTCACTGAAATAACGAAAAAATACACACAATCAGAAGACAAAAAGAAAGTTTTGTCAACGGGAGTCGAACCCTGGCAATGACAGTTGTCGGGGCTATCTACTGTGCTGCAATCTCGTACTTAGTGGCTTTAAAAACACGTCTTTCATATCTCCCACTGCCCTATCACAGCACTCTTGGTAAAGTGTACTAATGCACCACGACCGTGACATTCACGATTAGTTCCCTCAGAAGCATGAACTGTTGGGTAATTGGTAATTCATCTTGACTGAGTGTGCGAAAAAAAATTTGAAGTACAAAAGGACGACACCAAACACAGCGCCGTGTCCAGGTATCTTCCTTTTGTACTTCGAATTTCTTTTTCACGCACTCAGTTAAGATAGTTCCTTCAATGCTTTGTTTCTGTGCATCTGTCCTATTCAGTGCATTTCAAATAGGGAAAGTGCAATTCGGTCAACGGCTTAGCACACCGCGAGGTGGCAACCTTACCCAAAGCATCGTTGTGGCTCATAGCATTTATCCATACCAAAAATAGCTCTGCAACGCATGGTGGAACCCGCCTGCTTCATCTGGATGTAACTCCGCATTCCCACTTACACTTGCCCCATGAAAAATTGTGGCTGGCCATCAGAGAAGACACAATAGGTGCTGCATTTCCCTCTAATCAAGCAGTGGTGTTTAATAACTTCAACATGCCGTGAGTAGGCGACCTTAGGAGAAGTTTGGCGTACAATTATTCACGCTATTCTGGCTGTCACACCGCTTTTTTGGTTCCGCTCTCATCGTTTATAACTACCACAGGCATCCGTGATCGCAAGGGCATGTCAAATTGTTAATCAGTCATTTATCATGGATGTTAAGACATTGCAATCGACATGTATCTAAGCGTCCCTGTGGATGCATTTACGTTAAACAGTGCTTTAGCTGTTGAAAATTCAAAGACATTGTATAAGCTGTCTTGTATAAACAAACAGTAAACATTATATTGCTTCTGTAAGGAGACGTTTCAGTTTCGTGTTGCACCGATTCCTATGATAGAGAGATCAACCTTGTTGTTTTTTTTACTTCCCTGTTTGATAACAACACATAAAAAAGTTTATTGGTCAGATGAAGTTGAAGCTTTATTGATGACAGTGCAAAGTCTTTCCTCAACCGCTTGATCTTGTTTTCGCACATACACAACGATTGTAATCACTGAACACTGCACACATCACACAAACAATGCTTTTCATGGAATTCAATTAGGAATACGAATGAGCAGCACTCAAGTCGGCTAGCAAGAGTGCAACCTCACTGACGACGCAGAAGGGCTGTCACGAACAGTGGAGGTGGCCATTACGATCAAGTCCGTAAGCACAGAAGTACACTCCTTTTGATTTCTCTAATGACCACAGATTGAAGGCAGTCAGCCGCGACGTCACGATGACACGGCGACGTCTTCGGCTAACAGCCGCAACGTCATTGACAAACAGCCGCGCAGCTCTCGACTTGTAACAGAGTATTAAAAATCACTTGACACTGGCAAGGACAGAACCTGAAACCTTCATATACGTCCAATGTGTAATATGAAGGTTGCATGTTTCGTTCCTGCCAGCGGCAAGTTATCTTTTCGTCCACTTTACTTTCTTCACATTTATATAATAATTACTAAAATAACACCTCATATACTTTCCATGACATCATTTGTCAGTTCTCATTAATATTGTGTCAAACAAAAAAGAAAAAAACAGGCCTTTAAAGATTCCCCTTCTTTCTTTCCTGCTAAAAGAGAAGCTCATCTGCAGTTAAGTGTTAGTCTCGGTGATCACGGCAGCAAAGAAATGTGAAAAATATGGCTATTTATTCAGAGGTTGGAAATTACTGATTTCCCCTCTCAATCTACTTTTTCTTCATTTTTTTTTTTTAAGTCTCACTATGATGGTGGGAAGCAGTATCCTCTCATTCAGTTTGTTTGACTTTTTCCAACCTAAGATTTGCAGCATGCTGAATCGTAGAAACTGAAAGCATACCATCAAGGTCACATGAATTTTGTGGTAAAATAAAAAGTGCAATTTCGAGTAATTAGGTTGAAAATTACATTAGACAACTAAAATAACTTCAATAAATATAGCAACTAATCAAGGAAATATAAAGCCAGAACTACGATTAATCCTTTGATGCACCTAATACACGTCTGAGTACACAACTTGCCTTTTTTACACTCAAGGACAACTTCCTGTGGCAATGAAGGGAAAGCTACGGGAGGTGGAGCTACAGCACATGTAGTTCTCTGCAAAGAAGTCCATCTCTACTCGCTTTTCAAATGCCGGCTGTGTCCGAATAATACCACTGCATGGAATTTGCTGCATCTGCTTACACAGCTATTTGTGAGTGTAATTCGACACAAGCTCCTTCGGCGAGTCGTCGGAATAGCTGAAGGGTGACTAGCACGAAGACCCCATTTTGACTGTGAGTGCACATGAAACGTGAGACGTTTTCAGACGTGCAAAAACGTGAAATGACACTTCATGAAGCAAAACAAACATTAATATTTCTTTAGTTCGTGCAGCGTCTCTTTATAAACAGCATCTTGTAATAAATAAGATAATGTTGTTTTTATTATCTTCACGTGCAAAATACAGAATCATTTGTAGGACTGTATTTTTCAGCGGTGGGCGTGTTTGGTTCCATAGCCTTCCCTTCATTGCCACAGAAAGTTGTCCCCGAGTGTAGTTGTCTTGACTAGTAACTCAGAAAGAGCAATATGCATTGAGGTTTGAGTTGTACCTCACATGTCATTTACCTTCATTTCTCAGTGTACTGTTGCATATCATCACTTTGTAGGAAGCACTTCCAGTGTCGTTAAACGTACCGCTTTCCATAAGCCACACATAAAGTATAACTGCTTTTTTTTGCAATATGAATATAAGCGAAAATGGCATAGCACTATATTTTTAGCTCGAGATTTCATTCTATTTTAAGAAAGCAACATGAATGCCTTCACGATAAACCAGTATTTAATTAAAACTTACTTCAGATTAATTACTGTAAAACAGAAGTAACCATATTGCAACGTTATTTATTCCGCATAGAATGTTGAGTGCCTTCAAATAATCTGGAAATTTGATGCATTTACAGACCGTTCTTCATAGGTCATGCCTGAAAGGGCTAAGAGACATAGCAGAGCAGAGTACTCTGGACAAACGTTTACGACATGGGGTTTCCCGATGTACACACCATGCATGGTACACGAACTACATTTTGTTCTGCTCCCATCAAAATGTGGTTGGCGTGGCCAGGACTGAACTCGCAAGCTCTTGCTGAACACTGCAACACTATATCCACTCATAGCAAAAAAGAAGGCTGTGAATTCGATTCTTTAAAGTAAGTAAGTACGCCTACATTAGTCAACGTTTTCGGCAGTAATGCAGCTATGTCAGTTGTGCCAAACACATTCCCCAGTGCGAGACAAAAAAAAAAGACGTGCGGATGTTTACTGACCTTGAGCGTGGCACAAGCTGTGTAGTTGACGTTGGGGGCCACTTCCACTGGGCTTTTGAAGAGAACACGAAATCTAGCTGGTGATCCGTCACTGTTAAAGCTCGTGTCGTGCGAGCCAAGCACTTGGCCGGAGCCTGTTTGAACAAGCTGAATGTTGACATCATAGTCTGAAGGACCATGAATGGAGCCGTATAACCCATAGCCCAGCACGAAAATCTTCCTATCCACAGCAAACCTGAAAGAAGGAAAGGGAAACACAATGGCTCAAAAGTCAGCACACTTTTCAAGCACTTGAAAAGCTGAAACAGTTCTCCAAGCAATGTATTAGATCTCATCTCTGATTGTAAGGACATTATAATTCTTCTGGACTGAGAAGACTGAACAGGTACAGGTATCTCCTATTTGAGTGCATTTTCTGTGCTAGTTCACTGATCACAGCACTTTTATCTTCAATCCATCAGTGCACTATGTGCTGCCTGTATGTTTTTCTTCCATTAAACATTTTGTAAAACATAGTTTATAGAATTCTAGTCTTTGCTACCTCCGAAACAGGCATGCAAACAACACTCAAACTCTTGGAAGCACACATACCACAGCACTAGTTAATTAGAGATATACAGACAAATATGCCTCCCTTAATTGCAATAGTCAGTGTAGCTCACTTTAAAAAAAACTGTAGCATATTCAACGTCTTAATGGCTGTCATAACCTGCAAAGGCTCATAACATGCCAGCCTTTTCTTTTTATGGTAACCTTTTTGAGTGCAGCTTATAATAGAAATTTCACATTGATGACTACTGACTTGAGATTAGAGTGAAGTATTGTGATAATATATAGAACGTTCTTTTTTAGACAATACAGATTAAAAAGAAATTTAATGACAGTGATATTCTAGTTGCTTTCACATAAGTAATACTTCATGTTGGGGCGAATATACTCCTAAATTATTGACTAAGGCTACTTGTTTTTTTTTTTTTTTTTTTTTTTAGAAAGTAGCGGTGCATACCACTTCATGGCTACCTATTTTTTTATAACATTGCTATAGTTGTACGTAATTGAGATATTCATAATCAAACTTTAATGAACAAATAGAAACTGGTTGCACCCAGCAAGCAGAAAGTGCAGCCTCTATTATGTAAAAACGGAACTGCATGTGATGTGATGTGACAAAACCTGAACTAAGGTGCGATAAAGCAGAATATGGTCAGGAAAATTGGCAAGTATTTTTACATACACAAGTAGATAGTTTATTCGCAATGCCCATAGACCGTCACACCGCCAAGCAGAATTCGGGGGCGTCCTCTCGAGGATGGTCAGTAGGCAGACACTCTCTAGTTGGGCTGTGCTAGCCTCAGTGTTGACATGCTAGCAAGAAACGAAGACTAACCACTTTGCATGTTTCGAGCATCAGTGAATAAACCGAACCATATGTGAGACGATAAATCTGATTCATTCTTGCGAGCCATGAAGTTTTCGTGAAGTAAAAAATGTGGCAATTCGCACTTTTGATTACAGCCTGCACAGAACACATATATCGGCTTTCGTAGTGCTTTCTTAGTGCATGAATTCCATAGCAGTCACTGTAGGCCGACAGTCGCGCGAGTCGCGATTTGCTCTTGAAAACATGGCCAGCGCTGCTGCGCTGCTTCTTTTTGTGCATTTCTTGACAGATAACAGCACACTGCAAGCAATTCGCTTGTGAACGGGTTTCAGAGCGAGATGTTCTTTGCACCCAGATAAACGTGGTGAGTGATGTGGTGTTGGGATTGAAGTCGTTTCGTGGAGGGTATTTAACATATTGGTTTCAGCAGTGATGTTGAAAGAAACCATCGTAACAACGAGGATTTTTTACTGGACATAGAAGGTTGTCAACGCACCGAGAGCGACAGCGACAATGACCGATCAGCAGCTAATTCACAAGGAGCGAGTTGCACTTCATGTCCCTTCATGCGTTAATGCATTTTCACGCTCGTCACTTTGATCGTATTTAATGTATAATATACTTCAGAGAGCTCAAAATAAAAGCATAGTTTTTTTGTGCATTGCATGTGTCCCAATTTCAGTGGTTATTACGGAACCCTGCATGCCACCAACATGCTCGAGCTCGACTAGCGAAGCGAGCTGGTTAGAGCGATGAAACGTGAGGTTACGACTACAGTCCACACCTCTCTGTTGACTTCTCCTGCCTTTGACTGGTACCCTCTAAACAACGTTGTTGTTCAACGAATTTTCACAATTTCGACATTGCGAGAAAGATACCCGTCTATTCTTTTCGATATCCTAGTTTCGGTTCCGCTGATGAAACCCGCAGCATCCAAGTGCAGTGAAATGCGCACGGTTAGTGTCTGAGCATAGATGTGCCACAAGTGCTACTTAATGGGAAGTTAAATGCTAGTGTTCCGTTGAAGAAGCAACTCCATGTTACTGACAGTACAAGTAATGACAGCGTAAGATGTTGGTTAACCATCGCCACGTAAATATTTGGTTCCGTGCAGCCGCGCGGGACCGAATTTATTTATTTATTTTCTCTTATATATTTTTCCGCAATATTACTTTTAGTTTTTATTTAAAATAATTTCAAATTTATTACCATTACTTTTATATATCTATTTTTAGTTCAATTATATTTAAAATGTTTTTCTCTTTTCTTAATTGTTCTTATTTCATTAAAAAAATTTCTTTCACACCTTTTTCAATCCTGGGCAAGGCCCAGACGTCTCTGGCCCATTATTTTGCAATAAAGAAATCGCAAGTTTCTCGTGCTCGGTGAGCCCTTGGGACACAAAATGTGTTACCGTCTGGCCACAATTTTATTTTACCAATTGGCTTTTTTCTAGAAAATTTCGCACTTTGAGTAATAATTGAAAACCACTTTGCATTTATTTTAAATTGGCTTTAAACCTGGCATGCTTTTGCAGGAACAGGTCTTTCCCACACCTTTATTTTTGGCTTTCTTTTTTTTTTTGAGCTGGGAATGAAGTTGGGGCTGGAACGTATGTCTGTGCATCCTATCTATTTCTATGCGAGTTCACGGGTTGACCCTCCTCCCACAGCCATCTTCAATTGCATGGCGCGGCACCTACAGCCTGTGGGCAATGCGAATTATTTCTGTCCGATGTGTGGAACTTACCTGTTTCTGTCTTAATCTATAAACATGAGCGAAAAATTATTTCACTTGTCTGCAAGGAGAAGCGCCGCAGTGACTGCGCCTCAATTTATGCTTCACAGAGAAAGAAAAGGTCGATGTAATTTTCTTGCACACAGCTTGAAAGAAATAAAGCACTAACATCACACGCAATGTTAAGGTGATCCACTGGCACGAGTGAGATGACTTGCCATTCTTCATGAAAAGATATGGCCACAATGCCCCTTCACTTTAATTTCATCACTGCCTTGCCACCAGTAGTTTTGGTCTGATGCAACAGAATAATTGCACTTTCTGCATGCCAGGCACGATGAGTTTCAATTTCGCCCTTAAAGTTTGATGAAGAGTAACTCAAGTTTCATGCAACCTGTCGTTATTTCTGAAAAAAGAGTATGACAAATTGGTGCACACTACAACTTTCTAATATAAACAATCGCCCTTAAGTCAGTAATAAGAAAGTTAATGAGTTCCTGTTAATTAGTCTCGTCGATGTCGTTTTAGCTGTGGCAAAGTATTTCCAATTTGACATAGAGTATATGCATGAAAACGGCTTGAACATGACTGTCAAAGAATTTTTATTGAAAATCTGCACTGTCTAAAAGAAAAAAAAAAGTAGGGGGGGGGGGGAGGCTCCACAAATTTCAACCACCTGGGTTTAAATTTTAGTAAATGGGCCTCCAGCAATTCGCCTCCATTGAAATTCAGTCGCCACAGCAGGGATTCGATCCCACGACCTTTGGGTCAGCAGCCGAGTACCATAACCACCAGTACAGAGCTGCAGGTGCAGTACTGCCAACGACAGAGATATTAGTGCCATATTAAAAATAAACTATTTTCCTAAATCAAACATGCACACGCATTAAAAAACAAATTTTCCCTTTTTTTAATACTGACAACCTAATGCCTTTACACTCAGCTGAAAAAAAGTGAACCTCACCGGATACGATCGGATGTTCCAGAGTAGCCCCAACGGCTCTCAGTCTGCTGAAACCGTGCCACCACCTGTTCTTTGCCCAAAATACAGCAGCGAGGGCTGTCTGGAAATGATACAGGTGGCTTTGGGTTCACCGTAAGGTGTAGAAACAGTGAGACCATCTCCTTGTCTGTGAGTAAGCCACTCTGCGCTGGTCCCAGCGCAAACTCCTCAATGCTCATGAGTGGAAAGCGCACTAGGAACAGTGCTCGTCCGAGAGCGGCACGCTTGTTGTCAGCAGTGACAGGACGTCCCATGCGCACACACTCTGCCTCTGCCCAGCGCAGAGCAGCGGCAAACAGCTTCACCTCCCGTATACGGAGGGTGTCCCGCTCAAGCACAGCACACAGGGTGTCTCTGTCAATGTCCACAAAGCCTTCTGCCGCGAGGGCTTCTGCAGTGCTCTTGTCGATAGTGTCGAGACAGAGCGCAGCCAGCTGAGGCTCGTCAAATAGCCGTGCCTGTGCTAGAAGCAGAAAGGCGTTGTCACTGCTCAGCTGTCGCTGAAGGAAGTCGACGCAGGCTTTCTCGAGAGCAGGCACTGCATACTTCTTTGCCGTGTAGAGGGTGGTCATCACGGTCTCGGCACCAATCTGTACTTGGTCAGAGTACAGGAACTTGAGCAATGCCAAGAAAGCAGCTGGTTCAACGTCGGGAAGCTCCACCTCTTCCGCATTTGTCGCCAAAGCCCCATTAAACATTGCGTCAAAAACAGCACTTCCCACGGACAACACAAACTTATGAGCGGGTAACCGTTGCTGCTGTGCACCTCGGCCAACCAGAAAGCGGACGTCGCTGAGGATTTCCTTGTTGAAGAGAAAAGACAGCCGTTCCTGCACAGTGCTTTTTGAAGCTTGCCAGTTGAACGGCACCTACATAGGCAAAGAGAAAATTAGATTGACAGTTATTGGAAGTGTGATCCTCCTCAACTACCTATTGCAAGATGTAATGTTCATAACATGTTGGGTACACGTACCCAGCGTGGCCAACAATCTTAATACCAACTAAACAAAAGGAACTGTTAGCGTTACTAGTATTCCCTACTGCAGTACTCAACTTTCACAACATTCAGCCATTGATGGCAACCTGAGAAGTAGATGCAAAGAGTCAAGTTACTATGTGAATTCACATTAACATATGTAATGCACCATTATAGATGAAAAAGTGTTTCAATGTTAAGGTATGACTGTGCGACACCTGAGACAAACTTGGCACTTACTTGGCTACCATTCGATGCAATGGATGTCAGTGAATCATCCACACGTGCTCGCACACCATTTGTTGTGAGACACTGTGATGCATCACTGCCTCGACGGTTCATTGGTGGCGAGGCATTCGCAGGGCTTTGAAATGATTTTCCCTGTGAAAAAAGAAAATCATGAAACAATGAACGTCATCATGCTCAATTCTCATCATCAGCACTGAAATGCTTCAGAATGCATCCGACAAGGTTAAAACTAAATAAAAAGGTCAGTCGTGTGGTGAGTAATAAAATAGGAAACACCAAGACGAGTTTGTCTGCAAAGTTCTAGAGCTTCCAAGGCGAGAATGAGGTGGTTTTATACTCAGTTCTCAAGAATTCAAACTTTTATGATGATTACCCATCTATTTGGGAGATTACACTGCAACTGAAATTTTAAACTGCCCAACTGTCATCCCATTGATCAACCGGAAAGCTGAACCTAAGCAAGTACCTTCAAGGATGACTTAGCTCTAAAGGAAAACTTGCCAGAAAGCTGTACCTAAAGCTAGTTCCTTCATGGTGTCGGTGTCCCTGCAACCAAAGGAAAGCACGAGAAAGCAGTACCTTAGATAGTTCTTTCAAGGGTGTCTTTAGAGTAAAAGAATTGTAACTAGGTGTACTGTGCAGGAGAAAACAAGGACAACAAGCAGATGGGGTCAAGCATAGACTATCAACTGATAGGCTATTCTTCATAAACCTTATATACATGACTGAAATAGGAAGTGACAGGGAACTGCACAAAATGGTGGTTAAAACACCACAAAACGAGGGCACTAACAAATAAACTTTCAGTTGACAGTCCGTGATTGTACCCGGCCGCTTGTCGTCCTCGTTTTCTTAGGTGCATTATGCCTAGCTCATGAACCGCCAACTGACTGGACCAATCGTCCACTTTGAAAGAATGTGCTAGAGAGCTGAACCTAAAGCCAGTTAGTTCCTTTGCGGTAGATCTCCAAGTTGCTCCAACTGAAGGAAACCGGCAGAAGACTAGATGAATTTAAGGCTAGTTCTTTCATGGTTGTCCCTGTCCCTGAAGGGATGTGCCGGAAACCTGAAGCTAAAGCTACTTCCTTTACAGTGACCCAGCAACTGAACGAAAGCAACAGAATGTTGAACTTTAATTGTATAGTTACTTTACGGTGTTCTTGCCCTCCAAAAAAATGCTCGCCTCTAAAACACACGGTTGAGCTACTTAAACGCCAGTATGGAGGTCAAAACATTGACAGGCGCACATTGCTGGAACTTCCACCTAGTGTTCTTTATGTTTATAAGCAAAAGCGGCACCGAATGACCGAAACACGGAAGTCAAAATGTGAAGCGTGACTTGGAAAAGAAAGGTTAGCTTCAAAACACAACTTCGAAACTGGCGTACCTGGACCGCTTGGGTAGCCGCTGCATCACTTTCATTGGACGTCAAGTTGCTGGGAGTGTCCTCTTCAGTACCAGCCATAATGCGGTTGCCGTACGTGAGCTAAATTCGCCTTTTTGATCCCTATAGACGGATAAAGTAGAAGAATCATGTCCTAAGCTAAGTGATGCCAAAACCAGTGTGCGCGTACAAGTACCCATTATACTGCATTCTATGCTTGCTTGGAAATAAAATAAGCGTACGTTAACTGCTTACGGGGAAAAAAAAATCTATGCTTTACTAGTTGTAGGAATAGCGGCTCGCATTTACAGAGTGATGCGTAAGAAAAAAAAAGCACTATAACTACTTACGAGGTTCAGCACAGTTCTAACGAGATCAGAGGGTCACACATGCGTAACACAGGGCTGGGGATACTCACACACAATCTACAGTTTTCCAATGTTGAACGACAGTGGTGACATTTGCGCGATGCGCGGCTAAACTGGTTCTCTACGAGACTTCATCTTTCCACCTAAAGTTAAGGCGGGTGTCGGACGAAGTGACCGCGGACTCTCATGCAAACAGTAGATTACACAGAAAGAAACGAAATTTCTGCGCGTACGACCAATACAAGCAGAACGAATACTCGCTACGTTGTGGGAATCAGCTGTGCCTGGCCAGCCCGTAGATCACGGTGCCGTAGATTGACCAGCTTGGCTGTACACAAGATGCGGTGGAGGCGGCTGATGCGATTGCACAGTCTCTGTCAGTGGTAGCAGGTTTTGAATAAAAAATGGATATGCGCCGAATAATAAAAGCTATCGCTTATTATTAGATTGTGCACGTAACGCAAGTAAATTGCCTTAAAGATTGAAGTTATTCGTGCTAATCACGGAGGCTACAGACTGCTGCCGTGTTCACCTCAAGTGCCGTTAGGCGGCTATAAGTTATCACGTGTTTCATTTTTGTGCGTTGTTTGGAGTTTTACACGCTTATTCTTATCATCGCCCCGTCTTATTTATGTTCTCTGGCCCCGTGTAATTGTTTTAGTGCTACTGTACGAGCAAAGTTACAAATTGCATCACCGTTTCAACATTTAGTGCACATAAATCATGTTAGGACGGTGAAGATTCCGTGGGCTCTCGAACTGCGCGACGTTACGGATCTACATTACGCTGAAATTATAGATTGACGCTCGTCTGCAGCCAACATGCTAGCGAACGTCCAGAAATTGCGCTTCTGCCGGAGTACCTTGATGAAACGTGCTTCTGTGTTTGCTCGCTTGACCCACAAAGAGGCCGAACCTGAGCCAGGAGTGAAAGCACCTCCCGAACATGCAAGCACTACTGACGAGAAAAACGACGCAAGTTCATCCGACCAGGATCCGTTTGCCCGTTTTCCAGATAACACCAACCCGCAGACCGGTGAAGTCGGTGGCCCCACCGGACCGGAGCCAACTCGGTACGGAGACTGGGAGCGAAAAGGAAGAGTGTCGGACTTTTAGCACACTGCACTGTGAAGCGAGAAACGTATAAAATTGCGAGGTACGCTGTAAAGTTGAAGCCACCCGTGTCCGTGTCAATGTAGTACTTTTAGTGGCGATTGGATTAGCCTGATGGACCAGTCGGACCCAAATCCCAAGGTTATGAGGCACGCTACAGCTGGTTGCTCCAGATTTTGACCACTTCCCTCAGTTTTCGGGCCTGTCGCCCGCGTGCTGGACACCAGCCCATAGGTGATCGGCTAAGAACAGTTTGCGGATGGGCGCCCTACGCTACAGGCCAAGGTGATTGGGGCTTGCATTACCGCACTCCCAAACTACGTGTGTAAAAGTGGACTTCTCACTTGTGTGTCACCGCTGGCGCGCTAAAGCGCGTACCGTAGGACTTCAAAGAATTGCTTCAATCACAGTTCTAGTCATAAATACGAACCACGACCTCTCTTGGTGCACAAGTTTCATTTAAAAAAAAAAAGTGCTTACCTCAGGGCCATTCATCACGACTTAGGTGAGCATCCACGACAATCTCATATCTTAGTATTACGAGCACTGGTCGTCGATCTGGTCAAACACATTTTGTCAACATAACTTAAGTATATATTTTCACATATCTTTAGTGTAATGAACTGAAGGCCCTTCTACACTCGCTGAACATTGATTGCATCCTATATATATTGAGGAAGCACTTTGACCAACACAGTCCCTTCCATACGAAAAATGCCATCTATCATGAATTTTGACCACCTGAGGTTCTCTAATGTGCACCCAAGCCTCAATACCCCCAAGTGTTCTGCATTTCACTTGTATTTGAAGTGATGCCACCACCCTTGATTTCACAGCGAGACACATTTGCGATGGCATTGTTACAAAGTGGTAATCAAATTAATCCACGAGATGCTTTACTTCAGCATGTAAAATACAGTCCAGAAGCCTCCTTTTGTCAACCAATGGAACAAAACGAACACTTCGTTCAGAGCAGCATGTTTATTTACAATCGGAATGACAGGAGAGCCACCTTTTACCAAAAGAATACAGCGGAAGAAAAACGATTGTTCCCAGCTGGTATTGAGCTACTGCAGAAGCCACCAAGCTGACGGCAAGAGCCGCGCCCACAGGAGTAAAAGAAAAAAAAAAAGGCCCAGCTATGTACAAGGACAGACCTTCTGCAACGTGCAGCACAAAGCACACCTGGGGTCTTTTGCAGTGTCAGGCAGCTGGAGCTCTGGATTAGCACAAAGGTTGCCTCTTACGCTTCTTGGGGAAAAGAAAAAAGTCTGGTCCAGTGCTTGGGGAGAATGTCTTGAGGGCAGGAACTTGGGTTGAGCAGACATCACTCAGACGGAGGACATCCAACCTAGTTACGAGCTTCCGGTTTTGCAGTACACTATGGCACTGTGTGTACAAGCAAGAGCTGGAATATCATGCACGGACACAGCTCTTGTCTCACTTCTAATGAAATCGGGACCTCAAGTCAAAACAGAAACGGGACCTACATCCAAGTGCTACTAATGGTAACAATGTAAGGCACCAATGCCCGAAGTTTTCCAAACGTGTTGCTGATTTTTGCTCTCCTTGCTATGATTTTCCATCAATAGCAGTGCCATTGTGCATGAAAACCGGAAGTTCACAACTTCTGCCACTACCCCCCCCCCCCCCCCCCCCCCCCAAGGCTGGGCCTGCTCCAAAAAGAGGCGTATGACCAGAGGCACTCTGTAGAGCTGGAAGTGTGCCCCAAAAGGGCACTCCACCAGCCCATTATCTTTCCCCTCTATCCTCCTCCTAGGTGCGGGGTGGTCAGGTCAGGGCTGCATCACTTGACAAAGGCGGCAAAGACACCCCACATGACCTCGTTGGCATTGGGCTTGGCGGCCTCGGCCTCCATGTCGAGCTCGAGCAGCTCGCGCACCCGGCGCATGGCCAGCTCGTAGTCGTCGTCTGAGAGTGGAGCAAAGGCATTCTCCAGCACGTCTGAGGCATGCGCTAGCACCAAGAGTGCCAACAGCCGCCGGTCCATGCGCTGGGGGTCGTTCACCCAACGACTCAAGACTGCCTCTTGCACCCGGCGCACTAGCTTGCCCTTGGATGTCTGGTCCACCAATGGGTGTGTGGTCATGTCGAAAAGCAGGAAGTTTTGCTTCTCGGTGGTCAGGACTCCCTTTTCTACCAGGTTCTTGGCTAAGCGCTCACGGACATTGCGTAGCTGGTAACGTAGCTTCAGAGGATTCCATGTTTCTCCTGCATATGAGCAAACCAAGACATGTCTCTTGCGCACCAGCTGACTTGAATTCCACAACTACTACATGTGACTTAATTTTTAACGATAGTGAATGTATATCCAATAAAGTGTACAGCAAAAGCTTGTTAATTCAGATTTCACAGGACTGCAAAAATGTCCATGCCAAATGTCTATTACATCAATGCATTTTCATTTTCTCAATGAATAATTATATGCAGTACTCATTTTGCATAACATCAGTGTAAAAGGAGCAATTTCAGCTATTAGTGACTTCGTTCACAATGTGAGTGTAGCTCAAGACCACTGTGCCCTAAGCTGAAACATCTCTGAACCCATCCCTCATTATGAACCAATACCACATGTATGTGACGACAATTTTTCACCAGAAAAATCCCTGACAACTTATTGCTCATCCATCCCAATATAGCAGGCGTGATGCCAGCATGCAGACCACCACTGAAGCCCTCCATTTTCAACAGCTTCCACCATGTTCCAACAGCTTTCACCAACAGCTTCCAACATTGCCCATATTGCCAGAAGTCAAAAAGAAGCTATTGAGTGTCGTGTCTGCACTTCTGTTACGGCGGTTTATTACAGTACGCAGTAACCGGGAGGATAGCAGCAACAACAGGCAAGGCGTAGCCAGGCGATGGCAATGCACTTCCGCATGTGTCGATCTTCTTCCTCACACTTCATATGACATTGCAATTTGTTGCTAAAGCATTTATCGCTCTGCTTTTGCAGTGAAACTGTGAGTGTTTCGCATCAACACCAACGCCAGGGTGAATAAGTAATTGACGACGAAAGGAGCTCGCTTGGGCTTACTACGTTGCAAATGACTGCATATGAAGGTATCAAAGACCGTGTGGGAGCAGTTTCGGTGAAATAATGTGTTTTGGAGCAGGATGGCGCAGCTGAAGCTGTTTGGCACAGCATGGCTCAATCGACACGGCACTTGCACCCCTGCATAGTACTTCTTGTAATTACTTCTTTACAGAGTGGGGTACAATATGTCCTATTACGTCGTATTAACAGTGACAATTGGGGACATGTGCAGGATTTTATTTCAAGAGAGCGGAGGGGAGGAGCTCCATTCCCTCAAACATTTGTGTGTGTGTGTGTGTGTTTAGATGTGCTTGTACACCCATGAGGAAAGGTATGCAAGCTAAAATATGGAGACCATGGGAGCACATGCTGATATTGGTGTCTACACCGTTTAGTGGTAAGAATCCTGCATTTGAGAGCATAGCTTTGACCACGTATTCACTAGGACCATTCTCCTGATAGCAGACAGTGCCAACATCAATATTGTCAGGGGTTGCTGTAGTTTGTGTACAGTTAAACTCCTTTAAAAGAAACACTGATGTAACAGACAAATGGGTGTGTAAAAGAAACACCAGTGTGCCTTCATTGAAACAAGGGTTGATAAGAAAATGCATATGTGGTACCCTACTTATGTAAGACAGCTCTTATAAGAAACAAGATTTACTGCCCAATGCATGTCTTTTATAAAATGGTTAAACTGTACTATTGCTCACCTTATCTCGCTCGACTTCTCAAAAGCATTTGACGAGGTTCCGCATAAAAAGTTAATAAATAAACTGCATGCAAGGATAGGTAAAGGACTAATCACAAAATGGCTTAGCGCATATCTGACCAAGTGAACGCAGTTTGTAAAAATAAACCAGCATACATCAGAACTAACAGAAGTTACGCCAGGTGTACTGCAGGGCAGAGTTTTAGCCCCTATTCTATTTGTTATTTTTATTAACAATTTGACTCAGTACATTGGAACGAACATCAAGCTTTTTGCCGACAGTTGCATCATTTATAAAGACATTTACCCTCCTTCAGACCATATTGTCCTATGCAATGCCCTATTATCAGTGATTGGTGCACGAAATGGCAGATTACCCTAAACGTTAAAAATCCAGCCTTGTTAAGAATATCGCGTAAATAAATCCTATCATATTGTGACGCACCAAGAGCCGTAGAGACAAGACAGCAGCAGCGGAGCAGAAAGACACGAGCGTGTATCTTTAAACGAAGCGCTAACACACACTTCTTCGTTCTCTTTATCCTTTTCGGCTGGCTAGGGCTTGCCAGCTCACAACTCTAGGCGGCAATATTTTGACTACACTATTGACGACACACCACTAACTTCCCTAAAACAGCATAAGTACCTAGGACTAGTGATTTCTAATGACCTAAGATGGGAGGCAGATGTTAACTACGTTACATCCTCGGCCTTAAAAGAGATTATTTTTCCTAAAAAGACTACTACTAAGACACCACCTCAAACTAAACTCTTAGCCTATAAAACCATAATTTGCCAAATTATTAAATATGCTATCTTAGTCTAGTTCCCGGCCACAAATAATCTAATTAAAAAGCTAGAAGGTGTACAAAGGAAAGCAGTTAGATTTACCTACAATACAGTTTGCTCGGTTCACCCACTGAGCTAATCACAAGAGCTGGGTTACTATCATTACGAAATCGCACGAAACTTGCACGCCTAAAAATGCTCTTCCAACTTATTGCTATGCAGCTAAACATCAGCTAAATGCATATCTAATTCATAAACCAGACAGTCATGCCACAAACATGCACTAACATTACAGGAATACTGTTTCAACACCAACTGCTTTAAGTATTCCTTCTTCCCACAGTCAATTAAAGATTGGAATAGATTGCCCGCTTGTATGACTAATGATAAGGATTTGAATACTTTTTTTAACTTTAGTTGAGCACCATATTGGTGCCACTCATAGCTGAAATGATGTTTTTCCTATGCTTTGTTTCTCACTTGTACAGCTCTTGGTTGCTTTTTGAATATGTCAGTTTTACCAGTGGAATATGTAGTATAGTCGTATCCCTTTATAAGAAACACTGATTAAGAGACAAATAAGTATAAGAGACACCAGTGTGCCAAAAGTAAAATACGGGTTGATAGGAAAATGCATACAAGGTTCCCAAGAGACATATCATATAGAAGACAAAAATTGCTGCCTGGAGCATGCCTCTTATAAAGGGGTTTAACGGTATTATTTTCATGTATATCAGTCACATTTCACGTCTTTTTTCCACATAGGTTGTGATTTCATACTCTACATGTAATATTATAGAATATCTGTAGTCATGCATTTTTGCATGTAAGTGCAAGTGCATCTATTGTGTATTTTGGTTGCCCTCCTGCCATAGCCCCCATTGGAACTGGCAGTATGTAAAAAATAAATAACGTCGGACCATGGGGGCTTGTCGTAGGTCGTCAAATGCCTCACGAAAATGAAAATACCCCCAAAAGCGATCTTCAAATAAAATTACCCCTGCTCCAACTCCTAAAGTTTGTCACTGGTGCTGGCATTGGCACACTTGGCCAAGATCTGGCCGACGAACAAGCGCAGAGCTGAGAGCAGACTTGTAGGCGTGAAAGAACTAAGCACATGCAAAACAACCATCATGAAAAGTCTGACCGCAAACAGTATGAACTTCTCTGAGGATACCTCCGACTAAAACTATGACAAGCCCACACCAATCCAACAGCATAAACACCAACCAAAGGCCTTGTTTCAAAGGCACTAAACACAAGTTTAAAAGCAATTATGTCTCACACGTCATCTTTTTTTACAAATCTTGAAGGCTAAGCTTTTGTTAACAGTAACCAAAATTATGTTATGTATACCTCTTGTGACACTCATGCAGCTAATCTTAAGATCAAAACGGGCCAAGCTGCGTGAAAAGTGAACATGATCGCTCTTATCCATGGTCGCTCGGCTGGCTTGGAGCAAAGTTCGTGATGTATCATACGAGAACGATCCCGCAGTGAGGTTTACAATGCATTGTATTTTCTATGGGTGCTATCTCAAGAAACGGTGGAAAATAACAAAGTATCCAGGAAAATGCAGCAGTGATGAATGTAACAGTGGGGTTCTACTGTAGATGCAAATCATCAAACAGCAACATTTAATTCATTTCTGCGAGTCATCTGGCTCGCCTTGTTTCACTAGCAGAAGCTTAATAGTAGAACTCGACGCTGGGCCAGTTGATGCATTGTTACTTGAAAAAGACACAGTATTCCCAAGCCGCTAAAAATTGTGAGCTCATGGCTTATTGTGCACCTTTGCATAGCAAAATACATTTGTTTGCTTTCTGCAGCAGCATGCGAGCAAAAGGAATCACAAATAGCTAAATAGATGAATTACATGCAGTTTCAGCTAAGAACAGAACCAGACTGAAGATCTCTGCAGCAGTATCCTATAAAGGGCTCGAAAGAAATAAAAGAAAGTAGGCCATTTGATAATTTGTTTAGACAGCAGACCAAGTGTGCTGCATGCCGTCCCTGGATTTCACTGAACACTTACTTTGTTTTTCATTTTTGTTCTAAACGAAATGTGACGAACGCATGCTAAATGCATGTCCAAACAACCTGCTACCAGGAAATGAAGAATGCCCGCTTTCTTTCAGTGCAGAAGATATCTTGCAAAATGCAGGAAGCACCCTCCTACCACTGAGGTAATCTATCCAGGCCTGCAGCGTCTCAGGAGGTCGAGTCTCCTTGAGGTGGCGCAGTGCTTCATCGAGAAGGACGTCGCCTGTAGGTGTGTCCGAGCGTAGCAGCACTTTGCGCAGCAGCAGCGACCGGCGCCGCACTCCGCATCTCTCCAGCTCGATGCGGCCTCGCAATGCCAGCTCCACCAGGATGCAACCTCGTAGGCCCGATGAAATGCAGTCATTCCAAAAGGATGTGTAGCCCTGCACATACCAATGATCTCAGTAAGCTCACCACTGTATAATGCGGAACTGTTTTATAAAGCTTGTCAAATATATCCAAGTAAATGTCAAAAATTAGACAAATTTAATGCAAGCACATTCCTGTTCAATGCAAGACAAATTGACAGTGTATGCTAGCAGTGATTTCAGAACCATGTAATGAAACAATTGGATCCCCTACCACAGAAGAATGTACGGTACACCACTGTTCCTTTAGATGAGAAAGCCCAAGGTCTTTCTATTTATTTTATGGGCACTGTGTGGAACGTTTAACCATTGCACTAAGACTGACATTATAATTATCTCTGATTTAAGATAAACGTGCTAGCATATGACAGATGCCATGGCTTAAGACCACAATAGGTAAACATTGTGAAAGCCAGTTAGCTCATACAAGGTTCCCTTTTTTTTTATTCGATGCTTTGTACAGCATTCCATTTCCCCGTGCATTGTTCTTTATGTGAAAGATCTGCTTACAGCATTTGATTGGTATTCCATTACAACGCCACCAGCAGATGTTATTACTGCCTCAGCAAGTCATTTTTTTCTAAATTGCAGGTAACAATGCAGCAAAATCGAACATTACGAAAGTTGACTACTACGTTCAACATGGTCCCCTTTGCCATCCTCTTGTCGGTGTCTTCTTCTACAAGAAATTCATTCTGAAAGTTTTGCAATGCAGGCCCTTCCACTGCGATTTGAGTTTATGAAAACAACAACCAATTACAAAATAATGATTATAAAAGAAATTCAGGTATTAGTTTTTAGAACATTATATAGTATTGTTAAAGACATCAGTTCAAGCAGCCATATTGGTGGCACCATATTGTAGTACAGATTTGTATTCCGTGGGGCACAGGGCTGCTGTTGCATTAACCAACTGGGTTCTATCAAGTGGGTGGCATGATATCTGTTGACATCCAGCTGTTGTCCTTTGCTCACCAAGGACATTCATGAAACAAATACTTTTAAATTACTAATGCTTGACCAAGCATCACAAAGCATTGCTGTTAGCACTGTTTCACAATTTTGGGAATCATAATTTCACAAAGGTCAACACAGAAATTCCAAGTTTACTGGGTGATACCACGAGAGACCGAACATCATGTCCAGTCGACATTTTTGTTTTGTCCGGGTTATTCCATGTTACACGGGCACATTAAAGAACCACAAATATTATTTCTAAAAAATGCTCCCAGTGCAAGAAAACAAAAAAATCTGAATGTGGCGGCACAAGAGTCTCGTTTTTACTCACCACAATACTTTTGGATTTCATTGCCGAATTTAATGTGAACTATAAACATTATGTCAAAAATGATTTTTGCTGGTTTTAATCGGCAGTACTGTAAAATACAGCCACGCTTTTTTATGCAGCTCACAAAAGGCAAAAATGTGAAAAAAAAAGGCAAAACACGGCCCAAATAAAAAATGTTTCCCAACTTTGATGCGCCCTGACCTGTTTGCTATTTCACACTGAAACTTTGGAACTATGTCACATCTAAACAAATTTCTTTACAGTAATTCTGCGAGAGATTGTTTTCCTACAAATATTATTAAAAAATATTAAAAGCCAGTTTTCTAAAAAAAAGTCCATTTTTAAGAAACGAAAAAAGAATTCCGGTCTCAATTCTAACGAAATTTGTTTATTGAAGAGCGCTTTTGTCAGCGAGTACACAATTTTAATACCATATATCTTCATTTGATTTGCTAACAAGATATAACAGGCCAGAATGACCCTTGCTGTGCATTTATTACTTCAGCGTCCTTGATGGTTGTTATCAGCGTGCATTGTGTGTAAATCTACACTGATTATTTTACTACAGTGAAACCTCGCTCTGGAGGCTTGTCTTCAGAAAAATGTATTCTCAGATTTTATTTCTGTCTAGCATGTGCAGAGTAGGCTGCTACCACTCTCTCAAGGGCTAATGTGTACACTTTTCAGCCAGTAAGTTCACCGACAAGCAAGCATCACAAGAAAGGTGGATGCACCTCTGCAAGATATCAATGGCTTTTCCTTCCTGAAGAAATGCCAGGTCTATCTGACTGCAGTTCTCAGATGTAGACAGGTTTTCCTTGAGAGGCCTAATGCAATGTCAGCGGACCTCTGTTGTATGTGTGTTTTCTTTTTCTCATGTAATCATGCCACATATGCTCTTTGAGAAAAAGGTAATGGCACCAGCATGAAAAATTCGGCAGATCCCACGTACCTGAGAATCGACATTATGCGAAGCATGCGGAGGGAAGGTAACCATGTTACAATTGTTTATTGAGCGACCCGTCATAAAATGACGCTAAATATATGTACAAATGTTGCACGCACAGATATATGCTGAAGAGTTGCAGATGTTTATATATCCAGTTGTTTGCACTTGTGCAACAATGCCACCTGGAACATGCGTATTAGGAACACCTTAAGCTGATATAAAGCACTGATGCTCGCGAAGATGCTGGTCCTGGACACTGCTACATAGATCTTCAGCACATAACAACTGACCACTATTAATGTTAACTTGACGTGACGGCTGTATCAAAGGAGTACATATGTAATGTTTATAAAATTGGGTAAGCAGCACTGCAACCACTATTGACGTTTCACGAACATTAGCGTCTATTTGCAAAGTAGTTACGAGACTTGGCGTAGCTCTGTGGTAAAATGCTTCATTGCCACCCAGAATGCTTGGGTTCGATTCCAGCTGGGACCCTGACATTTATTCATTGCATTCGTCGGGTCCACACAACCAATGTCGGGTATTTCTCAATGCTCGCACCTTAAAATTGCCCCTGTGTGTTCTCATCGTTCCTGGGTAGATACGAAGTGTCAGTCACGTCTGGAACATTCCCGTATACCAGCAACACATAACCGCCCATGAGAATGTGCCACTGTATGGCGGGAAGTGTTTGACAACATATGCTACGGAATCGTAACATTATTCATGTCTTGACCAGCGTGTCATATTCGTCAAACCATCTTACCCTCCCATGCGAATTTCGGTTAGCGCCAAGGGAGTGACCACGAGAGCACCCAAACGTAAGCAGTTAGATAGATAGATAGATAGATAGATACGCTCAAAGTCGCTGACGTTCACTAAAAATTGCTTCGCATTTAATAGCTTCCGTAGCTTCGCATTTAATAGCGTATTATTTCTGGCAGCATGGTACGTGCAGCTAGGGGAAAGACGAAGATAAGCAAGTGAAATAGAACGACGAGGTCGTTTCGCCAGTGATTGGACCAATCTGACGTTCTGCTGAGCTCCAGTTATAGGATTCTGTAACATTATAACATAATATATGACATATTGCTTATGAGCATCTTTATACGCTTATGTTTACTAGCAGACTCAACATTAGCCTGGTGAACTCATAAGTGGGAAAAGGATGTTTCCGCCAACATTCGTTACGTATATGTATAGTCATTAGCATTGTAATGATCAAAACGACTTTCTTGTGTGTTATTTTTTTTGTTTTGTTTTTTTCAGTATAGGGCATGTTATTTGAAGCAATTATGATATAAATGTGAATAAACTAATGTGGACTAAAGGACAACTTGCCGCCAGCAGAGACCGCGGCTGAAATCTTCAAATAACACATCCAATGCTCTATACACAAGTCGCAGGCTCGATCCATGCCGTCGGCAAGGTCTCTTTTCATTCACTCGAAGTTCTTCACATTTGTATTAGAATTAGTAGAGATAATGTCCCAAGTTGGTTGTCAGTTTTTATTGAGGTTGTGTCTAACAAAGAAAAATTGTCCCCTGAATTCCCATTGTTTCATTCTTTGTGGCCAATGTAGCAAATCTTGTGTAGTGCAAAAAAATCAACATGGTAAAGAATACTATGCAAACAGAATAGCAAACCAATGCAAGCGTCAACGAAAATGTAATGTCAGTAAGAGTTGCGACACAGGGTTACAAAAACTCCAAAGTTCATAGAATAGTGTACCAAAAAAAAACATGTTTGTAGACAACCTTGGGCAATAATTGCAAGTGTGGTGTAAAGATTCCTTTCAGTTTATTGTATTCCGCTCTATTATCAGCCAGCCCTAACGACCATGCAATCCTAGCGATAACGCCGGCACTAAAAGGCCACCTAGAGCTGCTTTCACCAACAGGATTCACCACCGACAGCTTGTGGTTAGATCCAACATGCCCTCCTGCGTTTGCCAGTTAATTTTTTTTAAGTCCAATACATTCCTCACGTTTCACAAGTGCAGCTAAAGTTATAGAAGGCCTGCCACGGCTATTGTGACACTGCCCAATATCATTAAAGCAAAACTGACTTCAGCGATCAATGGCTTACACCTATCAGTAAGTAACATCAGTTTCAGTTACATAATATCAAACTATGAAAGCGTGGAAAGTTGTCAGTGTTGCTTGAAAAGAAATACCCAAAGCCACGCTTTTGGCTAAGTACAAGTTTCGTATGCGTTGGGCTGCAAGAGCGCTATGTTTATGGTGATTTCGCGAGCATCAACGACGAAACCACTAAGAATAATTCCAGTCGCTCGTCGAGCGCCCGTTCAGGTAACGGTGGGAAAGGACGTGAGCAGCGCGGCATTCCCGACGTAATATGAAACGCCGCTACAGGTACGCCGCTCAAGCGAGATTGCGGCTGTCACGAATGCACGCGCCGCTTTCCACGGCCAAACCTCAACGTCGTCTGCCAATCGCAGCGCGGAAGAAACGACACGGCGGCAGGCAACACGCGTGATACACGCTCGAAAAAGAGTCGCAGCTGGTACCCCGCGAGGCATGGGCAAAGTCTAGGCAGCTGGCAGAAGAAAACAGGTGGACGACGATAGACCCCGAGAAGCACCATTTTTTTCATTCACAGGAAAGCCTGACGGACGTCATTCGCTACTCGGTTCCCGCATGCGTGAAACAACTGCAGATCAAAAGGTTAGGTCACGTGAATTCGTGCAACAGAACCCGCAGGCTATGTGGGATGAAGCCTTTGCGGACAAAAATGAAAGTTGGGACAAGCTGGTTACGATAAAGCGGAGCTGACACACATCGAAACTACGTTTTGAGCGGCGCCGAAACGTCTAAGCGCGGGCACAAAAGGGGCCAGAGCGTCCGCAATCTCTACGTAACCATCCCGGCGACCCTGACATGAGGGCGGCTACAGGGAGCGCTGCGCGAGGTTCCGTTGTGAAAGCTTTCGGCAGAACGAGCTACCGGAAGACGACCCCGCCACTGTAATTGCTTTACATTCGAGTGCGCCAACGCAGAGTGCACTCGCAGCATGGAAATCACTTGCCTCTTTCTCTTTGAGCCCCAAAAGAAGCACTTCTTCCATCAGCGTTAGGCGAGTTTCCTTTGAATCGACATCGTCCTCGCTCTCTGGTCGGTTCACGGGCTCGTCCACGTCTTTGCTCCGACCGTCCGGGTTTGAACAAGCGTTCTTCCTTTGAACGAGTCCCTCTTTGCGTAGCATTGTCCCTGGTCAGTGAGAAACCGCTCAAAGAGTGGACATACACAGTCCTTTCCTTATTAACGGGGTTTCAGTTGCCAACGCGTTCGGCACAAACACATAGCACACACTCCCAATCACGCATACAATAAAAAATACTGAGCAATGGCGGACAATGACGTCAAGATTCGCCGCTTGCTACCACCTGGTAAAAGGTTTCGTATCGACAAAGAAAAAGAAAATGAGACGTTTGAAGTACGACATTTACAAGTAAACTGACAGGAGTTTTTTTTTCTGCTATTTCACGCATTTATGAGCAAGACACTGAGAATTATAACAATCAGCATGAAATTTATTTACTGATTTGATGAATGGCGTCGACGAAACCGAAAGTCGCGAATAGCGGAGTCACCGCAAGCTGGGCCAACGCTTGGAACAAGTTGGAAGTTGGCAATCCAAGCTGTTGCACATGGTCCACCAGATCCACGCTTGAAGTTTAATTAATCTTTCGGGTGTTTAATACAGCGCACCGAATAAGAGCAGAGTCGCATAAAGTGAGACTACTCTTCGCGCAGTGACTATGCCGTTCGCACCGTTGTCATCCGTGCAAGAGCTCCAGCAGCAGTTAACGATATGTAGAAACGAAATAGCCAACTTGCGGTAAGTGATGTTTCGGTTACCTCTATGATCTTTGATTTATAGCATACTTTATAATAGACACTGGTTCTTAATCCATTTGTCGTGCTGCTCTATTACAGAACCAAGCTTCGGGCAATGAGCGCTCAATTTAACCGACAGTGCAAGGAAATCTTGCAGGCATTGGAAGTTCGAAGTGGAACCATCGAAACGATGCCTAATCAGCTGCGAGACTGCGGTACATATTCTGGTTTATCTTTTTTTGCTGATTCGCAGATTCAGGTGGTGCTGTTCCCTGCAAGGCCACATAAATTTCAGATAAGTTGGATGCGAAATAAGGAAAAACTTGTCAAAACTACATTGCGGAGACCGAAAATGTGTGAAGCTTGTCGCACGTGAATTGATGAATTTAAATGAACACGATTCTTGCATGTCGATTGTAGTTGAGTTTTTAGAAACACTGCGACAATATTGTTTACTAATGTTTTTTTTTTCTAAGCTGTATATATGTTCAAACCAAGCAGGTGCACCCTTTATGTATGTAGTACATACATACGTTATTCGAATGTTTCCGTATTTGTACATGTGCGTGTTCATATAATCGTGCAGAATCGCAAAGTTTTAGTGGGGAGGTGAAAAACTTCCACCCCTTCACTCTGCCTGCTACATCAGTGGTTCCAAGGCCCAGCACAAGTTTAAATCAAATGCCTCCTGACAGCGACTTCATATGTCACACTGTAGCCTTCTGTGGCAAACACACTGTGGCAAAGATTTTCAACACCATTAAGTGACTTTTGTTCTTGCATTTCCGTCACAGCTAGTCATTGCTCTTCCAGAATCAACGAATGGCAACAGTTTCACGTTCCAGCCCATAGGATACATTCGTACTGCATTCCCCTTCAAGAATGGAACACCTCGTCAAGGTTGCATTTGCCCCAACAGCAAGGCAGTTCTGACATTGGAGAAACGAGTTTTCACTTGCCCCGAACATAGCCTGGAGGGGCTTGACAAGTTTTCTCACATATGGTGAGTACAGTCAGTCTCCTAGTGTTATGTACATAATAGGCTTGCTCTACGCTTCAAACATCTATGTTCTAAATTTGTGAAATTCCCTATCTTAGAACATCCTACTTGCAAAATGGATGAGGTGTCCCACTATCTGCATTTCAAAACATTGTTGCTGGAGAAGAACAAGTGAAAATTGCACACTTTCACATTTCCACTGAACTTGTCACCGTATGATGTGATGCATACAAGTGTGTTGAAGCTGGCTGCGACATGAGCCTTCAATTCCCATGTCTGTGACCTAATGGAAACTCGCATGCACGTACCTGCTCTTGATTTGTATGTTATGTTTGCTGAACTTATTGAACAAAATAAAATAGGACGAGGAGATCAGTCATTGTTCCATTAGACAACTAGTTCTCCATATGAGCAAACTTGCACACAGCATGTTATCCCAACATTTTTTTAAAGCATTTTGTAGCTATGCAGCAAAATGCCTGCACCAATAATATTGCAGTGCTAGTTGGCACTAGAGCAGGCTGCACCTGCGTGGTGCTGTGAGAGATACAGAAAATGTAATGTTTAAGCATAAATTCTAGAAGAAGTGCCCCCTTTATTTGCAATCTTTCAAATTGCGCTGCATGATCGGCTCAGTCGTGGCTTGTTTAATTTTGTTGGAAACCACCAACCATTAGAGTTATAGACCTACACATAGTTATGATTATGCCTAGGCTTGCCTTGACATCGAGACTAAGGAGAGAGATGCACATATGAACCTACTTAACCACTTACTGCACAGTGCCTGATATAATGAAAGAAAATCTTCGCATTAAATGATGTAAAATATAGTGTTTATTGCCAAAAAGTGTGATGGCGTGCACAGCAAATATTTCAGTGGCCTAACCCATGAATACAAGTTTATAATAAAGCACAAATTCTAATACTAATACATATGTATCCTTCATTGAGACAGGCAATGTTATGCTTATTTTCACAGCCCATAAAGATATGTGGGGTTTTAACGTCCCAAAACCACCATATGATTATGAGAGATGCCGTAGCGAAGGGCTACGGAAATTACGACTACCTGGGGTTGTTTATCGTACATCCAAATCTGAGCACATGAGCCTACAGCAGTTTTGCCTCTACCGAAAATGCAGCCGGGATTCAATCCTGTGACCTGCGAGTCAGCAGCCAAATGCCATAGCCACTATACCACGGCGGCAAGGCTTGCAGCCCATAAGGGAGCAAGGCACAGTGCCACATACTGATAATTGTGCTTAGTGTGCTTGCACTGCATAATAACTTTCTAGCTCTCTCTTGTTTATGTTTCTTGCACAGGCTACTTTCGGTGTTTGACCGCAATACCAGGAAGGAAGGCTCAGGGAAGTTTACATACAGAAGCAAAGTACAGCCACCCCGCCTAGGTGGCCAGACCTGGGGTGTCCTTGCCAGCCGTTCCCCACATCGACCCTGTCCCGTGGGGCTGACACTAGCCCGGTTGCTCTCGATCGAAGGTGCAGTCCCGAGACTTTTACAAAACTTGTCGTGTGGCGTTTACCTCAGCTTACTTGACTAACCATTGACAGGCATTGCAGGGAGCTGTACTGACAGTGCAAAAGCAAAATCGTGGTTCGATTGAACGTAGCAGAAGGCTCCAAGAAAGACTAGTCATCTGGGTTATCTTATCTACTGCACTCAATCCTGTGCAGAAGTAGCGTGGAGAGATTGCGACAGGCCTAGATCATGCCTGTACCTTCTACGTTTCATTCCATTTCTACCCCCTCTCCCCTGTAGTTATCAAACCAGCTTTTCATCTTTTGTAACCAGCCTTTTATAATGCTCTCTGGACCATGAGAGTCTTAAACATGCATCTAAGTGCATGAGTGTGTTGCATTTCATTCTTATTGAAACATAGACACCACGGTTGCAGGTAACTGCAATTCTGCAGTGTTGGTGCCAATTAAGCATAGACAGCATGTTGCAACTTGTATTGAGCACGACTCTAAGTTCAAATAAAATCGCATAGTGAGTAAACCATATGCAAACACATATATATGGTACACAGAGAAATGCCTTAGTAAGTTACAGACCACGAAAAAAAGGAGTAAGCTAGGAGTGAACATTATATTATGGCAGTCAGCCTTGGCAAGCGGACTTCCCATAAGCAATCTCCTTCACACAATCAGCCCAGCACTTAAACTTGGAATGTACAACTAAGATGAACATGTAATTTGCATTCAAGGCAGTAAAAGAGTGTTTATTGTTTCATGTCGGAAATGTCTGTTAAATGGCGCATGATTGGTGGTGTCCATAAACACAAGACAGTAAAAACTAGTTAATTCTGATCTCGTGGAACTGATCTGGTAAAGCTGCCAAATTAACCGAATGTCAAACTATAGATAGTACCAAGAATACAAAAAATGTCTATTACCTGAATGTTCCGTCACTTTTTAGGGGAATACACAAGTAAATATTTTGCACAAAAACAGCCCAAAAGCTGCAATTTTTGTCAATTGCAACTTCGTTCACCATGTGATCATAGCTGAATTCCACCCTTCGGTTTTATCCGAAACAGGCCCTGAACCCGTATCTAGAGGACCATCTGCATCAACTGGGTTGTGGCATAGAATTAAAGTGTCAACTTAGCAAGCTTTTAAACATCAGCTTCTACAAGGTCTTAAAATTTAACTAGGTTTTCACCTTAGATGTGGACAAACAACCCTGTACATACATGCTTGGAGGGTCACAGTTCTAGTATTTTATTAATGCACCATCATTCACTTGCCTTGCTGTAATATTGCTTGTAGAATGGGATCACTAAAACTTGCTGCACGTTTGGACATATAAATTACATGCTGGACATTTGTGTGGCTTTGTGTTGCACATTGTCATGATCCTGTGTTAGGTCGATAGCCATATGCTTATGTAGCTGCAGGCAGCAAAAGCATCTGTCACTTGCAGCAGTTTGCGCTCTAAATTCATTTCCCATGGTACTTGCACTCAAATAGCCCATGTTACTGTTGCATTTTTTTTCAAAAGCTAATCTCGGAGATTTTCTTGTCAATCCAAAATGAATCAATGCTTTAACGCAAGGTCGGCAAGCTTGAGGCTGAAGGCCAAGTTTCCATGGAGCCAGCACATAGGGGGAGAGGGGGGCTAGTGCAAAATGGTGGGGCTTTGCAAATAAGGGAGAAAAAATTTGGCAAATGGACAATCTACAACATTGAAATAAATATCATGGTTATTTTCTGCCCGCATGTCACCATAAGGCTACAAGCAAAAACCTCCTTTGAGGTCAAAACTACCATGTCGACCTTCATATTTAGGAAAAAGGGGGCGTTCTCATGCCCTGCGGGGGGGGGGGGGGGGGGGGGGGGCACACAAAATTGTCCTGCTGTGGGTCAAAGGTTGTTGACCCCTGCTATGTTTCTATCCCAAGGCAAATGACAACTGGCCACATTTGCCAACATATCAATTCACTATGACCCTTGATCGTTACTTTCAATAAATGGCATTTTGCCAAGAGACACTTAACTACGCTCCGTTTTATACAACAGCACAACTGCATGGAAGCTAGCTAGACTTCTTGCAATACATGCACTTGAGCCAAGGAAAAGGAGGAATGAACTTTATTATAAGAAACCAGCAGGTTTAGCTGGCCGGGCCCAAGCCTCCCATGAGGGAACGTCAAGGGCTTGCCTCGACGCTGCCTCACGGGCGTGCTGGGTTGCCCAGGTTTGGTCATAAAGAGCGGGGCTCCGCAAGGCCTCATGGAGCTTTGATGAAAGGGTCGTGGCGTTAGTGCATCTGTACTGTGTTGGCAATCCCACAGCATGTGCGGAAGTGTAGCCGGGTACCAGCAGCGGGAGGTTGTGTACACCTTTGGGAATATGAGGTGAAAGTGGGCAGGTGAGGGATATCTTTGTGCTGGTTGAGCTTAGGGTGAAGTGGGAGAAAGGCTCGGCGCCCGAGGTAAAAGTTCTTAACCAGATTGTTGTAGGTAGTGAGGTTGTCTCTGGTGTCCATCTTGTTTCTAGTAGATCCAGCGCGGTTGACGAGGCCGCGCGCAAGGGAGTGGGCGACTTCGTTGAAGTTGGGGAGGCGTGGGTAGAGTGGGCCCGCCTGAGCGGGGATTTATGTCAGGGTGATCACGTTTTCTTTGGAGTGTGGTGTCTGGCAGAGGACACGAAGCGCTTGAGGAGAAATGCAGCCGTTGCTGTAGTTAGAGACGACTGAGCGAGTCGCATACGATGGTGTCACAGGTAAAATCTAGAGTGGCCAAGACGATGGCCACCTCTTCAGAGGTCTCAGCAGAGGAAGTACAAATATTTCAATAATTTTAGTACCCATAATGTACTCTATCTTTTCGTTCTTAAGTGATAACTTAGATTCTTTATGCTTGAGAAATGAAGAAACCCTTATTACTTACCATTGTTTAGGATTACAGAGTGCGTTTTTGCAGTGTGGCAACGACTACTTTTGCCAGCACGCTAAAGCCACTAGGGAGGCCATGTTTACAGTGACAAAAGCGAAGCCCAAGACGCGCAGAGTTGTACATTTTGCTGGCCGAACTTTGCAAAGCTCCCATAGTATTGCACCCGATGCACGAAACCGAGCATAACACGTTTCTGTATGCAAGGAGCATGCAATGGACTTGCAATGATGGCGCTGCAAGTGCTGCTTTGCTGTTGCAATTTAAAGTCTTCCTCCATTCCAGAAACTTCAGCTGCCGATCAACTTCCCTTAGTATCGTTAAATCAGCCCAGGAATAGACGAAACATCAATAAAAACAAACTTTTTGAGAAATTACGCACTTGGTACTTTTCTCCGATACTGAACTGCTGCTTGCTTCAAATTCAGCACATGTGGAAATTTTAGACTAGGACAAAATGTATTGATGTTTATGGGCAACAGTGACAGTATGGGGGGGGGGGGGGGGGCAACGTGCCCTTTATATAACATTGAGTATGGTATGAAATTTTTCATAGCACGTTTTCAATGCATGGATATCAAACAGTCCCCAGCAAATGAGATTTCGCATTTCATTTATTCAAAATGGCCTCGTTGGTCAGACATTAGGAGTCTAGGCAAGTTAGCCACTACCTCAGCAACAAAATTTGCTTAGCTCATCACAGCAAGACAAAGCAGTGCCTTTATTTTTATTTATTCCAAGTCTATTTGACACACTAGTGGCGAAACTAAAAGCAGCTGCTATAGCCAGGGTAGCTTTGGCTAAGTTTGCACACCTATGGTGCTATATAAACTTTTGACTATCCAACTTTGCTAATGTTGCACCAACAGTCTTACAGCCAAGAAAATAAGATTAACAAATAATGCTTATGTAAAGTAGGCACTGCTACTAGAACAAGCATTTATTGCATGTGTCATGCAATCATTAAAAACAGAGGTGCTTGCAGGAATTTTAATGGCACAAAGGGTAATGCTTAGCCGCCAAGTTGACCTCTTCCTGTAGCATGCTGCAGTAATTGGTACCTGATAATGCTGTAGGTCTGTCCAAGATATCATTTGAGTAATGAGTCTACCGTTTCTAATTCAGTTGGAATTGTGGAGTTTGTTAGCCGAGGTGGATGTAGCACATGTTAGCCACTCGTGTTACTAGAGCACAAAGCAGATATCTGTTTTCCAATCGCGCAGGTGCTGTGCTGCACCTTTCTGGAGTAGACCTTGTGGACGGGACGCCAATCCTCGACATTAAACCCTACTTGCCTCAGTACGACAGCCCTCAGCAGGAGACTGACAAGGCGCCAGATGTTCGATGGGCCAACTGGATCAAGGAGGCTGCAACACTGACAGTGGACTTCACCCCCAAGGCCAGAGAACAGCTCTCCCGTTTTCACGGGCGCAACAGCCACCCCGCTTCAGAATCTCGCTGCTCATGGTGTTTGCAGCATTTTGAAGACTACAACGCTGCAGCCAGAGCACTGGAATGCCTTCTGAAGGCAGACCCACGTTCCATCCACCGCAAGGAGAACTGTTCAGACAGGCTGTATTACTGTGTATTGGACAGCATTCATGTTACTGCGTGGTTTGATGAAGGACGAGGAGAGGTCCTGAAAGTAAGACCTCGTGCAGAAGGGGAAGGAGAGCAGTCTGTTGGCACCCGTTAGCTACCAAAACACGTTATTAAAAAGCTGCGAAATGTAAAGGTTAGAAGTTATTTGCACACACCTCATTATGTCAGAGATGCAGGTGGACATTGCAACAAGTGTCGCTTAAGGTGGTTTTACTGGCACTGTCTCATGAAACTACAGCAAAACTTGCATGAGCCAACTTGCCAGCTGTGCCACCAGTTATTCACAGTCTGGCTAGTAAACTTGCTCCCTCCACCAAAAAAAGAAAAAAATGTGGCACACTACCGCATGGTGTCATATGCCACAGAAGGCCAGCATTAATCAGCCACATGTTAAAATTCATTTCAAGAATCAGTTGTCAGATGCCCTGACAAGGCAGCTTCCGGCTTTGCATTGAATGGGCATCCACGTGAACTTTTACTGGTTCCCCATTTTTTTTTTTCCCAGAACAAAGTTCGGAATGGAATTGCATTTTAAAGCCAACATAGTTTTTAAAGCAATTGAGATTCCTGCAGCAGATGCGCTAGTCATGATCCAAACACTCATGTAAACTGGAAACACTTGTGCAACGTCAACTGAAAGTTGCAATAACCCTTATCCCTTCGAGCACTACACTACAAGTCTGAGCTGCTTTGAACAGCACCAAAAGTTATGCTCCAAAGCTTTTATCACTGGTACAATTATTCATTACGTGAACAGCCGTCCAATGCACTGCCAATACCATGCCTAAAAAATGCAGGAAAGCTTGCAGCAGGGAATGTAACAGAACCATGCTTTTTGCCTCATACATTTGAAATGCCTATGTAGAGGGCAGGCAGGGGCACAAACTTACCTGGGTGGCAGAAGTTCTGCCTGGGCACTTGCCACCAGGCGCATGTTTTTCCGGATTCAAAGATTTCACCTGCAGACATTTTCTCAGAGCAGCAGGACACAATCTTCCATAAGACCAGCAGATGTCAAGGACAGAGCAGTTAGCAACATGCTGAAATGCTGGCTTCACGACTTTACTGTATTGCAGTAGCTGTGCAATTACTGCAGTAAGAACACAAATCATCTTCTATTTAGTCAACTTTTTGAAAACTATTTATGTTATGGCCAGTCAGTGACATCCACACTCTTATGAGAAGCTTGCACTTACCTACACCAGGCAAATGGACATTCAAACTTTGAAGTTGTAAATGTTCTCCACTGCAACAGCATTTCCCACCTTGCAGGTTCATTGAAAACTCGGCCCCCTCCTCCAACAAGGGGACATACATTTCATCATTTCCAATTTCAAGCCCGCAACCACCTGAATTCACGATTTCAATGCAGTATCGCACCTTTGTAATAAGTACACGATATAAGTTCCTTACAGAATGACTGAGATCTTCAAATGAGCATTTCAGCACAATTTTCTGTGCATTCCAACATCCTGTACATGTCACCACCACTATTGCTGCTACACTGAAGAGTGATTTGGCAGCAAAGAGCAGGATTGTGCAAGAATTTTGAACTAAAATGTTGCTTCACGGCAAACGAGGTGCGCTTTAACATAAGATTAGTCCATAACCTATATACAGTGTGTGGTTTACATGTGCAAAAATGTATTATGCATAATCGGGGGCGTCTATGCGACACTAGAAGCCGTCAAGGTTGCTTTGCACCACGCAACACATTTAAGGAACCTGCTCGCTTGTAAGGGCAAATCATTGGGCAGTGAAGATGGGGCACTGCTGTGCCAGCACAAATGGCTTCACAGTCACAAATGACACAATGAAAATGAGTCTGAACGAGTCTGTAGGCAAATGAGTGTATAAAAAAATCCAGGGTGATGAGGTGGATCTTATTGAAAGGACGAAAAAAAAAAGGCAGGGGGAGGCGTGAGGAATGTACACTCGCTGGTGCCTTCAGATTCACCTCCGGTACGGGTGGTAAGAGCCATCAGTTTGGCCAACAGGAGCAGCTGCTGCCATGCCATTGGTGCTGGGGGCATTGTAGCCACCTGCGAAGCACAAGATATTGATTGCAATGTGGTTACAGGCCATTCGATTTCTCTAAGGTGGCAGATTGTCACCAACCTGTTGTATGCCACAGCTAACGTAAAAACACACACACATACCGCATTTACACGACTGGTTTACACAATTGTAAGTGGACTCAAATCTTGGCCAAGACCCGTAAAATCGCTGTTTTAAAAACAAAGGCCGCAACTTCATATTTTGAATACAGTAAGTAGACCTACAATTCTGTAAATACGGTACAACATGAAAACCTGTGTATAGTGCACACCCGCATGTAGTCTCGAGCTTAACTTTGGGGATAGCAAATGTAAAAGAAGTTTTCACCTATGCAGCCCAAGAAAAAAAAAAAAACTAAAAATACATTTATTCGCACAGTGACTGATCATTGTGTTTCCAAAATGCCTTGTGACACTTCATCTTCATTGCCATTAGAAGAAATCGAAATCAAGCACTTTTTGAAGGCACGATGAACGAGTGCCTCGGGAATGCAGACCCAAGCTTCAGTGATTTATGTGCACAGCATCAGTGGCAAAAAGCGTGTTTCCGGCTTAATGAGGTCCCCCATTCGCGGACCTCATTTAAAGCGCATACGTGTACTTGATTCGGTTTATTTCGGCACACGTCAAGCGGCTGCAGTTGTTGCGATGTCCTCCTGGTGCGACGATGAGCTCGCCACACGGGAGCATGGTAACAGCCTCTTCATAAAAGGCAACACCGAAACTTGTCGAGCACGATTATTGATGGGAGCCTCAGCAGTGCTCCTTTGCTCCTGAAGTCCATCAATTCTCGTTCAAGAATGCAGAGTGCCCGTTTTTTTTTTTTTTTGCCCCCTCCCCCTTTCCCGGAAACTTCAGGCCGCTGAACACAAAGAGGGCAGTTTCCCCCAAACGCGAATTCTTCGCTCGCCTACGCCAAACTGCCACCTCACAGCACAGTTGCTGATGGTTTTGGCAGCTGAGATCATTTTTCTTTTAATCGCAGCCAATGATTGCTTTCGCGGTCCGTGTCAGTCTGCATGTAGGACTAATACTAGCACTATGATGATGATCATAGTTTCATGATGATGATAGCACCGCAATAACTAGTCAAGGGTTTTGAATCCATAAGATTTCCACAAGACGGGAGGGGGTCGTAGACTCCCAATTTTGAATTGCAAATTCAGAAAAAATGGGTCTACCTACAATCGTGTAAATATGGTAATCTTTGTTGTTTGATACATCATTTTGTCTGACAGATATCAAACTAACATAAATCTTAATGAGGATTTTTTAACACTACAGCAAGGCCATTTACTATAGTGGCACTGATTTTTATACAGTAGACGCAGTATACAGAGCTGCTGCCTAAATAAAACCAAGTGCTTCTGACAAGATAAGTTTCATGCTTGTAATCAGCACCCTTATGAATACTTTCCTGGTTCCTTCAGGTTCTATTTAATCAGAGTCTACTGTACTCTGTACCACTAGATGCCGATAAAACGCACTTACCAGTTGCTGCTGGGGTTGCAGTGTATCCCTCGGAGTAGCTGGTACGCATGGGTCCATAGCTGGAGGGCTGCTGCTGTCCATACGATCCTAATAATGCAAAAACGCAAAATTGCACCACAGCAAGCAGCCACACACTGTTGTGGTTGCCAAGCTATACATGACCGACAGCAATCAGTGCAGTTGAACCCTTTTATGAGAGACATGCACTGGGCAGTACTTCTCGTCTCTTACAAAAGGAGTTTCAAAAGCACGGTGCCACGTATGGACTTTCGTATGAACTCCCATTCCAATGCAGGCACACCGGTGCCTCTTATACCTATCGGTCTCTAACGTCAGTGTCTTTTACAAAGCGATTTGTCTGTGCCGTCTCCAGCACACCTAGTACAACAGAGTTTTTACAGAGGCAAGCTTATATTCACTGCGTGATCCATTTCTTCTACATTGTAAATGAAAAAAAATTGACATCTTCGGTCAAGATGCGGGGACTCAATTTTGCTATGTGAGCAGTTATCAACCTTCAAATGTCATAAAGACATGCAAAAGGACTGGGAAAACTGTAAATCGAAGATAAAAGAAAGCCTACCATAACCACTGTAGGACTGGTCACCTGCTCCTCCATAGCCGTAACTGCTCTGGTTGTTTCCCCAGCTGTTGTTGTAGCCACCGTAGCCTGCATTTAAATTAGGCATTAGTTTCATGATCACAAAGACTGTAAAAAAAAAAAAGACGAATCAATCAAGGCATTCCTCAAAACATCTCAACACAAGTTTTGCAACACAGCTAACAACAAATAAATTTTATGCGGGGAAGTTATGTGACGAGTCTCATAAAATCACAAAAATAACACCTTGACAATCTGGAACTGCCGTAGTATGGTAGGTTGCAGTCCATGGTAGCATGTCAAATCAGCAATTTCAATTCTCATGTTGCCCCATCAAGCTGCTTGAGCAACACGAAAATTGAGCACCTTCATTAACCACCAATAAAAATTCGCCGCTAGTCAGGTGCTAGCCAGTCTGCAGTATTAAATAGCAGAACCACGATTAGACTTTCAGGAGACCATGTAAAACCACCGTATAATACGGGCGTCGTATAATTGAAAAACTAAGGTTATAGGCTGTGACACTCAGCCTTGGCTCGAAAAACGGGTACAGACTTCCCGAATAAGCCCACAGCACGACCTTAGTTAGAGGAGGCACGAGCGAATCTTTAATTCTCAGCCTTCCGTCAGAAGAGTCGGACACAGTGTCATTGTTATCACTTTATGGCAACACACCATGAGTTGGCATAAAATGCCTTTTCGCGAGACTGAGCTATACGCATAGCAATTTGTTGGCTTGTGAAGCGCAACAAGTAATGTCCCGCTGTTACTATAACCATTGACGTCAAGTGAAAGTAATTTTGCACGGTGAAAACAGCTGCGTTGCGCCACAATGCGTATGCTAGCCTGTGACTGGGAATGTGAAAAAGAAAAAATATCAGTAGTATGTCGACCAGGAAAAGTTCCTATGGACCGAAAATGTGAAAATATCAGTTTTTCGGACGGCTGATGCTACTCCGAGCGGATAAAGCTCGACTAGGTAACGACCCCGAATGCGTACGCACGCGATCGAGGTGTACGTAGAAGCACATGAACTTCCAGGAGAATAGAATTTTAATTCTAAGAAGGCATCCTGTCTCACCACTTTTCTAATCGTCAACCTCGAGAAACGCAAATTTATATTTTGCACTTGTGAATTAAGTGAGTTATGCCTGGATGTAACGAAATTGGCCAATTCACGGAAAATTTTATTATATAGAGAATAGTGTTATAAGCACGTACGGTATGAAAATTCAAAAAAGTGGATGCACATAATACACAAAAGGAGAACTGAAGGCAGAGCTAACCCAATACACTTATTTAGCAGTGAAAAACTGCATTATTTTGACAGTAATTACATGGACACTCTCGGAGAGTTTTTGCAGTCGCCGTCGTGTTCCTTAACAAGCGTAAATTGATAACATGCCCCCGTGCATCGTAACGTTTACGAGCGAGTACGGGGGCACGAGCGCTGCTGAAGTAGAGATCAAATGAGCGACCCTTTCTCTATCGCCTGAAGGGCACATGCGATAACATCCTCCCACATGTTAGAACCGCTGCGAATGCTCAAACAAAAAGGAAACCACCCATCTTGAACGAGCATGAACAGACGCGGGCAGGGGGCAACGCTGAACCTTGATTTTAAGGGCGCAGTCGCGATCACTGGTGCGCGTGCTATCTTGGCAAGCATCAGTGCACTTGCAACGAGAAGAGACTGGTGAAAGCGCGTGACGTGTCAATCGCCGAAGATACATCGTCACCGTGGTTTCCAAGAGTTTTTTCATCAGCGCCTAATCTGAAATCCCTTCAATATAGTGACACGGTTGCCCGCATAAAAACAAAAAATAAATAAAGCTAAACGTTGTCAAGAGCCACGCCGTGAGCGAAACTAAGAGCGAACGACATGGATACCACGGAAAACTATTCGGTGAAGTGCCCATATGCAGTGCAGCCCCACATGTGATAATAACTAAAAGCGTGGCACTGCCTACGCATAAGTAGTTCTCTTTTTTTGTCTTTGGTTTGAAGGGAGGGGAAAGGCACACCCAAGCATGCGCCCGTGACGGCAAGTACACCGGCAACGCCCGCTCGCCTCGCGTACACCCGCGCGCAATAACGAGCACATGCTCTCGCGTGGGAGTCTTTGGGGCTGCGAGCGCGCCACCGCCACGTCGCCCTTAGTTGGCGGCGAGGCAATCACCGAAGAAGCATGCTTGTGCTGAAATGACAAAATCTGGTGCAAAATTCATGATTGTCCATGGCAAAAATGCGTTATATCAAAGATGTCTCCCGCTGTTACATTGTTACATAAAGGTCGCAAATACACGTGTCTCTATAGGATAACGTCGGGGAGAAACTTTATTATGTAAAAGAATTCGTTATATGGAGGTTTGTTATAAGCAGGTTTAACTGTGTTTTCTTTTGAACAGTATCTGAAAGTCATTGTAAAACTGTGTCGTTTAACCAAAGTTTTAAATACATTATTTGAACGAAGATTTTGCAGAGGCCAAACCAATTTGTCATAAAATGGGGGTCTACACGAAACTAGGGGTCGTATAATCGAAGTTCCACTGTACTACAAAACCTACATCCACGCAATGACTCACCCTGGTAGCCAGAGTTCATGTTGCTGCCTGCCCCGTTGGATGATCCCCAACCCCACTGTTGCTGCTGCTGTCCTCCCCAGCCACCACCTCCGCCAGGGCGGCCACCCTTGTTGGCCATCCTGCTTTCCTTGGGCTCCGCCCGCTTGCACTCAACCTATAAAAAGAGTCTGGCATTTAGTGCGAGCTATAATAACCGCTGTAGAGAAGCTACCACACGTAGCGAAGATACCACACTACGTTACTTCACCCCCCCCCCCTTTTTTTTCACATTGCAAGTGGTAAAATTTAGAATTTTTAGTGACTACAGCTTCAGGTTTACCCTGGCCTTGTAGTGTCATCTCAAGCGTATTTATTTAAATTAAGACTGCACCACAAGTGTTTGTGTGCCTTTATTGATGCTAGACTAACTACCCTGACCTAAATTCAACATAATGACTATAATCTAGCACTGAAAGCCACAAGGACTACCACAAGTACACCAATTTGCAACGTATTACAAACAACTCAACAAACTAATCATTACAGTTCCCAAAAGCGATGCTATAAACATGATTCATGCTCCAGATCATACCTGCTTTCCACTGATCTCAACGTAGCGCCGGCCAGTCAACTGATTGACTGCATCTTCGGTCTCAAAGGACACGAAGCCAAAGCCTGCAAACAAATAGGAGAGTCAGCGAAGTGACTCGCATCCACTGGAGGCAGATATCACACTGCAAGACCCTCCTCGCGATTGTAAGCTTTCCAATTTTCCAGTAAACAGACATCAAAGAGGACATTGTGGGCAAGCAGTGCACCTGATAAAAGGCAGTTAGTTACCCTTGTGGGTCAGCAAACGCTGTCCCTACAAACGAGTGCCTCCTCCGAGTTGGCCATTTTCCCAAATTGTCCCAGGAGAAAAAGGGGTGGGATTGCTTGAGCAGGCATTGCTATGAGTGGGCACTGTTTTTGGCCAGGCTCAGGCAGTTGCCGGTTCGACCACACACAGGGCAGCAGACTTGCCAGCCACCCGGTAGTTTCCCCCCACACGCACAAGATGGAGGAAAAGAAAAAGAGACGAGTGATGGGCCTAACAGCAGAGCTAACTATAGTCATATCCTAGAATTAATTAATCTCCTTATTGACTACATTCTCACGCCATTAGCGCCAGGGGGCAGTCCATCCATCAAGAATGCATTTTGCAGGAGCTGAAGGTGGCCGCACATTTTCTCAGGCGCTTGCTCGCACACTGAAACAAATCGTTTGGGGCACGCACCCTCCTGCAAAACCAGAACAACAGCACTGTCTGGCTCCCTCAAGAGCGTCTTCATCTTCACCATAGCCACCTAGAAAAGAGGTCAAAGCCTCACGTTGTGCGAGCTCACTCACCTCGAGAACGGCGCTGCTCTTGGTCATACATGATAAGAACTTCTGTCACCTGCAAGGCCACAAGGCACAAGCTAAGCGTCCAGCACACAACTTACTCACAAATAGAAGGTACATCGCGCAATGAAACTTACTTTCCCATATTCGGAGAAGAAGGCATGCAAGTCTGTCTCTGTCACAGTGGCAGGTAGGCCGCCAACAAATATCTTAGTTGTGCTGCCTTTACCACCACCACGGGGACCACCCTGTTGAAATGCAAGAACAACTTACAAGGAGCACACAGCAACACATACGATACCAGCCTACACACAGCAGCACAGAATAAGAAGAATGCAGCACCGTGACAACCTTGCAGGCATTTTTTCCTCTCTACGTGATTCCACATCACTGTTTATAAATGACTGCATTCAAAGCAGTGTGTCGACTGAACAAAATACAGCAGTCTAGACATTGGCGTAGATCCAGAAGAATAACTAAAGGGGACACACATATTGCCATGAAAGCCATAGAAGTACAGGTCAGGCATTGAAATCAAACTGAAAAACAAACATGGGCTCCCAGCTCATGTAACTGCATTGTTCTATTGAGTCTTCTCTGAAAACAGTCGAGCGGCAGTTGCAATTTCAATAGAAACACACAGCTGAGGGGCACTGAACACAGGTACACACAATATAAACAAGCATTAAAGAAAGTTGAATGCACTACAGTCAACTGCAGATTTTTTAACTCCCTAGGAACCACGTGAGAGGGAGACAAAATTAGGTGGACAGATGAGATTTACAAGTTTGCAGCTAGAACGTGGCAGCACAAAGTACAGAACCAGGTTGATTGACCGAAGATCAGAGAGGCCTTTGTCTTGCAGTGGGCATAGTCAGGCTGAGCAAAATCGTTCCAAAAACCAGGCAGTCCAAGGAAGCTAATCCGTGCTTTTTAATTCCACTCAAGCAGTCTTAAGCAGTAACTAGTCACTAGTAACGCCCTACCGGTAACTATTTACTTTTAATTTAGAGTAACTTGTAACTGTAACCCTGTTACTTTTTTTTACTGAGTAACTGTAACAAAAAATACAGTTAGTTACTTCTGTTTTTGTAAACAATCATCCATTAGCCACACTCGCTAAAGGCCGACTTTACAAGCTTTCCATTTTTTTCAAATTTTCTTTACCATATCCTCAACACCTTTAGACATTCCACAGCTCCCAACGCAGACCCCTTGGTCCCTGGCCGAAGCAGTACCTCTTGGCGTGTGCGCGAATGAAAGTGCAGATTCAGGGCAATTGGTATTTTCACAGCGCACTTCGAGGAATGCCGAAAGGCCTTTGCACTTTCCAGCCACCTCTCGGACGTTGAGTTCCCTTTCGCAGCAGGTTGGGTTTTGCACAACCGCCATTAGGGCAGTCAGCGCACAGATTTCGCAAAGCAGCGTGTTGGCAGTAGGAGCACCTACTGGTCAGGTTCACTCTCGAAAATCCGATCTTCATTTGTAATGCATTGGCGAGTTCCGCGACAGCGGCCATTTCACAACCACTGTCGCGGTGTTCAATGCCGATGTTAGGCCTACCTGAAATCAGAGTGTCGGCGCGTTGGTTGGCAGTGACAGTCGTTCGCTGACGCTTCGGGAAACGTTCCACCCTGTTACCCTCGAAACTTGTGGCGTATTGTGAACTTTCGATTATCTAGACTGCGCTTCTTGGGACTTGCCATGACGCAAAAATGCAGAGAAATGCCGAACAACTCGATTGCAACTCCAAGGCTTCACTCTTTTGCCGGAAAGATAGGAGGGGAAAGGGGTGGAACGCACCACCGTTTAATGGCAGCCTCGCGCTGCTTGCCGCGATATTCAAAACGCTTAATGTAAGCGTTGTTTTTCTTATGTTTTGTTTATTCTCCGTGGAGATACGAGACTGGCTAATAGTAGATTGCGAAGAGGAAGGACCTCACAGCATGCGTGCACGATTTCAAATGGCAGCCAATGCGTCGTTTTCGCCACAGGACAGCGCGAACTACGTCATATTTGGAGACTTTTGCACATTTCCAACATCATTGCTGCCCATTTCGAAGCATTTTAAAATAATTTTTCGTGCGAATTTCTGCTTGGTATTTTCAGAAGTAAAAGATAATTAAAGGATGCCAATACAACTGGAAAAAAAAAAAGATTTTTTTGGAAAACCGAGACTTTTCGACCCGCGTCTCCCCTTAAGGGGGGGCGCGGCAAGTAAAGTGCCGATTTTGGTCAAAATATGCGATTTTCTGATTTATTTTTTTTCGTAATCTTCAGACCTTCAACTTCCTTGTTCTAAAATATTACAGCGAAACGTGCGCTACAAATCCCGCAAATAGTGTTTTTGCCGAGGCTAGTCGCCGAAAAGTGCGAAAAAAAAGCCCCTGAAACGGTGTTGTTCACGCCGCACAAACGCGCTAAGTTGTTGACTGTGGGCCGCCATTTTGGTAGCTTTGGAAAGAGGAGAAAGCCGGCTTCCCGATGGTCGCGGTCTCGTATTTCGCCGAGTGAAAATAAAAGCGCGAGGAGCAAGTAAAAAAACAAAAACGAAGAACGGCAATTGGCTGCGCGGGTCACGTGGTAGCAGGCGCGACCTCTTACTGGTCAAAGCTGCGCCGCGCACCTTGGCAACCTTGGAAGCGCGAGCGCATCTGCGGCCGCCGCTTTTTTTTTACCAAGCTTTGTTTACATCGGTGGTCTCTTCTGAGTGCTTGCTCATACTGCGGTGCTATGTTGTCGCAAAAAAAGTTCCGGAGCGTCCACAAGTACGGCAAGCGTCGGAAAGCTTGGAACAAAGGGCAGACGACTGCGGCTGCCGCCCCAGTCGCAGTTCCGGACGGAGCATGCTCTTTAAGCGTCACGGAGCCTCTACTCAGACCCTTCGCTGATTGTTGTGAGGCCGAGAGTGTGGAAGGTGCCACATCGTCGTATGTCAGACCGCCGGATGCCGTCGACCGTGATGGACGCTCTCGCGAACCCGATTGCGGTGGCACCGCGTCGGCAGCCGTTGCAACTCCGGGCGTGCGCGCGTCGAACATTCTATCGCGAGTTTCGGCCCAGATTCCGAGCAGTGAAGAAATCGCGCAGCGGGCGCAGACAAGGCGGGATGTTTTGGATGCCGTAGCATCGAAGTCCGCTTCAAAGCGGAAGCTCGAGCTTCTGAACGAAGGCTGCGACGAAAATGACGGCGGTAAGGACTCCACATTCTTCATTGTAAATAAGAAGATGCTGAACGGTCTGCTTTCGTCAGTAAAGTGCAACAAGTGCGACGAAGGGTCGATACGCCTCGAGACTACGCACTGCCTTGGACTCGCGGCGAGGATGGGACTTTTTTGTGACAATTGTGGCATAGTGAACAGTGCGTGGTCGTCCCCGAGGTGCTCCGGGCAACAAAAAACGAACCCCTTTGAGGTAAACGTGCGTGCTTTGAGGGCTGTGCAGTCAGTTGGCAGAAAACAATCTGCCATAAATGACATTTTTTCTGCGATGGACATTTCGCATCGAGCACTGCACCACAAGTCCTACCAGAGACTACAAAGGAAGTACAGCCACCCTGCCACCACATCAGCTGCCACCCGCATTGAAGCAGAAAGTGCACAGAAGGTGCATGACATTTACAAGGACCTAGGAGGAGTGCCAGGCAACATTGACGTCATTTACGACGGCACGTGGATGACGAGGGGGCACAGAAGTCATATTGGCGTGGGCTGTGTAATCGAGCTGTACACAGGCTTGGTCTTGGACCACTGTGTCCTGTCCAACTACTGCCAAGGCTGTGCTGTTGGCCCCAAGCCAGGTGACGACAACTATGAGGAGTGGCTTGAGAAACACAAGCCACAGTGCCAAAAGAACACCGATGCTAATGCAGGCCAAATGGAAGTAGAAGCAGCTAGGATCATGTTTGAAAGACCGTTTACCAAGTACAAGCTTCGATACATCAATGTGCTCTGCGACGGTGACAGCCGTACGTACCTTGCCCTCACGCAAGACAAGGTGTATGGCTACATGGTGATTAAGAAACAGGAGTGTGTGAACCATGTGAAAAAAAGAATGGGCACTTCCTTGCGCAACCTTCTTGATGAGCACAAATCCAAAGGCCGAGGACTGAGCATGGGTGGCAAAGGCCGGCTGACGCAGGGCCTGATAAAGAAGTTGACGAATTATTATGGCTGGGCCATTAAGAGCCACCCCAATGATGTTCCTGGCATGGAGAGGGCCATCATGGCCACTTATTACCATGTAACATCCACAGACCAGGATCCACACCACGACCTGTGCCCAAGTGGGACTGACTCCTGGTGCCCGCACAATCAGGCATTGGCCAAGGGAGAGCCGCTGCCGCCTCACAAACATAAACTGCCCCCTCACGTGCAAGTGGCACTGCTGCCAATCTACAAGCGCCTCTCGAACAAAGAGCTCCTTGAAAGGTGTGCGCAGGGAAAAACCCAGAACGCTGTGGAGAGTATGAACAGCCTCATTTGGTCACTCCAGTCCAAGAGCCAGTTCGCGTCCCTTCGAAGTGTGGAAAGTGCAGTTGCAGATGCAGTCTGCCGTTTCAATGGTGGCTGCAAGAGTGCGCTGCAAGAGATCACTGCTCAACTGGGCTTCAATCCAGGAGACTGCTCTTTGCGGCGAGCAGCCGAAAAGGATGCCAAAAGGGTAAAGAGGGCTCAAAAGGCGCATTGTTCCACGACAAAGAAGCGCAAAACTGGGTTGCGCTCTACAGAGGCCAAGGCCACAGCATCTCAGGATTACTGCCCAGGAGTATTCTGAGTGTTTTAGGCATGTTGTGAACTTCCAAACAAGAGTGAACTTTCAAAGTCGGTTTTCTCAACTCTTGATTTTCGCCTATGTGCCTTCGCTAGAACATCTGTCATTTTCTAACAAAGACTGATAGAGTCGTTCCGTTTTTTGCACTAGGCTCAGGAGGCCTTTAGCAGTGCAATAAAGCTTTATCTCTCTTCTTACTCATCATTTAAAATTTTTAGAACACATTTTATAATTACTGCGATGTGTGCGCAAAACAACATCCATGTTTTGGAAATTTTATTTATGGTTACAAGAACTAGAAAAATCAACTAATAGCTTCTTTGCACAAGTTGATGCTTTGGGAACATAATAATATGAAAAAATAATTTCATTTAGCAATAATTATCTCTTTAAGTGTGAAGAGCATTAATTAGTATAATTATGCTTGTAACTCAAAAAGTACAAAAGGTATTTGAAAACGGTTTTCATATTTGGAATCCTCACAATCATCCACATACACACACCAAATTTCATCACAAACAGTACATTAATAAAAAAATTAGTTTTACTTGCCACGTCCCCCCTTAATCAGTGGCGCTGCTAACACCAAAGCGCGTATGAAGTTATGGCTCTCTCACACAGGGTATTCGGAAACAACGATGCAGAACCGAAAGGCATGGGCATAATAACGCAGTTTTCGTTCCTTAACTCAAGGTATGGAGCACATTACAGTCTTGCACAAGGAGGCAGCGCGAACAGCACGACAACTCAGTTGTCGTCCACGAAAAGTGTACAGTATAGACAAATTCCACCGGACATACGTCACGAAAATGTGGTGGCACTGCCGTCCGACGTTTGGTTTCGCTTGGTAGGCAAAAGCAGCCGCGCCTGCTGCAGTTGCTCCCGTGTTTTCACTGGTGCGTGCGCTGTGTATGGCCTTACAAAGAAGAAAAAATGGTGTACCGATGAGCTTTCACAGTGATTTGCGCGGGAAGGCACAAGAAAGATGGGCCAGGTTTTTATTTTTTAAGTTTTCTGTTGACGAAAATCCTCGCAGATGAGCCGCAGCTGTTAAACCGGAGAACTTGCCTTCGACATCGCTTCATCAGTGATGTTTTGGAGCGGCTCACCCAGAAAAAACGATTAGCTCTCTCAGGAGTTAGAATAAGCCAAGGAATAACACATTCTTTTTTAATATGCCGTGGAGGCGTATCGAGCATGTTTACCTCAATGTACATATTAATGTTTGGATAGCATTGCCATATGCGAAGCATTTTTGCACGGTTGCCACTGTTGACGTAGCAGCAAAAGTCTCCGACACATCAAAACGATATCGTCATACTCGCATGAACGAAAAGTGTCACCCGATCATCGAACCAACAAATGAGCTCGTGTTTCTACATGGGTACGGTTCATTAATGTAACAGCCAACGGAAGGATGACCTATGCTTTTTCCCATTCTATGCGGCTGTGATGACGCACCTGACAAGTGCATCGGGCAAGACTGTTCTGGCTGTGGTGCACTTCTTGGGATTCTCACGCCTGTGTGAATTCCCAGAAAACATCACTCTGAAAACTTGCAGAGTCTGTTTACGGTCTTTACGCGTTTTGCGGTGTCAGCTTGAGTATACGAATTGAACCGTTGACCTTACAGGTACGTAACCGTATTGCTCACAGCCTGTTGTTGAAGCATTATCGCAAGCCTGTTGCGGATGAATGTGCCGTTGAGGTCGCCCTTGTTGTTTGCAAGAGTAACTTATCCGGCACATTTATTATATGTGAGGATCTACCATAGCGATTTGTGGCCACATATGTTTACATTGTGCATTTGCATATTGTACCCTAGAGTCTCTTGCTGAACTGGATCTGTCCTTGCATTAGTAAAAATTAAAATGTGCACATGTGACCTAGGCTACAGCAACGACAATGACATTTCGCAAATCAGCTACATTTCCACCCTTAACATATTGCACATGTTTTGATGAGGTTCTAAAAGCTAGAGCCACACGTCAACAAAGCTCATACAGTCGAACCTCGCTACAACAAAACTCACGAGGCGCGGAAAATATTTCATAGAGGCAAGAATTTCGTTGTAGCGAAATAAAAAAAAATGTAGCTGATCTGAGCTAGAAAACAAATGAACGTTTATACATGAAATTAAAGTAGTGTCCACTGCTTCTTATTCTTGTCTAGCCGCATCACGGCGCGATTCACAGTCATGCATAACGAGGCCATGGTGAAAACCACGCTGAAACAACGCCTACAATCGCTTTCATGAACGTACCAAACAGTTGAATTAACATGTTAACACCAGCAGCTGTCCGCCGTCAAAGCGTATCCGACAACGCAGAGATGGAGGCAGGGTATCGTGGAGCGGTGACTTTTGCCTTATTTTATGTCATTCTTACCATCCATCACTCGCGGCTAGCTGATTTGGTTGATAATATGGATGAACATCTGCTCTGATTACATACCACACTGGCCAAGCGCGAATAGTAAGCATGGGAATCTGAAAAGACACCGCTCCGCGGTGGCACCTAGCAGCTGTGTGGAGAAAACCATGAACTGAGAGACTAAGCTTCAGCTTCGGACAGTCTGCGGCTCGAAAGCAAGCCAGTGGCAAAGCAGGGCCTGGCAGGGCAGTCTCATCGCCATCGCTATCGAGCAATGGTGGCGCCCATGCTTGCTGAATAGCGGCAGTTTCTGGTGGTGCCAAGCGTGTTTCAGACTTTCGATGTATTTTCAGGTTTTAAAAATGCATCAAATTGTTAAAGCTTGGTTTTCCTGTATAGCAATAAATATTTGAGCCTGGAATCGCATCGTGAAACTTTGTTGAAGTGGGACGGCAGAAAAAAAAAAAGTGTTCGTTCTGGCGACAATATTTATGCATTGACTCCTATGGACTGCTGACGGTAAAAATAGTGAATTTCTCGTAGCGGAAATTTCTTTGAAGTGGCATTCGTTGTAGGAGGGTTCGACTATGCGTTCATTTCAGAAACCCTCTACAGCCACTGCAACTTCCCGTGTTGCAGCTGCTGCTTGTAAACATGCGAGAGGCATGCTGACGTGATGTCCTCGGAGGCAGCTTGTGAACCTGCTGCGCTCGTCGTCACGTGACAATATAGGCTGGTGGCTCGCTTTTAGCTGGGACGACTAGGCTGAGCCATTGCTCCGTGACACCACTCGGCGCCTACAGTGTTTACAAACATGGAATAGGTCTATACTTACAGCTGTGAAGGAACTCATGCACTACTGAACAGCTAGCTGTAGATACTTATCATAAAAAATTGTCAGTGATTAAATTATACTGGTGAGCTTGCCACCCACATCTCTATGCATTCCCGAAATTTATCCATAAGGACATCGCTGCACTGTGCTGCGATTGTGAACCTTTCATATTTTTGATCTGCTTCAACCTCTGACATGCAAGCATTACAGCAAAGCACACCTTTAGATAGTGACAGAACAGGTAGACTCGCTAAAGCAATGGTTCAGACCAACAAGATGATAGACATGGCAGAAGTTGGGGCTTTAACTATTGCCATATTAGATTTGGGCAAGAAGTCTAAAAAATCAAATGCCAAAGCGTTTCCGCACCAGAAATTCTAAATGTTCTTATACGTTGACGTCTACTAGGCTTGTTAGGGGCCCATGAGAGCATCCAAATTTTCAAGCATGTCCAAAAAATCGGCAGTTGACTGTATGTGTAACAGTCAATAAATTCCGATATACGATGTTTGAGAAATAATTTGAAGTGGGACACTTGCAAGGGCTGCACTCTCTCCCAGCTTGAGCACAAGGGGAGCCAGAGCCCACTAGACCCCACTTCGTGCTTTACACCAGCGGGTCTAGGCATTTTACCGCATGCTACCCACAGTGCTCTACTATTTACAAGAATTCCTGCAAAATAATGCTCTAAGTGGCCACTAAATAACACCACCATAGGCAGTTGTGAGCCCAAAGCACAGGAAGTTGTCAGCTTACCCTGGCCCCAGGGCCGCCTCCTCCACCAGGTCGACTGGCACTACGAGGATTACATGATTTGGGATCCACCTAAGAAAAGAAGTTGCATTAATATGTGATTTGATTTGATATGTGGGGTTTAACGTCCCAAAACCACCATATAATTACGAGAGACGCCGTAGTGGAGAGTTTCGGAAATTTCGACCACCTGGAATTCTTTAAAGTGCACCCAAATCTGAGCACCCGGGCCTACAACATTTCCGCCTCCATCGGAAATGCAGCCGATATTTGATCCCGCAACCTGCCGGGTCAGCAGCAGAGTACCTTAGCCACCAGACCACCGCGGCGGGGCATCATGAATATGTGTCCTATACTGTGCAATGCATGGGAATCTAACTGCAGAAGCTCCTAAGGCTCAGTGAAACAACGACGGCACAGAGAGACTAATAATAAACTTGTTAAGCCCCTCAATCTCAAATCGCAACTTAGATTTACGCTACTTGAAAGAACGAGTTTTGGGGGAACAGAAAAGTGAGAGTACTATTACAAAAATTTTATATCTTATTTTTACTGTAGCGTCATGTAGCTAACGACCCACTTATTATGCCTGGAAACCACACTTTCTCAAGCGTGACACTTTCATTTTTAAATTTTATTTTTACTGTAGCGTCATGTAGCTAACGACCCACTTATTATGCCTGGAAACCACATTTTCTCAAGCGTGACACTTTCATTTTTAAATTTTACCAAGTGATATGGGACCCGGAATAGTCCATGTAAACATAGCAGAATACTTGAGCCCAAAAAATTGCATTGGCAACTCTTTTTAACAAAGGCTCCCTCGGAACTGCTACAATTTCTTCTGTAAGTATACTTGATCCCCACCTCCCCCCGCCTAAAAAATACGTAATGCTGAGGCAAGGACACCGATCTTTGAAACTCCTGTGCAAGCCTAAATCCCTCTCTGTGTTGAAAAGGTTTGAAAAGGCCCGCAAGATGTGCTTGCAAGTATTACGGCAGCCAACATAACTCAACATGCAGGTGGATGTTGGTTGTTTACGCTAAAACCAAGTTAATCTCAATGCCGTGACACGGAGCATTTCTTGTGTAGTTGCTCAACTCAATTTTTTAATTTATTTATAGTATGTTTTAGGCTATATTAGCCATTTATATTTTGTAGGCGATGCGTGTGTGTCCACGCAAGCTTATTTCACAGGTTATCTTGCCTTCATTTTTTGTGTGAGTACTCCTTTCAGTGAAACTTCGCTGACCAGGTTTAGCACATCGCTGGCACTTACTTGACAAATCAGAGACCCTCAGGTGCACACAGAAAGAGAGAAGGAAAGACACTGACCGTTCGTCCATCCAGCTGGTGCGGTCCTCCCGCGAGCACAGTAGCCACACAACTGGGGTCTCGGAAAGTGACGAAGCCAAAGCCACGAGACCGGCCGGTCTCATTGCACATCACTACACTGTCCACTACTTCACCGAAACGGCTAAAGTAGTTGAGCAGGCTCTCTGGAGAGAAAAGTGCAACACACCACAGTTTGCAACCAAATGAATTTTAGTCATTTTTTAGAACCTAAAGAAACCGAAACGGAAGTGAAACGAAACTGTCGAGATATGACAGCCATGTAATACTACCAAGACACAAACACAAGTTCACATTTTGCCGATTCCATTATTTGGAATTCCCATGTGAATATCAGCAACAAAAACGCTACATGTGGGTTTCTACACGCGAGTTAATATCTTTTAACATACTAAGCATATGTTAAAGCTTGCTCACTATGAAGCAAAATACATTACATAATAACTTTTTGAGCCTAAATACTCAGTTTTTACATATGTAGTAATAAGCAAAAAAATATGGGGCCTTATATTCCAAAAACTATGACACACATGCAAGATATGACATAGCAGGAGGGCTACGAAAACAATGGAATCTAACGTACATCTATCACAATGTACACAAATTTTAAACCTCCCTCCCCATTAAAATGTGGCTTCCGTTGTAGGGAATGAAACCCAAAACTGTTGTGCTTATCAGCACAATGCTATCACTGAGCCACCACAGCGGGTATTTCAAGCATATTGCTAGGGAGCTATACAATTCACAGCTAATGGAGCAGGTTTCTAGGGAAACAAATAAATATACATATTCCACCAGGACAACACTTGCTCAATTTTTAAAAATGTGCATAGAAACACAGCATATGGTTGCACTGGCAGGAAACTAAGCACTAAAACAGCTGTGTAGATGAAGAGCATAACAGCTGTTGCATATCAGACAGGTGTCACACCCACACTAGACCAGCCAGCAAAGCAAACAGCGAGGATCATGCAGGCGGTCAAATACAAGGCCCTTCTCCGCACGTCAGTGTACGATCCCCATTCGCAACCTTGTAATGTGCAACAAACCAAAATGCAATAGCACCGGTTACAAGGGCACAAACATTTCCATTACTATTTAGGCGGTGCGGTCACCGGGAGTCTGAATATGCATTGAGAGTTTTGCAGTTCTGCTCCAGAATGTGTAGTAAACATGGTAAATGTTGCTCCGAATCAATTCACTGCTGTGATTTGACAACACCATCTAAATTTCGCAATCGAACTTGACACTGTACTTAACTGTACTGTGTCAGTGTTATTGACAGTGGTATTGACAGTGGTATTGTCAGTGGTATTGATGCAAACCAAAGCCTCAAAAGCTATGATTAGATCTCTAATTTCCCTTACTACTTCAAATGTATTCATGCTTGTCTTTTTGTTTTTTTTCAAAGAAAGGTCCAGGTCATCACGCAAATATGACATAGTACCAATAAGTCCCAAAATAAATAGCCCTGCAACATGAATTAATGTGGGTGTGGCATAATGTACTTTAAACACAAACTGGATTGAATTTAGTGAACGCACTTGTTTCTTCTACACGGCCTACAGAAAACGCAAATCACAACAAAACCAAAGTCCAAGCAGGCTTGATAGCGGCAGAAAGCGCAACATGTTAAACCAGTACAAGGTCAAAGGTGCTATATTGCACAGATCATGATCTTTTCAAATAAGTAGCAATTTAGGCTAACTCTTAAATAATATTATTTCCAATAAAAGGAGGATTACCTTGTGTGGTTTCCCAACTGAGGCCTCCAACAAATATTTTCCTGAAAGTAAGAACAAATAAGTACCAATTTCACACTATGCAGGGGTGCAACAGCCGAAATAGAATTTGGAGCATTTTTGGAGCAGCGAAATGTTACTTTTGGAGCTCTAAAATCCAAATTTGGAGCAGGTTGAAAAAACATTCATTTTTTATCATGAAAGACCAGATTTGGAGCAGTATGAAAAAAGTATTTACAGAGAAGAAACCTTGTACAAACCATTCAACATCCTCGAAATCATGCAGAGCGAATATGACCACTGTTATTTCGATAAAAGTAATATTTTGAAATACCCCACTCAGCAAACAGTGATTAAGTGCACATTAGCATCTGCCAAGCCGGTCAGATCCTTTTACAGACTCTGAGGATTGAAATGTGGATTCGCCAAGCTGGCCACCTTGAGATTTGGGACATTCGTAAAGTTGAGGACAAAAAAAATACACAAAAAAGTGGCCCGCGAAGTTTTGTTTGATTTTGTAGGGCTGCAGAAATATCATAAAATGCTCCAAATAATTCCCAGTAACTTTTTAGATATCCAACAATCATATCAGCACTTAGAATTGTGTGGCATATACACGCATGAGGAATTTATCAAACTAACTGTGCTGTGCCCCGTGACTAGTGCTAACAGCCCCTTCCAAATCCTAAAACGCTTTTCCACAGGCCACCGGTGTACTGCAGCGAAGGTGGCTTAAGTTGCATTCTGCATGGGTTGGAACGCAAAGAAATTTCTGACCGCTGCACTCCCCCCCCCCCCTCCAACTTTTTTTTTTCACGATGGGATTAGGTTTAGGGCACAACTTTTGAGCTCGCTTGCAAGGCATGTATGACTAGATAAAGTAACGGCAGCACGCACCGTAGGCCCGGCAGCGCCGCCAGATATCTATTGCATGTGCTGTTGCTATGGCAACTACGTGCTTGCTGGCAAAGCTAGCGTCGCAGCACGTCGAGCTTCTTGCGGCGCAGCAATAGCGGCATACGCTTGCTTTAGTTCGTAACATGCCATAGCTGGGTTTGCTGACTAGGAAACTCACTTGTGAAATGTTGCTGGCTAAGGGAATGGATTTTTTGTCTAGAAGTTGTGTTATCCTGCCTATAGATATCAACTGCGGTCAGCAGACGGTGGGTGCGCGGCATTGTTATTTTATCTGAGCAATTGCATTTTGCGAGTGCCCTGGCCTAACCGTGGTTGACGATTAGGGTCTGCACACCTGGATTGCTGGACTGATTGATAATGCAAACAACTACAGGTGTCCAATGTGGCCTCCATTTCTCGCTGAAATTAGCACAACTCACACTAAGAACATTTTGAAGCTGGTCAGGCACTTCGGCACAGCGTAGCACGATTTCGGCAAATTTCACGATTTTGGCACAGCTTGGCACAAAAATGGAGAATTGTATCAATTTGGCGCAGCTGTTGCACCCCTGCACTATGGCAATAAATGTGAAGCAACAAAACACAAAGAATATCCTGACAGAAAAACATCTACATATATACATTAACAACACCAACATAAGATTCCACAGCACTTTCATATATGGCACTAACATAAGATAAGACAGCATTTTAATATATGGTATTAAAATATAAAGTCCACATGACAACAATTTATTACATAAAAATTCATGAACTGGAACAAAAATATTGGAGGACACTTCAGCCTCATATTTCAAGAGTGGACGGAGACAGTGCAACAATTTCCCGTTCACATGGCTTTCTCATTTAATGATATCTTGGGTTTTAAGAGCCAAACCCCAGATACGACTATACGAGGGCTCCGAAAATTTTAACAATCTGGTGCTCTATAAGGGGCCCTGAAACGCTTTTTTTTTTCAAGCAACCATGGAATGAACTCTCCAGAACAGCATACTCCCTCATGAATTAAACGGCGCAAGAATTTTATAAATCTGTCAAGTGCATGTGGAGTTCCAACGATTCGTCGCACGCTGAAATTGCATTCCCTTTTCTCTCGTCCCGACGAAAGCGCTGGAAGCTACGCAGGGAGGGATGGCAGGCGCAAAGAAAAACGTCACACGTGCTTCGTGAGCACTTTTTTCCAATGCGCAGCTTTTTCAGGGTGATCGAGCACGCATGCGTGGACAAGTCGCGGCAATCTTTGTAACGACCGAGCGCGCCATGTTCAAATTAGCGAATGGCTGATGGGCTTACTACAAGTGATTTTTGAGCTTATTTCGTCAATTTGTCGAAAGAGAAAGCAATTTTTTACTGACGGATAATTCATTGTGATTTCCAGGCCTTGTGCAGCGCTATAATATTTGGCTAGGGTGTTGTCGGTAGCCTCTACTACCGATCGGCAGAGCTTTCCGACCATGCTCGAAAAGTTTTGCAGGGCCCCTTTAATGTTCACGAACAATGCACAGTAGACGGGCCTCCAGCATTTCACCTCCATCAAAATGGTACTATTGCGGCCAAGACAGAATTCAAACCTGCGGGTCAACGACAGAGATTGCCTTCCGATTTGCTTGCACTGTTTTTCTTCTCAGAGGACATTTCAATCATGCCACGAGCAAGAGAATGTGTCTGTGCATGGCGTTAATTGTTGCAAACTCTCCAAAATGCCCACTTGCAAGTATATGTGTGAAGTTCCCACTATGCTGAAACTGATTTCGCAAGGTAGTGAAGCATTCACGTTTTGCCAGTAAGGCAATACACACCTATGCATCTGCATACTCTGTTTATGTAGACGGACGGACGAAAAACTTTATTAAAAAAAACCATGCAGGGTTCCCGGCCCGGGCTAGGGCCACCCGGACATTTTGTGCTGGGAGGCATAGCTTTTCCACCATTGTCCGAGCCCGCTGAATTGCCCACAGTTGCTCGTGCAGATCTGAGCTAGTCAGCGCACTTAGCCAACGCTCCTCAAAAAGGCCCAGTTTTACATTGTCCTCTTGGTATATTACTGTGACCTGTGTGCATTACCATAAAATATGTGCCATATCTGCGTATTCGTGCTTACAAAGGGTACACAGCTGATGTGGTCGATGATGATTAAGCCCGAGCTCTTCAGAATACGCAAACCTTGAAACCACCCACTCATAGATAGCCCCATTCACTTGGTGCGATGCCTGGTGAAATTCTACGCTTCTGTCATGCAGTACTAGACCCGGAAACGAGACTTCTTGCACTACAAGACACCTGCATGCCGTTTCTTCCCAGAGCAGTATCACGCACTGGCGTGGCTATGCAGTAAAAATCCTGACTGCCACTCCACCTGTGTTCAACCCCAGCTCAAGCCAACATTTTTTTTTTCGCTCTATGCATCCAATGCATGTTTTCACACATGGATAATGCCACCGACAGTGACATTGCAATGTCTGCATTTAGAGCAAATGTATGTGTGTGTAATGATGAGCCATAACACAGCTTGAAAAACAGCACAGATGGTGCTATGACATGCACATATGGATGGAATCTACCCATCAATCAACGTTGAATGTGCATGAAGTTCATCACAATCAATGCCATGATACACTATAAACTAAAATCCCAAGTTTTGCTGTCAAGACAAGTAGGTTTACTGAGCTACAACGGAGCTATTTATAAAGTGCTCAGCATTAACTTACTCTGAAGTTGATCCAATGGTCAACATGATCTGCAGCCACAGGTGAACTCTGCTCAAGAGAGCAGACTAATGCTCTACCAATAGCTCAGCAATTTGAGTAACTCACTAAAGGAAAACTCAAAAATCCTATGATATGTGTTCATTTTTCACAGATTTATCATCTCTAGTAGAAAAAGATGACAACTTGAGAAGTATGGAGTAGGGCATGATTTTTGCCTCTAGCTAGGCACATTTTGTCAGCGGAGTCACTGTTAAGAGCATTGCCAATATGAGACAAAGATTCTGCCGTCTGTTATAATACACATAGGGGAAGAGGGGAATGCCTCCTACACATTATCATGCTGCATTCAACATGCACGCAACTTTACAGCATTGGCAGCAGACAGCTTGCAAGGATTTCCTTTATGATAGTATCAGGCAGTGTTTCTTATGTTCCATTGTACAGGGAATACAATGGTATTAATAATTACATTGAGTAGTTGTGCCAGATACTTTAATGCTATAAATTATGAAACAGACAAAGAGTGATTGATTGATTTGTGGGGTTTAACGTCCCAAAACTACCATATGATTATGAGAGACGCTGTAGTGGAGGGCTCCGGAAATTTGGACCACCTGGGGTTCTTTAACGTGCACCCAAATCTGAGTACACGGGCCTACAACATTTCCGCCTCCATCGGAAATGCAGCCGCCACAGCCGGGATTTGATCCCGCGACCTGCGGGTCAGCAGCCGAGTACCTTAGCCACTAGACCATGGTGGCGGGGCAACAGACAAAGAGTGTCATTTATTTTTAATACCTTCTTTATGACACATTACCCTGGAAAATTTGTACCATCAATAACTTGCACGGAACAGTCCACTTCAGTAAATGCTTACATAGTTGCTCGAGTCAGCACCAACGCATAAATGCATTGCTGTCAACAGCTATGCTTATCAGGCAGTCCCCCGAACAGCCAAATACAATAGGTGCTGTTTTTTTCAATTTCAAAATAGTTGTTATTCAGGATAACCCTAAGCCCCCCTATAATAGCCATAGGCCGTGCACTATTGTGACATCGTTAAGGTCAACTGAAGAAGTAGATGCATGCTTGTCAAATTAGCACTAAAGGCTGTTTCAGAGGCCAGCAGCCTTTTCACTGGCTGACGACAATTTAATGGCTTTAGAAGTACCTAAAATAATGATAGGACGCTTACATCACTAATGATTTACTGCTCATTATAAGAGCTGCTTTACTTCATCGCAATATGCCTGGCACCTATTTAGCAGGGTCAAAGCCTCCATATCTGTGGCAGTAATTATATATTTAAAGAATGAATTAAGTAGCCTACCACGTATACTTACAGCTTCTAGTATAATAAATGGCCCAGAACATGCAAACAAAACAGCGTAAAAAACGAGAAAAGAAAAAAAGTTAAGGCGCCCCATCAGCACAGTTGAGTGCCACCTGCCAATGATGACTTGGGTATAACAAGGTTCAGTGACACTTTTCTATCACACCAGCTGCAAATTCATAAACCTGAACATGTGGTCATCCTGCACCGCGCATTTTGTGAGCCACATAACGACGTTCACAGAGTACAAACGCCTCCTGTATTTATACTATGCCGCATATCACGGCCAAACTTAAGCCTGAAGAAAAAATAACTTGCCCGTACTCGACATGACATTTACTTGAGGTATAAAATTAATCACCGGCTGTAATGATTCCCGAATGTTTAATTTGTATTACATTCAGTAATTTAATACTTGTCCCAACACGAGTTCGTGTCTTCGTTGCACAGAACGCGATCAACAGCTCGGCCGACAAAGATAATACGCGAGTTTGGTAAGGCGGTTAGTGACCGAGAGCCGCTGTGATGGCGAACTGCGACAGCCAACGATTGGCGGCGAAGTGGTCAGACGCTCCGTATCAAACGCTTTCTAAACGAGGCTTCGCGCTTGGTACGCTTACGCAGGCTATTCGAGCCCAATGGCGAGGAAAGTTAAAAGCTCGACCTAAGGTTAGCACCAGCAGCGCACTGCCCGCGCAGCTGAATCAACAAGCAGGCGTCGGGAGGGTTTCCTGTTGACGAGGAAAGCTCCCGCCAAGCGGCATCCCGCGGCTTTCATACCAAGGAACGCGTTCGGCTCCATCTTACGAACGATGACGCCGCGCAATTCGACGACTTTGCAAGCACGCTCAAAATACCGAATCGAACTCTAAACGAAGCGTTTACAACAAAACCGAGGCGCAATGCGCCACAATGGGAGGCGAGCACTAGCACCAATCATGTAACGCCAACACCAAGGGGGCTGCTAGGGATAGGCCATGGAATGGCCGCCGCTCGCCGCGCTGACTAATGCCGATCGACGCTTGAAAAAACAAAAGAAGCTGCTCACCCTTGCTCCTCGTTATCCCGGCGGGCCATCTTGGGACTTTCGTGAATAACAAGCTCGGAAGTCTAGTTGTTCTCAAATGCGGCTACCTCGACCCAGCACCGAACTTGCGACACGTTCGTCCCAAACAACGAAGAGGAACAAAAGAAACTAGACAAGCAAAAAATGTCGGCGGCCTCGGCGCGTGCGCACACAGTGTTGCCCGACCATCACGCCTTTTCTTTTGGTCTGCCACCTGTGCGTCTTACATTAGGGCAACTTGCCAGTGTCTTTTGAGTTCGCAAAAAGATTGTGCATCTGGTGCTCCTCCATGCGAAGCTATGCAAACATTAGCTTTCTGCGTTGCCAGGCGAAGTCTCTAGTGTTTTCATGGAACTTTATTTGTATACATGCTCTGAAAAAGCAAAGGAAGAAGGATGATGTCCTTTCCTATTAGATCACTTTCTTCTAGAATTCTGCCACTTCGCCTCGCTGCGCCGAATAATTCTTGAGAGACCAATTGGTATGCTTGGATTAGTAGTTAATAAATCCACCCTTTTGCCGTTTGGAGCCAGTCAGTTGCGTGCGGGCCGCAGTGCTATTCTGTCAACAGTCAGCACTACAGAAATTCATTCAGGCAACCGGAAGGATATTAGTGGTACTGCCAGATATATCCAATTCTTTGTGCCCCTTTCTTCATTTTTCCTAATTTGTTTTATATATTCTGGTTTATCGAATTCTTCTGCACTTTTCACCTTTATTTTTAAGGGAACATTATTATTGTTCTTATCTAATTTCTCTCTTCGTTAGCAAGCATTGGGTAAAAAATTTCCATTATAAGGTATTGTGGCCAATCCCTCTTGTGGGTATGAGCCAAGATCGTCTAGGCAAGATCGAAACGTATTGGAACAGTTGATCAGATATCTCATAGTTGGTTGACACAAGGCGCAGTTGTATGGTTTATAAGAGAATCGTTGCCGTTTGATTTCTTATAGCAACCTATGGTACGTGCACTCTACACCTTGTTCTTTCACTTTTATACATATTCAACGTCCAGATCACATTGCCCAGTTTTCAGAGGCGTCTTCTTCAAATCACCACCACAAGAACAGGACTCAGTTGCTTTAGGTACAGGCCCCGCCGCGGTGGTCTAGTGGCTAAGGTACTCGGCTGCTGACCCGCAGGGCGCGGGTTCGCATCCCGGCTGCGGCGGCTGCATTTCCGATGGAGGCGGAAATGTTGTAGGCCCGTGTGCTCAGGTTTGGGTGCACGTTAAAGAACCCCAGGTGGTCAAAATTTCCGGAGCTCTCCACTACGGCTTCTCTCATAATCATATCGTGGTTTTGGGACGTTAAACCCCACAAATCAATCAAATGCTTTAGGTACAGACGGTTTTCTTGTTGTTTTTACTTTATTTTTGAGTTCATACAAGGTTAAATTATTACCTCCAATTCCCGATGAATTCTTGAAGTGAATTAGTTTAATAAACAAGGCACCATCCTATTTATGGACTATCCCTCGAAGTGGGTTGCGCCAAGCTATTGAGGAACCAACCAAGCAACTCTCCAAGCTGCGAGTTCATGCATTCAGTAAACAAGAAAACATACTGTCGGTGCACACTAAATAATAACTTTATTCCAGCAGTAGTTCCGGTTTGACCTATGCTTAAATTGAGAATAAAAAACTGGGCAAAACTTTTCCAACAAAGACTACATCATTTAAAATGCAATAGAACGAGGTCAGTGAAGATATAATTTTTCAAATACGCTACGTTAAATGCCTACGCAGACTTTTTCGCACATGACAGCGTTTTCTCTACTTGAACCATAGTGTCCTCTGGGGATTTCACCGAGTGTCCCACGGTCCTAGGGTCTTCGTAAATTTCATAGTCGTTACCACCTTGGGCAGTCTTGTCGCCAAAAAAGTGTATGGTCTTGTAGCCATCTCGGACAAGTTGGTCAAGGCAGTACGTCTTGTCCCAGCCGCGCGGGAAAACGTCGAAGCTGATCTGTCCTCCAATGGAGCACTGTAGGTCGTAATCGGCGAAGTTTTCAAGCAGAGCCTTCACGAATTTGGTTCTGACGCCGTGCTCCTTGTCGAACGTTTCGAAGGCGTTTCGTTCGCTGAGGCTACAGTTGCGGCCGATCGGAGACACGTTCAGCATGCCCGAGCGAAACTCAACGAAAGTTCCACGCTTCTGGGGCAAAGTCAAGTCGGCCACGTAGCGTAGACAGAAGTTGATCACCTTCTGCAGTTTCTCTTCTCCCATGAAGTTGAGCAGGCTCTGCTTTCCAATCAGCTTACCGTGCTTGTGTGTGACCAAGCCGTTCTCCGAAAACACGTATTCAAACTCGGATACGGCATGTGGACCCCCCATTTGCTCTTCTATCTTCACGAGATCCGAACCACCGACGAGAGCAACGGCAACCTCTTGCTTCAATGTTTGGAGAAACCCGTACATTTCATTGGTAATAACTTGCCTGCTTTTGGTCAAAGTTCCATCCACGTCAAATAGGAATATTGTTTCCGGCAGCTTGCCCATTCTTTTGGAAGATGGTGGGTTGATGCTCTTGTTGCTTAATGGGTGCTTCACCACGCGTAAAGGAAAGAATCCTGGAATTGCACACAGAAAACAGCGCACAGACTGCACTCAAGCAAAGGTTGCAGTTTCGTGTTCCGTCGCAACACGAGCCACGTCAAATGCACCGCTACGAAACCGACTCGAGCTGTGGCTTACAGCCGACTCGCACGTGACGCAGTCGCATGTGCGCCGCCCTCCACCCCTTCCACAGACGACGTTATCAGACTCGGTGAAAGAAATCGCACGTTGCGAAAGCACAAGCTTAGTGAAACAAACTTCAAGAGTAAATCCCCTGAAATAAAAAAAAAATCCGCAGTATAGAAGAAACTACATGAAAACAAAGTTGTTTGAGCAGCTTAAGCTTTGTTGTTTTATTTTTTTTTCTGTTTCTTTTTCGACTGTTGGAGTTGTAACAGCCGTTTTGGGGGTGAATGTACATTATTTTTAGTCAACTTAAAATGTAAAAGCTGTAGTTAAAGTGTATGTTGAGAGTTGCAGCGGTCGTGGGAGTTGCAGGTACCTTCATGTGCACGCGTCTCCGTGTTTCGCACATGAAGGCTCCCTAAGGCCCCTAAGGTGCAGGGTAATTGCAACTGCAGCACTGCAGTTGCAATCAGAGTTATCTGGTTGCAATGTACCAAAGAACACCTACCCCTAATTCACGACCTGGTCCATACGTGCAAATTCTTTGACCCAAACGCATTGTATAAAACTCGGTCGTAAGCTTATAGAGGAGGCCGTGAGCTAGTTCTGTGGTTGCGGCGCGGTTCCAGTTGTCGACGTTCAAGAACACGTCAGTCAAGATCTTTCAAGTCTGCAGTGTAATAATAACAAAACGAAAACGGTAACCCCCGCCCAATATTGACGCTGTCAGCTGGTAATATATATTAAAATAAATAAAGTAATGCACAGTATCAAATGCAGCACACCTAGCGGCCGTCAATGGCTATCTCCCGAGTGTCATCGTCGATGGGCTGTCATAGATGCTAAGAGGTCAGCTTGATCCGTCGGCCACATACTGCGCGCTGGCACGCGGCGGTGGCGTAGAGTTACAGAGTTTCGTCTCTGAAAACCATCGCAGGACGTGGCCGCAGTCTATTTACCGAGGACTGGGCAAGAAAGACTATGCTGTCGCTCAGGCACATCCACAGAACATGCCTTCTTCAGGTAAGAACCCGGAAACGTCGAGCCCGGATTATTTGGAGGTCGACTAGCTAGGAGAGGACAGTGTATGCGCAGATAAGCGCTGTGGGGGAAAAAACGCACGTGAGGAAAACTAGTTCGGTGTTCGCTAATGATCTACGCCGAGCAATGCAGGCGCTGGGTTGTTCTTGATGACAGTGTGCGTCCTAAACAGCAGTCGGCGAAAGGGGTAGATTTCAGCTTTGCCGAATTCGCATTGCGCGACTTTCGTCGGCGCTTCTGACAATGTATGGTCACTCGTGTGCGCACATGCCTTTGTGAGATGCTTGTTGGAGCGTTCGAAAACTCTTGCCGCAGGCCTTTTCTACAGCGTGCCGTCACAACAGCACGCTCGTCATCGCCGACCACAGCGGAGGCCAGATGCTGCCGTCGACATTGAATGCCATAGCCGCAGCCAAAAAGATCGGCGGTGAGGTTGCGTGCCTCGTCATCGGCAAGGATGTGTCTGGTGTACGTATGATTTCACTGTTGACTTACAGTTTTAAACACTCGTGTTTCCGGAATCATTTGTTTGCGTAAGGAATAAAGGCGAGTTTCAGTGCACTTGTCAGAAGACCTTGGAAATACGTTTCATACGTGGTATGCAACAGGGCTGCAGGGCAGGTTACATCTAACTGAAAAGTTGAAAATCGTAAGATGATGCGTTGACATACATTATCACTTCTGCGCTGTGCTCTTCCGGGAGCTTCACATTTAATTTTACAAAGGTTAAAACTCCGTATTTTACGTTGTTCCAAGGAATATCACTACATATCACTACAGCTAGAAATTGAACTTAAATACGAATATTCCAGAATAAAACTTGCATCAAACTTAATTTTTTTTCTCTTTCTAGTTAGAGTAAAGTATAACTGTATAATGAAATGTGCTTGATGAAAGGACTTATCCGTGCGTGTGAAGCCATTCACGACTGCATGCTAGGCCAGCTGAGGAACAGGACTTTCAGCTGTCCAGTAAACCATGGCAGTCTCAGTAACAAGCAATGGAACAGTTCTTTAGACAGATGGGAAAACAGTGCAAACAGTAGGCTGCTTCGCCTGAATTCAGATGGCGGATTCACAGGCTGCTTGAAAGTGATTCATAATTATTGTATGACTGAAAATTGTTATTCACCAGGATTTAACTGAGTAGTGTTTGTTGTCCAGGTATTGGTGCCTCTGTGTTGCTGTTTTCTTGCAGCAGAATTATATGAAACAGTATTTTCTCCACTGTTATTTTGTGACAAGTGATCTTTGTTAATGTTCCACATTCCATCAGATGTGAATGTCCATGTATTTAGTTAAATTTTTGTACAATAAAGTGAGAACAAAATGTGAACATGCTAGGTACACAGAAGGTCATTTACTAAAGGGTGCCAAGGCCCATTGCATCCCACTGCTATTCATTTCCGGTACCTTGGAAAGTACAAGCAGCATGGGACTATCACAGCATTGATAGCATAGAAGCAGATTATATCCGTTCAGACTTGTAGGACAATAGCCTGTTTATCCCTCCTGCAAAACTTTTCTTTCGTGATTAACATAAAGCCACTATCTTTGCTAAAGTAATCAACACGTAGAAAAAGGCATCAGACTCTAAGCCACACATTAAAGACGGTCTTTTTTTGAGAAGTTGCAAGGACTTTCTCTCAGGTGGTCAAAATTTCTGAAGTTCTCCGCTAGAGCGTCTCTCATAATCAATGGTGGTTTTGGGACATTAAACCCCACATATAAATCAATTAATGCAAGGACTTTCTTCCCAAAGACAGTACCAGTTTGGAACAAGCTTCCACAGTTCATCTCTTTTGCAGCTGACTTATAGCGTGGCCTCAAACAATGCCCGTCATAGAATGTTTGGTCGGTGCGTTTGCTGCTGTGCTGGGTTTGTGCACTAAGTAGTGATACGTGTGCATTGTGCAATGTGTACTGAATACTTGCCAGCATGATGAGTACGTACTATGTGCATTTCTATTTTGTTCTATATCTTCTTGCACTAATGTTAGCTCACTTATGCATATCTATATTCCCATCCCATGTGTTGGTGTTGATGCTTGCATTGTGATACTGCTTTTGTCAGCTATTTTGGTCTACAGTGTATCAAAATGAATAAAAAACGAATGTTTAGCAAAACACTAATGGGTACTTTGTCCCTAAAAAATGGGCAGGAAAAAAGTATGGACCATATCTCCAAAGGGAACCCTGATGGGATGCGAAACAGAAGCGGTGCGCACGGCGTTTACCTGGTTGAAACGGACGTCTGCACGGGTGCTAGAAGAACGGTTTAAAGAGAAACTCGGTGTAGCCTTTACTCGAGTAAACATTTTTTTGAGACGCAAAGACACGGAGGCGGGTTGTGTTTCGTGCAAGTTTCATGGCATAGAAATGAGCTGAAAGAGTGTTTCCACTTGGTATGTGCTCAAACGTTGCGGACGGTGGAAAGGGTGAAGCGATAGAGATGGCACGCTGCGAGCGGCGACAGGCTAGGGAGAGTGTGACGTCAACACGCGCAACTGCGGAGGAAAGCGTGACCCACTTGGCACCGCCTTAACACCTGCGACCAGGGGAGCGTTGTACGGACGGAGGGCAGTATTACACAGGCTAATCGAAAAGCTGCTTCGCATCTAAACGAATTCTAAATTAATGCCACAGCTTCTATGACAACGGAGCTCCCAGTGCAAGGTCTCTACCTGTGCCCGGTAATTTAGAGATAGCGTAGGGATTACTGAGCAAATTATGATGCATATCACTAGTGGCACACCTTACAGATCTAAAGCTTGTACAGTGTCACAGTGTCAATCGGGATAAACTTCCATCGTTAGTCACACCAGCACCACCCAACTGAGAGCCATGACCTCTCTGCTCTCAAAGGAAGAAACACTCGTATGCAGAAACATACATGCAAAAGGGACAATAAAGTTGACTGAAGGTGCACAAACTTGGTGTTTCCACCAGGCGCACTGCAGCTGCTGTGAAAAACAAAAACAAAACAGAACTTGCATAGTAATTTGTCATGAGTTTTTCCAAGACAACTAGGCATCATATCGATATAGAAATTGGCACGCTTTCTGTGCCACAGCGCTCCATCTCCAACTGCCTGGTAGTGATGTTTGCTACGGTGCAAAAAGGATGTTTGTATCACAGAATAACTGGTGCAGAAAATGTGACTGTATAACTCGCATGTGTTGAATTACAAGGTGACCTGTTTAAGGTATACAACCGAGTCCTGATGAACATATGAAAGTTTTGGTCACTTAGGAACTTGATGCATATTTTTATAAAGATTTCAAACTAAAATATATGGCCAGCCAATGCTCTTATTTGGCGAACGTGACTGTTTTATATTTTAAGCTAGAGGTGACAACATGAAAATATGTCCTAGCTCGGTCTGCTGTTGTGTCCGACATGTTCTCTGCTCTTTGACTTGCAATACTGCATTGCAGGTCGCTGCTCAAGTTGGAAAAGCTGAAGGGCTTCAGAAACTCCTCTTGGCTGATAATGCTGCCTTTGATGGCCTTTTACCAGGTGAGCAAGAAGTTCCTCTCTGGGCACTTGGCAGTCCACAGTGAGTTGTTAAATGTTGTTAAAACAACAAAAAAAGTTTTGTCTTGCTCACTGCTTTATACCCGTATTTTTCTTTTCTGTAGAAGTAGTTTAAAGACCAAATGCAGTGAATTCCTAGGCTGTATAAAAAGCCTAGTTGATGATAGTGTAGATACAAACGAGTCTCGTGCAACTTTTTACTTTATAAGTACAGGCAAAAGAGTCAAAATTTGTTTTAAAGAATGCTTGGTTCTTATGCCTATACTGCAAAAAATAAAATACTGTCGTTACTATTTATTAAAAGTTACGCATAACACTGCAGAACACAGCATCAATGAGAACTGACAGTCAAACTAAGGAAGGTACAGGGGACGTTATTTGTAATAATTATAATATAATGCAGGAATTAAAGAGGACGAAACGATAGCTTGCGACAGGGAACACACCTGCAACCTTTGAATAATGCGTCTGATGCCAGTGTATAGAAACAAAGACTGTATCCTGTATACTGCATTGTAATATTTTTGGAAATATAAGAAAGGTGTAGAGCTTATTAGAAGGTAGAGATGTCGACCTGAGTTCGTACACACTTACCTGGTACTCTGCTCAGAAAGAAAGGAAGGGGGTCAATGTGATGATGCGGTCAGGAAAGAGTGATGCGTATACAGTGACCACATAATACAGCGGTTTTCTTAGTCTGCTTTCCAGTTCTGTACTTGGAAAAGTTTAAACCTTACCACCAGTGCATCATTTTAGTGGTGTGAAATGCTACTTATACAAACTTATCTTTGCAGAACGCCTGACACCTGTAGTACTGGCCACATGTAAACAGTTCAACTTCACCCACTTGATCGGTGCATCGACAGCATTTTCAAAAGCGAGTTTCTTTTCTTTCATATTCTTCATTGCATTGCAATTGTACTACAGAGTTCACACATATAATGACATGCAAGGTAGAAACATAGTGCTAGTATTTACTTACATCAGTAGCACTCTAACCAGCACCAGAATTTTGTATATGAGTACTGGCCTAATTTGTCTGCAGGCTTCCTGTCCAGTATCACATGGGTACTTTTAATCATGATCAAAACCAATTTGAATCTGATTTATTGATTGCAATTGATGATGATTAATCTATAGTTGAAACTGATTGCAATAGTCCTATGATCTGGCCTGACTACAATTAAAGTGATTGTGTAGCAGCAACTGATCTAGATATTTAAGCTTATCTGAATCAGCCCTGATCAAGATCAGAAGCATCACATAATTATAATGTGACTTTGGTTTTAAAGGTGCACTCTTTTGTGCGTGATGTAGGAAAGAGATGAAAATAAAAGAAGTGTTCCATATTTTCTGCTTTTTGCTCAAAATTATAAATATTCCTTGAACTGTATATTACTTTGAAGTTGCAGATTCGCAAGTTTTGTTTCTCTAAACTGCAAACATATAGTGCCTCACTGTAATGGTGCCTTGCAATGGTAGTGTCATCACAGTTCGATGAGAATGCGGTGTGAAAGAATATATGCAATTAATGTGCACAGAGCAGTTTGCACAATGTTGCTAAGATGACACAGGACTGCTAAGCTACGCGAGAATAGTATGTGAAGCCAGCATAAAATGAAGCTCACAGAGATTAAAAACAGAATCATCGTTGCAGTATGTAAGCCAATGTAAATGCGAAGTGAAAGCTTATTGAGGGGTACTTAAAGCCCCTTGCAAAGAGCATCCAAAAAGAAAACTTCTCTTCTTCTAATATGGTTTGATGTCTCTTTTCGGCACCCTTTGGAAATTTATACTTAATGTAGCTGGGCTAAGTATCTAATGCTCATATTGAATTTCAGGGTCTGCTGCCCAGGGTAGCCTCCAAACTAGATGTCTCTCCCGTTTCCGACGTGCTGGACATCAAGTCCCCCGACACCTTTGTTCGTTCCATCTATGCAGGCAAGGTTTTCAGTTTTTATTGAAGCTTCCTGTGTGAAGTCATTATGTATATGTATAGTCGCAGTGTATCTGCTCATGCTATTATGTGCATCACAATGTTATTAAAACTGAAAATTTGTTCACAGGTAATGCTATTCAAACAATCAAAGCTAAGGATCCAGTGAAAGTCCTGCTTGTTCGAGGGACCTGTTTTGATGCTGTTGGCGTTAGCGGCTCTGGTATCTCACCTGAAAATGGTAAGTCTGGGCAGGGGCGTACGAGAAAATTATTTTCCGAGTTGAAAATAGTAGAAAGGCCTTTACACTGTAGTTCACAATAGTAGACACGCCTAGTTGTTCTCATAAAAAAATATGTATGGTTTGCAAGAAAATTTCAAAGAAAAGATATAGTTTGTGTGTGGTAAACTTGACGGTCTTTCTTTGTGTGAGAGGATTCCCCTTTCCAAAGGTTATGTTTGTGATTGTCACCCTGATTGTTTTGTCATGCAGCACCGACAGCAGAGTTTGACACCAGCAAATCTTCTTTTGAGGGGCAGGAACTCAGCAAGAGTGAGCGGCCAGAGCTCACAAGTGCCAAGAAGGTCATTTCTGGAGGTAACTATTTTGTCATATCTAGCAGCTTTACTGTTACTGGTTGCAGTACTCCATCTCTATTATGTGTGGTGCCGAATAACCTGCAGTCTGAGCAGTACTTAGGTTTGGGCTAGTTGGTGCATGGTACTTATTTGGAAAGGGTAGCGTGAAGATGCAGGGACAAAGAAACATAGTAGACACGACAAGCACTGACACCAGCAAATCTACAGTCTGAATCTGCTGTCTTGAGTAGCAGAATGGATTTTGTGGAGGAGAAAACTAGCTATTTTCAGAACTGCAGTAAGATTTACCAGTGAATTGAAATGGCTAAACATATACATAAAAAGAGCAAGGCAAGTTAATACAGCAAAAATTAGACACCATCGACACCATTTGAAGGGCTCTTTATTCTGCTTTGGTACTTATTTGATGCTGGGTAGGAAGGATACAGCTTCAGCCTAATTGGTATCCACGATTTTGATGTGAATTCCAACTTTTAACATCATTGGAAATTGTTTTTCAACCTAGGACGAGGCATGAAGAGTGGGGATAACTTCAAGATGCTCTACGATCTTGCTGACAAAATTGGAGCAGCTGTTGGTGCCTCTCGAGCTGCTGTGGATGCTGGCTTCGTGCCAAACGACTTGCAGGTTGGACAGACGGGCAAGATTGTCGCTCCGGTGAGTTAAATAAATTAGCATTTGTGTGCAGAAAGGCTTTTCTGCTTTTCTCTCATAACTAAGATGGCTAGGTGCAGGTATGTTTACTATGACTAGTGGCATTGTATAATGCATTGTGCATTGAAACTGGAACAATTTATTTTATGCACTTACAAGGGGCACACAAGCGACATTGAACAGAAATAATGATACTATACGTGCATTTGTTTTTCCCTTGCACTTCAGCATTGTGCAACTGCTTACATCCTGGGCATGGCAAGTGCTGTTATGCTGCTTGTTCTGAAACATGATATTTTAACTTGAGTTTTAACTTGTAAATTATACCAGTAGTGAATCTCGTCAATACTATAGCAGAAACGGTTATGCTGCATGATACATGAACGTATTTGTAGTATGACGTCAGTGACACATCCATTTTTGTCACTTTGCCTTTGTCAGTAACTGGCCACACTTAGTGTCTCGTGCTGTGTCAGTTAGTATGCTTATGTCAATTTGAACCACCTAAGAGACCACAAGTTTTACTTCAAATTCATATTTTATTAAGAATGGTAGCAGATTGCGCTGGTTGGTGTTGCATACTATTAATTGCAGCAGCAAGAAACAAGACAGCAAGACTAGGAAAAAAATTACACCATCTAAAGGAACCATGCGTAGATGCGAAGCAGTGACGCTTACACTGGCGGCGGCGCTGATGCTTGCGCTCATCGTGGCTTTCTGTAAGAGAGAAACCTGGGAAGGCACAACGCAAGCTGTGATCGACCGATGTTTCCTACTGGGGAGCTGTTCTCATGGTGTCCAACTCGTGGACATGTCCAATTTGGCCTCCACTGATTGGCTGGAGCTGGCAAGCAGCATGCCGCCTGTTTCCGTTTTTTTTTTCCCGCCACAAATGAGAAAGAGGCAATATATTTCACCACAAGAAATGCTCCTCCCAGAGACCTGCTTTTGGATGCAGATTTCTGAGGCCTTGCATTCACGCTAATCATGTTAGCCCTTGAATTAGCTCTAACGCAGCCGCCCGCCTGGCGCCCATGGAAGGTCGCTACGCGTTCCCTGCATCGCTCTTCAAACATCTCTACATGTTCATTCGCATATGCATACTTGTCAAGTTTGTTTAAAAGGTCTACTGCTGTACATTTCATCCACAGTAGCTTCTTTTTACGCTGGGAATGTGCTGGTGTGTTCGGTGCATCCATGTGGTCAAGAGCGCTACGACGTCACGGCTCGTCGTATTATCTCATAAATGAACCCACTCTGGCGAATTGGACACCGAGAAAATTGCTTCTCTGGAGCATGACAATCGCACTGAGAGACAAAGACTCTGATTGGACACAGGGACCCACAGTCAGCTTTTAGATAACACGGGAGCTGCACTCTCGCTGGCTGAAGCTGTCTGCATGGGGGTTGAGAGGCAAGTGAGGGGGGGAGATGAGGAGATAAAGAGGGGGGAGCAAGTGTAGGCTAGCAGATGCTTCCTGCGTCAGCGTTGCGAGAAGAAAGAGGGGGGAAAACAGAGGAAAGAGGGACACCCTTGTCTCCCCTATCAAGGTGAATAAGAGACCATTGATTGCCTTGAAGAGGGAGGGGGTTGAAGCTTTGCCGCTGGTTCCATATCAGCAATGAATGGTTGTTTTCGCTCGCTGCGAGATGACATGACTTAAAAAGAGGCTGTGGTTGCTGTCGCTCCCACTTGAGCGCACTGCCAGCAGCAGCTGGAGTGCCGCAGGCCATGCATTCCCGTGTTCCCTTTGCTAAAAATTGACACTGTACAAGCAACTTTCAATCTTGCAACAAATGCGGCTATTGCATTGCATTCTGTGGTCATTTCTGCATGAAGTGTGCCCTTCATTAGCCTGTTTTTCATGGCCTCTGCAGGAGCTCTATGTGGCAGTGGGCATCTCTGGTGCCATTCAGCACCTTGCCGGCATGAAGGACTCCAAGACCATCGTAGCCATCAACAAGGATCCAGAGGCGCCGATCTTTCAAGTGGCCGACCTCGGCCTGGTAGCAGATCTCTTCAAGGCCATTCCGGAGATGCTCAGCAAGATAGACAACTATGTCACCAAGTGATAAATGGCTACACTGTAACTAATAAATACATTTTCCACTGTATGAGTTCAGAGCTCAGCATTTTAGAAGGCCACTTTTGTCAAAGCTTCGTTATAGACCATTGGGGTTGTGGCAGTATGCCGTGCGAAGTGCGAAAGGGACCAGGGAAGGTAAACACAGTATTGAAAAAAGGACTGTTTCGTTAGCCTTTTAAGTCCCCTTGTTCCTTTATAATATGCGAGTCATCAGAATTGAAGTTCTCTGCACAGTTAGGTATGCAGCCAAACTGTGTGGGCATGTCGCAAGAGAGAGAAGTGTGATATGCAGCATTTTGTTGCTTACTTTTGTGTTCGTATTACCACGTATGCTACATGCAGCTGTAAGAGAGAAAGAATGGAGCAAGTGCATGTGTGCACCTGGCTGTCTGCAAAACAAATGTTTATATAGATGGTTGTTTTCTGAAAGTAATCATTTTATATTGCACCAATAAAGCATTCTGTGACTAAAACAAACAAAGCCTGTTTCTTGATTTATGTGGGTGGAGGGGCTAGTTCCTATATGTTACGGCGAAGACATTCCTCAGTTGCTTGCTCGGGCTGGAGAAGCTCCAGCCTAGCAAAAAAGACTTGCTCTGCTGTGTACACCCCAGTTAGAAATAGGCGGAATTCACAATGTAATGCACAATAGGAGACATAACAGAAAATGAAAGTAGAGGAAAATGCAAGTGGAATTGGGAGCTAAACAGACAATTACTGTCTAGCTGAGCTCATTAGTATTATTTTCACTCTAAAGGTAGATTGCACAATGGCCATCTGGCTTGCCTGAAGAAATCACACCTAACCAACCTGCTTAACTCTTTCGTTACCACGCCTATACAAATTTATCATTTGCTTGGTGATTTGCTTGCTCAGACTGGAGAAGCTTCAGCCTAGCAAAGAAGACTTACTCTGCTGTGTACACCCCAGTTAGAAATTGGCAGATTTCACAATGTAATGCACAATAGGACACATAATAGAAAATGAAAGTGGAGGATAATAAGTGGAATTGGGAACTGAACAGACAATTACTGTCTAACTGAGCTAATTAGTATTGTTTTTGCTCAAAAGGTAGATTTATTGCACAATGGCCATCTGGCTTGTCTGAAGAAATCGCACCTAATCAACCTGTTTAACTCTTTCGTTACCACGCCTATTAAAATCGATCACCAGTGATTGACGCTTTTCAGTCATTGATTTTAGCATGTTAAATTTCTTTCTCATGCGCCCAGCGCTTTCTAGTAGTTAGTTCAGCCACTAAACTTTCAGAATTTTTTTTGAATTTGCCGACTTAGACAACATAGCGATTCTTTAGACTTTTGCGCAAACCAATGTGCGTGAGTAGTTGGGAAAATGCACTAGGTTAGCGAACTTGACAGAAGTGCGTGGCCCTCGTAATTATGCTACAGTAACATTGAAGTTCTATAATAATAAAAAAAAAAAACTGCAAGCCAAATATCGAATTGATATGTGAGCTTCGCAACTTGACCGAGATGAGCAGTAATAATTGTCAGAAATATATGCCAGCTTAATGGAGAGCTTTTGCTAGAAGTAAGGGAAAATTAATTCTACAAAAAAATATTTCCCAAGATCCGCCGCATGTATAAAGTGTGCAGGTGGCTCTTGCAGCCAGTTTCCAGCTGCTTTGGTTTTGCTTGTAATCATTTTATCATACACAGGGTCTTATCTAGTGTCACTAGTAGCTCCCATTACGTGGTCGTCACGCGTGCATGGGTGCGTATCAGCGCTGCAAAACATATGCGTTGCTTGAATCTTTCGAGCGACCCCACCTGAATTGAGTGAGAACGAGCTGAGATTTTGTGGATGACAGCACCTCGGCTTCAAGTTTTATGGGGACGATGTTTTGAGTCAGCCTGAGACATCCGTAGCTGTTCATGGGTTTGTTTTGTTTACACCCTCAAGTTCTCTCCTTCGCCGCAAGTGCATATAGCTTCTGACCTTTGTGTATAATCTTATAGTTACTCAGGTTACGTGCGTGGTTGTCACGAGGCTATTTAATGGGCTAATATAAGGAGCGTATACCTTGTAGACAACTCTGAGGTGGCAGCCGTAAAGTCATCCTGTGTAACACTGGCAGAGGTAAGCAGTGGCACAGGCATAGTCGGGAACATACAGTTAGCTCGCCTGAACGTGTCATAATGATTACGTCATGTCAAAGTAGAGTGTGTAGCGTTTTGTGCAAAGACCAGGAAATACGAAACCATCAAGTTTGGAAAACTGAAAGTGCCTCCACGGAGATTTAGGAGAGCCACGGGAGAAGAACAGCGAAGCCAGGCAGACATGGCTGAGCCGGGACCGAGTGAAGAAGGTGGCCAGGGCGCGGGAGGGGTGGCCAGCAGAGCTCCTGCATCAAAGTCCCAGCGGGCTCCCACCTGGACACAGAGCTGCTTCTCGTCGCCTTTCGTGGGCCAGGCTGGTTCTAGTCTTCTGGCGTTGGCCAAGAAATGTCTCCGGCTTCGTGTGCGAGCTGCGACTGCCGAACGCCGAAAGGTCACTGACCTCAACTGGCAAAACTCTCCCTTCAAGGCAACGAGCCACTCTCAACCTATTCGCCAGACTTCCCCTGCTGCACGAGTGCGCCTTTGCTGTTACCTTATTACATCAGCTGCAAGCAACGTGTCTCGGTGTATGGTGATAAGGGTTTTCTCTGGTGACCATTTATTTCTGCGCCCTGCTCCCATCTTTTAGCCATATAGTATTCTTGTTAAGCTCTTTATACTTTTGCATGCTCTGTTTTTTGTTCTTTACTCTCTTTTGGCAGTTTCGTAAATATATTGAGTATAGGAAATTTGGTAGAAGCAAGTGGTCTCGTCAGCTCATTTTCTGATGACGGTTATGTCATCGGTTTTCGCTTTGCATGAACCTACACGAGAGCTTGCCCAATAAGTAGTCTCGTGACAGTGGTCCACACTTCACTAGGGCGCGGTGTGGTGGCACTGGCTGCAGCGCTTCTACTAATGGCAAGAAGGCCCCCGGAGCACATCTTGTCCCTGATTGATTGATTGATATGTGGGGTTTAACGTCCCAAAACCACTATATGATTATGAGAGACGCCGTAGTGGAGGGCTCCGGAAATTTAGACCACCTGGGGTTCTTTAACGTGCACCCAAATCTGAGCACACGGGCCTACAACATTTCCGCCTCATCGGAAATGCAGCCGCCGCAGCCGGGATTTGAACCCGCGACCTGCGGGTCAGTAGCCGAGTACCTTAGCCACTAGACCACCGCGGCGGGGCCACATCTTGTCCCTAACTACGAAGCAGTGCAAAACATTTTAGAACTGCACGTGATACTGTCCTTTTTTTATTACAATATGCGCAAAGATGCCAAGGAATATGCTTGGATGCATATATTGGAACGCCAACCTATGCGGAGTGAGGTGGCTCATGGAAAGAAGTGACGCTAATAAAATAGCGAAGTTCATTGGACATCTCATTTATAGAGGGATTATTCACATCACGGGTTTCCATCTATATTGGGATATCTAGAGACTCTTATCGCAAGGCAATGAAAATTTACTGAGAAGAGTGTATGAGTACACTTGTGCCTCACGAAAAACCATGTAATGCTTCACTGCATGGCATGAGCAACGAAGCAGCACCTCGGTTTTGATTTTCTTTGTCTATGTGATGAGAAACATTTTGTACATCATTAATTATTTTTATACTGTTCCTGGGTCATTTATTTACAAAATGTATCTTCTGAATTTTCTTTGTTTTGAATATTTTTCCATATATAGCACTTTTTAACGCACTGTTTACCAGCTGGTGACAAAAAAATTCACGCTTTTTACATTTTTATTCATTTTAAAATATTTTTGTTGCTCTACAACCTATATTTTTTAAAAAGAGCATTTCACTCTGCAAAGTTTGGTATGCTTCAATACGTGCTGGAGTACTTTTCAAACTGGCAAATATGATCTTCCCGAGACACATGAGAAACAAGCATTCTCCCATGGTAATGAAAGAGTTAAACGGGATACTAAAGACAAGTAGTAAGTGGACACAAATTGTTGAAGTAGTGTTCCAAAAACCTTGCATTGCTTGCTTCGTGCCGAAAAAATACTTAGTTTCAATGAAAACCACATTTCCACATGCGTGGCGCAATTCAAAACATGTGCCTTCGAAAACAGGCTTGTGACACAGCATCTTCCATGCTCATCCTTTAGTGCTTGACAGCTGGCAGAGCGGAACAGGAATTTGAAATGCACAAGTTGCATTTTAAACAGTCTTGTAACGTCTTTTTCTATGAATGGTGGTTTGAATACTAGTCAATTGTACTGAGGGCCTTTAACATCATTGGGCTATGTACAAGAATGTCCCACTAGCAGTGCAAATCGTGTCCTATGCCTTAATTTTTCATTACTAATGTGCTGTTATGCATAATAGTTATGCTTTAGATTTGCCTATAGTGTACCTGTAATGCCAACAAAATAATTTTTCCTACCTGGAAAGGTTAATGTTAAAGAGCAACCTCTCTAGCACACTTATCCAGTTTTCATTAGCCTAGTACTTCAAGATTGAAAGGAAAAAGGGTGCCATGACATAGAAGTGGCCTTTCATTGCCAAAAGATGTCATCAGCCGCTAGCCTTGGGCACATAATTCTGAGGTCATCGCAAGCGATACTGTTGCGGACAAAGAGAATATGTGCGCTGCAGAGGATGTACAGTCGCGGCCCGTTTGTGTAGAGCGCACGAGCAGTCGGTTTTTGCTCTGCGGGCCGAAACCTTGAGGCGGTTTTGGGCTCTGAAGTGGTGTACCAGGAGTGTACACGGCCTAGTTGTCAGGCTGACCACGAAAGAGCCTGATACTGCCCCAAGGTTTCTTCCCGCAGAGCAAAAACCGGCTGTTCGCATGCTCTACACAGACATGGCCACGGCTGTACATGTTCAGTGCAGGAGCTTGCTACTGCTGCAGTTATCAAGCTCGCAACCAGAGTAACTGAAGCTTGCCAATTTTTCGTCTGTTTCATGTTTCTTCATGTTGTAATCCATTCTTTATTAACACCTACAACTATACACTAAAACCCACTAACAAGAGCTTTTTTTTTTGAGGAGGAACAAGATTTTTCTCTTTTAGCCACTTTGCACGAGACAAACAAGGGCAAGGAGGATGACAAATGAATACAATTTTATGCTAGTTTGTCATACTTTGTGCTCAATTGTTATACTCCTTGCTTCGTCCTTATTTGTCTTGTGCAAAGTGGCTAAAAGATAAATTTGTTACAACTAGGCTGGATAGCAGTTTAAAATTGCCATTGTCATTTGATGACTAGTACACAGAAAAGTGTTTCAGGCTCCCTTCTATCATGCTGAAAAGCTGAGTGCTTAGAGAGTGCTACAGGATGCCAAATGTTACCTTGAGGAGTTATAAATTTTGAGAAAGAGTGAAATAAAGAAAAAGCTTTTTTTTTTTCAGTCATTCAAATGAGATTTTAAATCTTCATAACTTTTGTTCAA